ATTTTTACACTGTTACGAGTTTTTTGTACGAATAGTACGTATAGATTTTTAACCAATTAAAAAGGGTAAAATTTACCAAATTGTATGTGGTTAGATATACCATTTCTAGTGTGGACCTATACACTGAGAAAAATGTATGTAAATTTACACAACTTTCACACTAACTAAGTTGTAAAAAATTACAAATTTTTGGTAAAAGTACATATTTTTGTGTTTTTAAGAAGATATATGTGTGAAATTAGATAAAAAATGTAAATTTACATATTCTTATAAAAGTACATAACATATAATGTGAATTTTATAAAATTTTAAAAGTACTATGTAAAATATACATTAAAAAGTAAAGTCTACATAAAAATATTAAATATTACATTATTATAGGTAACCTTTACACATTTCATGTAAATATTAACCAATAGGATTTGAGCATTAAGTCACGCGATGCGGCACACGCGTAATTAAACGAAACGAACATTTTTTTGGCTGAGTTAGGACGCGTCGTGTACTGTTTATAGTTGTTTTTTCGTATTATTTGGTAAGTATATTAATTATAAATAAGGAGCATAAAAGAAGAAACTAGGATGCCATCAATAAAATGAGATTTTCCCAATATTAATTGATATATTTTACTTAATTTTATTTAAATAAGTTTAATTCCAATACTAGTATATTAAACATCTATCCAGTAAAAACAAAATATTTGGTGCTTTGATGTCAAGTGGTAAAAATGCACGTGTTTACAAATTAATATCTAGTTTAAGCAATAATTTTAGTTTAAAGAAATATTTTATTATAGGCTAATTTTACTTTTTTTTTCAGATCCAAATATTTTTTATTGAATAAATATTAGTTATTAGAAAAAATAATAATAGGTTAGATTTTAGATTAAATAGGTAGGTATGTCTTCGCAACGTACCCAAAATCTAATATTTCCACGCCACCGTTTGAGTCAGTATGAGAAAGGTTGTTACTATGAATGTATAAAATGTTTTAATCATTTGCCAAAATGCCTTCAGATTGAAACAAAATTGTTAATATTTAAAAAAAAGCTTAAAGATTTGTAAATAAATATTATTTATTTATTTATTAAATATAGAACCAAATAGTTTAGAAGAATTTCAAAATAGATCAATGAATAATTGATACAATTGTTAGTTTATCAATGCATTTATCCTTTGCTTTTGACATTTTTTCCATAATTGTATATGTGTGTAAACTGTAAACAATTATTTGAAAATAAATTATTATTATTATTATTAATATTATTAAAATAAATCCTAATTTCTATTAATTTTTATATATATTTATATAAATTTGTTATATATTGTTATATGTACTATATATTTGTATTTAAAAAATGTTTATTTATTATTGTTTTAAATATACAACTATTGTAAACTTACAATTTTATTTTATTTGGAAATAGAAAAATTCTAACAATTTAAAAGATAATTATCTTTTAAACTGTAGTATTTAAACTTAAAAAATTGCCTAAACCGTATAATAATCATACTATTTTTAACTTATTTATATTATTTAAAAATTAACAAAAAAATTAAAATGCGTAATTCTCAAATAAAAAAAATAAAAATGTACTACGCTTAAAAAGTTTGCTTCTAAATTAAAATTGTCTATTTTTTGTGTATACAGGTTTTTTTTAAATACCTGTATTTAGGTATTTTCAAAAAATTAAAACTGCAATATTACAAAATTTTGGGTTTATTTAACTTCTGCAATTAAATAAATTCAATATTTTGTACTAAAACTCTAATACTGAAACTGCATGCAGTTTTAGTATTAGAGTTTTAGCACAAAATATTGAATTTATTTAATTGCAAAAGTTAAATAAACCCAATATTTTGTAGTATGATTCTATAGAATACAATTACACAATTTTGAAAAAATTACATATTATATGCATGTAAGTAAAATACGTTATATATGTATAAAATTTACACAAACGTGTAAATATAAATTACATCTGTCATGTACATTTTAAACAATTATGAATTATTTACAAATTTTGTGTAAACATAAATCACATATTTTATGTAAAAAAACATAGATATGTTTAAGTTACACAATCTATGTAATTTCACATCAGTTTACGAAGCTAACAAATAACCAACGACCAGTTATGTGAAAATTTTTCTCTGTGTATAGACCACTTTTGGTGTTGTTTTTTACCAGAAATTTTTTACTGTGCAAATTATCAAAAGATAAATAAAATCATTCATTAAGGAATCCTCAACGATAAAATTAATGTTGGAAAACATCGGTAGAGTTGCTATAAAATTGACAGGTTAGCAACGCTGTGAGATACCGTGCACGGATTGCCGCCGAACCGGTTTATTATGCGCATGCCCACAAAATGACCTTCTGTTTTGTGAAAAGTTGTCTCTAAAATAAGTAAGTTATCTGCTGAAAGTTCAACAGTTGCTAGAAGCTTTTTCTATTGAACAGGTTATTTAATTATCTACTGTGTTTATAAACACTAATCTAATGGTATTTAAGGTGCGAGTCATAAAGCAATAAGTTATTGCCAGTAAGCAACATCCAGAAACTCTGATCTAGAGTGCAGTCTTTTCTTTGTGTGGATTAATTTTGTAAGTATTTTTTATAATTGCATTATTATTTTATAATTGTATTATGGTATTATCAACGGTAAAGTGACTATAGTCATAGTCAATAGCGAAACTTGTAAGAAATAAAATAATTAAAATGTCTATGACATGTTAGGAGCAGGGTCGACGATAAAAAAATATATATATCTTACAAGTTTCGCTATTATTGATACATAACAGCTTTCAAATTAGACATGTTAACGTATCTATAACAACTGGGGCGTTATAGCGTTATAATATTTTCTTTAAAAGTTTAATAAATAATATTTTTTTTTAAATTGTTTTTTTTTTACCTGTTCATTTTACAAAATCACATATGATTTTATTCTGACAACAGTATGATTTCATTCTGACAACATTATGATTTCAAAGCCAACGTCAGCGGGACCAAAAATCTCGACTGATTTTACTTATTCTTTAAAGTTTTCTTTCTACCGGTTTCTACCGGTCTCTTTACAAAATCACATCTGATTTCAGTCTGACTTCATATTGCTGACATTCGCGTATGCGCTACTGACGTCAGATTCTCGACAGACGTGACGAACGATTTTCACGTCTGATTTTATTCTGACGTCAATATGAAATCATAAATGCTAGCTGGGTGTATACATATATAAAGAGTTATTTTCAAGTTGTATGTCAAGGGTGGATTACATAAAACCTTGTAGAAGCATAAACTCAAATTTTTCGGTTTTTTAACATACAACCTTGTTATATTAGGGTGACGATATGTTGAATGTGTGCCAGTGTTTATATTAAAGATAAAATTTTATTGCAGTTCATTTACCTAAAAATCTTGGTGCAAATATGGCTCTTAAAGAAACGATAACTGATATTTTGACAATGGAGTTCACCTTTCTGGGAAATAATAATAAAAGGGCCTTCATTGATACAAATTACAGCTCTTAAAGAAGCGATAACTGATATTTTGACAATGGAGTTCACCTTTCTGGGAAATAATAATAAAAGGATACAAAATTATTTCACGTAATCTATTGTAAGTCAATGTTTTCATCCTTTTTTCATTAAGTTTTAGTTTTCATTGGCAATTTCTTCTGTCTACAGTTGCTGTACAGGGTCTTGTTTTGAAGGCCCCACATCAAATAAATAGTTCTTGCCACACATTCAAGAAGCATTAAGAATCAACAGACAACGTGAGGCAAACAAATTAAAAAAACAGCAGAAAACACCAGAAAGTGAAGCAACAAATGATAATTCTCAAAACTATAGTTTTGTATACAGAGACAATAAGGATACTGTTGAAAAGGAGCAAATTTAAAAATTGTTTTTTTATATATTTTAATATTTTGTTTATAAATTTTGGTTGTTTTAATTGCCTATTTTATTTTATGCAAGAAAACCTAAATAACTATATGGGTATTATGGGTTTTGAAAGGCAAAAGGAGTGTTTATTTGATGCAAACATATCCAAATTTAAAAAAATTATCAATTTAAATGCTAGCATTTAAGTTGGTAATTATTTAGATATGTTTGCATCAAATAAACAGTATTTTTTCCTTTCAAAACCCATAACTTGATTTTTTCAAATATTTGAATTAATCCGCCAAAAGTAGGCAGCGCATGCGCGCATCCGATTCGAATTTAATCGAAAATCAAGGTTTGATATCACATTGAGCCCAAATGAGGAACCAACTTGATATGTTTTTGACCTCAAAGCTTGATGTATAAAATCAAGTCTTGAGCTCGCATTGATATCAACTTGAACAGCACTTTGTTAGCTGGGCGATAAAAACATGGAAAAAGTGGAAGAAAAGGTTATAAACCATCAGAGAAGTCGCTGATGATGTTGGTATATCGATTGGCTCATCCCATGAAATTTTTTCGAATGTTTTGGGTATGAAACGCGTGGCAGCAAAATTTGTTCAAAAATTGTTAAATTTTGAACGAAATTTTTGGCCAAAAACAATACTGTAATGATGGCCAAGCCTCCGTATTCGCCAGACATGCCTCTGTCTGACTTTTTCCTATTCCCAAAAATAAAGAGAACCTTAAAGGGCCGTCGTTTTGCAAGCATAGATGACATTAAAAGCGCATCGCTAAAAGAACTAAAGGCTATCCCAAAGATCGAGTTTTAGAAGTGTTTCGAGTATTGGAAGAAGAGCTGGCACATGTGCATAATATCCAATGGGGACTATTTTGAAGGCGACAACATTAATGTAGACGAATAAATAAATATTTGTTTCAAAAAACGAAAAGAAAGAAGAAATCATAGAAGAAAGAAGACTTTGGCAATATTTTTGAGGACAGCTGAAAGAAATGATATTGGTTAGGGTTGAACAATAAAAAACATGTATAAGAAATAATACATTTTTTATAAAATCTTGACAAACCAGACATTCCCTTGCAAGGACTTACCTCTTCCAAATCCACGGGTTCGCTGAATATCTCGTTGGAGTCTTTGGAAGCGACCAGATCCAAAACGTTTTTGAGGCTGGCCTCCAAAGGTTTCAGCTTGATTTTCATGCACTTTTCGGACACTTTAGTGTATTCCAGCTTCATTTTTTCCCGTTTGCGCACCAGTTCGCACAAAAGTCTTGCTCTTTCGAGGTCTTGCCTTAGACACTGCCAGTACTTCAGCTGTCTACACAGCTCCAAAGTATCCACGTTGCTAGTGTTCGAATCCCTAAAAAAACACCCTAATAGACAGAGCTGGGAGAATCTTGAAAAAGCAACAATTTAAGTATTTGTTACGTATATGGGACTATTGAAGAAATTTTAAAGTGTTTTGCGACAGTCGCCGGTCTCTTTATATTACTCTTTCATTACCAAGTTACGACTAAAGTGGGGAACAATTATTGAGTTCCAAAAAGGTAACCAATATGTCACTAGCTATAAACCCTGCCACTATTTGAAACGTAGCTGCTACGTTACTAGAACGTTCCAATATCGTTGCTAGAGCGTTATAATTACTTTTATTTGTTTGATTTTACTTCTATATTAACTGTCTTTGTCAAACTTATATTAGATTATACTTTTCGTTTATTAAATATGTACTGGTAGTTTATAACATCCAGAATAACAATTTAATGTCTAATTAGGCAGGTAAATTTATAACCCCTTTAAATTTTACTGTTGAACTTGTGAATTTAGTTTTTGTAAAATAAATGCGCTTCATCAATATTTAAGTATAAACAAATTATTTATTTAATAATGTTTATAAATAAAAAAATCTTAATATTTATTATTAATTTTTTATTTAATTATTACCAACAAAATTACTATTTATTAAAAAGTAAACAACCATTTACAAACAATTAAAATAATTTATTATTTACATTACGACGTGGTACTGTACAGTAAAAAATGGCCGATAAGAAGCATTTTCCTTTGAAGTAGTTTTCGCTACTTTAAAGTTTTTTCCACCTTAATTTACTTTACAGTAGTTTTGGTTAGTACCATAAACGTTCCAAATACTAAAATAATAACTTTTAAGCTATTAACTTTGTAGTTTTAACTCATGTTCCAGTTTCGAGATTTTAACTTGCAAAGGGACTACAAAGTAAAAATAATTATAATGTAATCTTTAGGTAGCAACTGCTACAAATTAAATTTACTTGAAAGTTTTTTTACTTATAACACCTCTTTTTAAGTTGCAAAGTCTTCTTGGGGGCAACCAAGTTCTACTTAAATGTTTATTACTTTATAGTAACCATTTAAGGAAAGAATGAAGTTTCTGTTACAAAATATTGCTATTTAAAAGTTGGAATTACTTTTAAGTAAAAATTAAAGTAGCTGTTTAGTATACTTAACTAATTTAAAGTTATCACTACTTTGGTAATGGTTTTTGGAACCAAAAATGCTGCTTGGGAAGTTTAAACGCATTTTGCACGTACCTTGTTCCTCCCTGCGCGCTCTGCAGCCTCCTTAGCAGAGGCACCCCGTTTCTGAACTGCCTTTTCAGCGTCCAGTAGGCTATGAGTCTCTGTATGAACTGGGATTTTTTCGTTATGGTCACCAGGGAACCGATTTCCTGGATTCTTTCCGGCGGTATGGTCGGTATTAGTATCACCGGTGCGGAGGTGCGTTTTTTCGCCAACATTTTGCGGACCTTCTGCATTTTTTGTCGCGGATCCTCTTTTTTAGACTCTCCTGAAAGAGGTACAATACCTGAATCTTGCGAGTTTAAAAACGCAATTTTTAATACATTTTTTGACTGGAACTTCCACATTTACAGCGATGCCGCTAGATGTGTGTTTATTTTTTTTGAAAATTGAGTTTAATAGTATATTATTATACGAGAGATAATGCAGGGTATTATTGAATATTGCGCATAATCTCGAGTAAAATACTATACTTTATCTACTCCAATAAGTAGATAATTAAATGATCTTCAAAATTAAATAAATAAAATCTGACATCTGTCAAATGGTTAACCTTACTTTTTACCAATTTTAAATGTTCCAATTTAAAACCCGATTGGTTCAAATCGCAGTAAATATTGAAATGGGCCAATCACTGATGCCTAACAACGTGAATAATGAGTTTATTATTCCCGTTGTTGGGCAGGAAATTTATAATGTTTATCAATATTCACGGAAAAACCCCAAAATTATGCAATATGAGTAGATAAACGCAATTTGTGATACATTTTTTGACAAAAACTTTCAGATTTAAAGCGATGTTGCAAGATGTGGGTTCTTAGGTATTTTTAAATTGATCTTAAAAACGCAATCTTTAATACGTTTTTTGACAAAAACTTTCAGATTTAAAGCAATGTTGCCATATGTGGGTTTACAATTAGTTTTTTTTTAATTAAGTTTAAAAGTGCAATTTTTGATAAATTTTTTGGTAAGAACTTTAAAATTAGAGCAGTTTTGCCAGATGTAAAATGTTTGCGCTCTGTATGCAACCCATTATACTATGTAACATATATTTTGTAAATTTTTAACATTAAATGTTAAAAAAATTGTTTTACCATTTGTTATATAGTTAAACTAATCTTTTAAAAAAATTTGAAAATTTTGTAATATTTCCTGTTTTTTTAAATATTTATACCACTGAGCGAATTTGTCCTACTATTTTTTAAATTTTTGCTACTATGCAAATTGTATTGTTTCATCTTTCGTTAAAAAATTATAAAAAAATTGTAAATTTTTGAATTTTGGAAATTCTGAAAAGTTTTTAACATTTATCTCACAAAGTTTTTATATATTTATATACTGTGTGAATTTTTACAATTTTTTTTTAACTACTATGCGAATTTGTCCTACCATTTTTGAGGGTTTTTAAGTAGTTATTTTAAAAACTAAGTTTAAAAACGCAATGTTTCATACATTTTTTGACAAGAAATTTCATATATAAATTTTTAACATTAAATGTTAAAAAATTTATTCTACCATTTGTTATATAGGTAGTAAAACTGATCTTTTTAAAAAATTTGATAATTTTGTAATTTTTCCTACCGTTTTTTTAAATATTTATACCACTGAGCGAATTTGTCCTACTATTTTTAAAATTTTTGCTACTGTGCAAATTTTATTGTTTCATCTTTCGTTTTAAAAATTATAAAAAATTTGGAAATTTTTGAATTTCGGAAATTCTGAAAAGTTTTTAACATTTATATCACCAATTTTGTATATATTTATATACTGTGTGAATTTTTACAATTTTTTTTTGAACTACTGTGCGAATTTGTCCTACCATTTTTTTGGGTTTTTAAGTAGTTATTTTAAAAACTAAAGGCGGGTTTATACAACAATTGATAATTTAGTGGACAATTTATTTTATAACTCAATTTTTAATTGAATGCATAATTTAATACATAATACATAACTTTAAAATCTGGTTTATACAATTCATTAATTTAGTAAATATTTGATTTTTTTAATTGACAATATTGATTATTGAAAGTTGCAAGTGACACAAAATCCATCATTGAAACTCATGTTATGTAGAAACTTTGTAGTATTTTTAAGGCACAAACACAAAACACAATAATTATTAATCATAACCTTATAAAATGGAGAGATAAAAATTGTTGGCACATGCGCGGTGTAATTTTATTTATAATTCATAATTTATTTCATAAAAGTTAAATTTTGTGAACTTTCAAGGTTATTAAATAAACACTAAATTGTGAGTTACGCATTAAATCCTTGTATAAACTGTTTCATAGCAGATAGTGCGATTTAACTTTTATGCTTATGCACTAAATTGTGAATTATGAAATAAATTAATGATATGAAGTTGTATAAACCCGCCATAAGTTTAAAAACGCAATTTTTCATACATTTTTTGACAAGAAATTTCATATTTAAATTTTTAACATTAAATGTTAAAAAATTTGTTCTACCATTTGTTATACATATAGTTAAACTGATCTTTTTAAAAAATTTGAAAATTTTGTAATTTTTCCTACTGTTTTTTAAAATATTTATACCACTGAGCGAATTTGTCCTACTATTTTTTAAATTTTTGCTTCTGTGCAAATTTTATTGTTTCATCTTTCGTTTAAAAAATTATAAAAAAATTGTAAATTTTTGAATTTTGGAAATTCTGAAAAGTTTTTAACATTTATCTCACAAATTTTTTATATATTTATATACTGTGTGAATTTTTACATTTTTTTTTTAACTACTATGCGAATTTGTCCTACCATTTTTGAGGGTTTTTAAGTAGTTATTTTAAAAACTAAGTTTAAAAACGCAATGTTTCATACATTTTTTGACAAGAAATTTCATATATAAATTTTTAACATTAAATGTTAAAAAATTTATTCTACCATTTGTTATATAGGTAGTTAAACTGATCTTTTTAAAAAATTTGATAATTTTGTAATTTTTCCTACCGTTTTTTTAAATATTTATACTGAGCGAATTTGTCCTACTATTTTTAAAATTTTTGCTACTGTGCAAATTCTATTGTTTCATCTTTCGTTTTAAAAATTATAAAAAATTTGGAAATTTTTGAATTTTGGAAATTCTGAAAAGTTTTTAACATTTATCTCACCAATTTTTATATATTTATATACTGTGTGAATTTTTACAATTTTTTTTTTGAACTACTGTGCGAATTTGTCCTACCATTTTTGTGGGTTTTAAGTCGTTATTTTAAAAACTAAGTTTAAAAACGCAATGTGGATTTCTGATAATTTTTTATAAAATTAGAGCAGTGTTGCAAGATGTAAAGTGTTTACAATTTGTATGCATCCCATTATACTATGTAAAATATATTTTAATGAAAGTTTAGTTTTTTTAATTTTTGTCAAGAATTTGTGAACAAAATTTCGACTTTTTTTTTAGTCGCTATGAACACAAATTTGTACCGCTCCTTGATCGTTTTTAAACATCAAAACGCAACATTTTGACAGCTGAAAGAAAGTCTTAATCTACTCGATCAAAAGGTCGACTCACCTTTGCTTTCGGCGGGCGCGTGCGCGTCGCAGTAGGCGATCTTCTGCACCAGCACCGGCTGCGTGTCGCCGCCGTCCTTGACCGTGTCCATCTTCATGTACAGCCCGGCCTGCTGCGCGCAAGTCACGTGGAAAGCCGAGTAGCAGTTGGTCTTGTGGCACTGTATGCACGCCCCCACCCCTTTCTGCTTGCACACGTAGCACGTGAGCTTCCATCTGGCGGCCGGTATCGTCTCTATCGAGTCTGCGCGGGAGAAAATGCTTCAAGCCTGATTTATAGATTGCCTCCCGTAAAAGATGAACAATACGAAAGTATATTTGGTTCCAAAAACCACTACGGTTTTCGTATTGTTAATCTTTTACGGAAGGAAGGAATGAAGAAAGGAAGTCAATATATAAATCAGGCTTTAGAAGGCGTCTCGGAAGTTTGCGTTGGTTAAGTAACGGTCTTTTTGCAGTTGTAATGCAAGTTTTTTCGGGCGCTCGACTTACCTATGGGTTCTAGAAAGACTGTGTTGGCGAAACGCACTTCCGGTATCCAGAGGGCGCACACCACGTGCGCCCACTGACTTCGGTCGGTTTGCTTGAAAGCGCCGCCTTGATTGGGGCACAGAACGCAATCTACGGCCCTGCTGGGCGATTGCAAACATCTAAAATCAATTTTGAAAATGTTAAGAATTTTGAAATTATGAAAGTTTTTGATAATTTCGGAAATTCTTAAAATTTTGTAAAATTTGATAATTAAGATTAAATGTTAAAAACATTTTCCTACCATTTTTTAAATTTTGAACTGCTGTGCGAATTTGTCCTACCATTTTTTAAGTTTATGTCACGGTGCGAATTTTGTCTTTGTTTCCGTTTCATCTTTCATTTTAAAAATTTGTTAATTTTGTAATTTTTGAAAACTGGTTTTTGAATTTTTTTTCAACACTTTTCCTTACATTTTTATATATTTATACAACTGTGCAAATTTGTCCTACTATTTTTTAAATTTATGCTACTTTGCGAATTTTGTTTAGAGATATGCCATTTACATTTCACCTTGATATTTTTTTAACAAATTTAACAATTTAACAATTTTTTAACATTTCTTATATACATATTTCTACTAGTGGGCGAATTTTTCCCAACATTTTTTAACTTTATGTTACTTTGCGAATTTTCGTTTTTATAATTATAAAAATTTTGAAAACTTGATTTTGGAATTCTTGAAAAATCTTTTAAAATTCTGGAGAGTTTTAACATTTTTCCTATCATTTTTTAATTTTGAACTACTATGCGAATTTGTCCTACCATTTTTTAAATTTATTCTACTGTGCAAATTTAGTTGGAGATGGGCGCACGCCGTTTCCGTTTCATCTTTCGTTTTGAAAATTTTGTAATTTTGAAAATTTTGTTAATTTTTAAAAATTCAGGAAACTTTTGAATTTTTTAATATTCTAAAGTTTAACATTTTTAAATTTCTTATTTTTTAACATTTTTTCCACCATTTTTAATATATTTATACCATTGTGCGATTTTTTCCCCGTTTTTTTTTTAAATTTTGAACAATTGTGCGAATTTGTCTTACCTTTTTTTAAATTTTTGCTACTGCGCGAATTTTGTTGCGCATGCCGTTTCCGTTTTATCTTTTGTAGTGAAAATTATAAAAATTTTGGAAATTTGGATAATTTTTTTTGTGCGAATTAATCCCACAATTTTTTTAATTTTGAACCACTGTGCGAATTTTGTTGGAGATAGGCACGCGTCGTTTCCGCTTTATCTTTCGTTTTGACAATTATGAAAATTTTGGAAATATTGAAAATTGTGTAATATAAAAAAAAAATTTGTTATTTTTCGAAATTTTTAAAATTCTTAAAATTTTCGGCAGCATTTTTGTAAATTTTAAACTACTGTGCCAATTTCTACCACAATTTTTTGATTTTAAACCACTCTGCGAATTTGTCCTACCATTTTTTAATTTTAACTACTGTGCGATTTTTCCACACGCTTCGTTTACGTTTTATCTTTTTGATTTTGAACCACTGTGCAAATTTGTCCTACCATTTTTTAATTTTGAACTAATGTGCGAATTTTCCACACAATTTTTTTAATTTTGAACCACTGTGCGATTTTGTCCTTTCCGTTTTATCTTTCGTTTTGACAATTATGAAAATTTTGGCAATTTTAAAAATTGTGTAATTTAAAAAAAAAATTTAAATTCTTAAAATTTGTCCCAGCATTTTTTTAAAATTTTAAACTACTGTGCCCATTTTTACAACAATTTTTTGATTTTGAACCACTGTGCGAATTTGTCAAACCATTTTTTAATTTTGAACTACTGTGCGAATTTTCCACACAATTTTTTATTAATTTTGAACCACTGTGCGAGTTTTGTTGGAGAACAATTATGAAAATTATGGTAATTTTGAAAATTGTGTAATATAAAAAAAATCTTGTTAATTTTGAAATTTTTTAAATTCTTAAAATTTGTCCCAGCATTTTTTTAAATTTTAAACTACTGTTCCAATTTTTACCAGAATTTTTTGATTTTGAACCACTGTGCAAATTTGTCCAACCATTTTTTAATTTTGAACTACTGTGCGAATTTTCCACACGCGTCGTTTCCGTTTTATCTTTCGTTTAGACAATTATGAAAATTGTGAAATATAAAAAAAAATTTTGTTAATTTTGAAAATTTTTAAAATTGTGTAATTTAAAAGAAAATTGAAAATCTTGTTAATCAGGGAAATTTTTAAAATTCTTAAAGTTTGAATATTTTTAACATTTACACCACCGAGCGAATTTTTCCCACAACTTTTTTAATTTTGAACCACCGTGCAAATTTGTCCTCCCATTTTTTTATTTTGAACTACTGTGCAAATTTGTCCCACAATTTTTTTGATAATGCATAGCAATGTGCAAATTTTGTTGAAGATGTGCGCGTCGTTTCAGCTTTGGTTTTGATAATTGTGAAAATTTTGACAATTTTCAAAATTATGAAAGTTTCCACGGGCTTAAATTACAGCTTTCGGGGACAAAAACATTTTCATACATACCTCCTACATAACCACTGCCCCTCAGGTATATAAGGCACCCCGTAGCAATCCTGGTGCACGGCCAGGTTGCACATGTCGCAAAACAAGATGACGTTCGTGTTCTGGCATTCGCCGTCCATGCAGATGCAACACACGGCGTCATCGTCCACGACTGCGCCGGTGTGTCCGTTCACGCTCGCTTGAAAGTACGATTCTTTCTCCAGCCGGTCCATAAGCAACTCCAAAGAATCTACGGACACGGAGGCCAGACCGGTAGATTCCCGTTTTTCGTTCATTATCGACAACCAGGCTGTGTCTTCCTCGTCCAAGTCGTACTCGACCTAAACGTTGTTATTTTTGTTATGTCAATCATACCTATATTAGGGTGATTCATTTCCGCAAAGTTTTTGGTTTTTTTTCGGTGCTCAAGCAAAATATTAATCTGCATATAGGAAAAAACATTCTCACCAAGTTAATATTAATTTTAAGCACTTACTATTTAAATTTAAAGTTTTACCGTCTAAAATGCATGTAAAAAATATATTTTTTTTTTCAAATTTCTAATGCTTACCCACCTTTGACAACATTGCAAATCGGTTTAATACACCTTATGGGGAATTTCACGCCCTTTAAAATTGCTTTTGAGTTTTTTTTGTAACTCGCATTGGTTCACCAGTAGTAGTCGTCAAAGGACAGTTTTTGAAAAAAATCGTTTTTTTTATTTTTTCGAGCAAATCGCCAAAAGTAGTGAGAAAAAAGGGCTGATTCATAAAAAAAAGTTATCCAACCAATATTTAATGAATTTACTGCCACTTTTATAACTGAAAACGTAAGAAATTGATAAATACCAACCCATAATGTTATTTAGATTGATTTTTTCTATTTATTATCATTATATTTCCCTACACTAAGAACTTTTTTAAAATTATTATGATTTCTCACTCATAATGAATATGAAAACAACACATAAATTCATAAAAAAACAACAAAACTTTAATCAGAATATACAGAAGGTTATGTAACAACATATTTCAAATATCACTTCAAAAAATTAAATAATCTTCATTTATATTTTTTTGCTATATGACAGAAATGTTGAAAAATTGCAAAATCCACGTTACAATTTTCTTATTGTTTTTTTATGAATTTATCTGTTGTTTTCATATTCATTATAAGTGAGAAATCAATAATTTTAAAAAAACTTCTTAGTGTAGGGAAATATAATGATAATAAATAGAAAAAATTAATCTAAATAACATTATGAGTTGGTAATTATCAATTCTTACGTTTTCAGTTATAAAAATGGCTGTAAATTCATTAAATATTGGTTGGATAACTTTTTTTTATGATTCCGCCCTTTTTTCTCCCTACTTTTTGCGGTTTGTTAGAAAAAATTAAAAAAAAACAATTTTTTTCAAAAACTGTTCTTTGACGACTCCTACTGGTGAACCAATGCGAGTTACAAAAAAAAACTCAAAAGCAATTTTAAAGAGCGTGAAATTCCCCATAAGGTGTATTAAACCGATTTGCAATATTGTCAAAGGTGGGTAAGCATTAGAAATTTGAAAAAAAAATTATTTTTTACATGCATTTTAAACGGTAAAACTTTAAATTTAAATAGTAAGTACTTAAAATTTATATTAAGAGCTCAAACTTGTTGAGAATTTTTTTTTTCTATATGCAGATTAATATTTTGCTTGAGCACCGAAGAAAACAAAAACTTTGCGGAAATGAATCACCCTAACCTATCCCACTCCCACTAGATAATACACTCACAGGCAAAATAATCGATCCACACAAATTTTCGATGAATTTCAATCGCAAATAACTTTTTTATTTGATGTCGGATTTAAACGAATATTAAAGAATATTGTAGATAAATTAATGGACAATCGCTCACATTTTAAAAAATTACTAAAAAATACACGTACGTTTATAATATACAGGTTTAAACAAAAAGATGTTTTTTACCATAAGTTTAAGACACTCTGTAGAGTGGCAAAACTGTATATTGTTCTAAATTAAGTTTTATTTATCAAGTCACATCTATTCTAACAGTTTTGTTTTTGGTTCACCTCGATATATTTATTTTTGTGGAAAATATGAATTTTTTAAAAAAACATTGCAATTTCCAATATTTTTCTGTATGAAGAACTAAGGTTGCTATGGTCCATTCATAGGCTATGGAGAATTACAGTGAAAGTTTTGTTGAATCATCCCATACTTGGACATGTCATACACGGCTTTCAAAAGCTATCAAATTGTTTTTTGCAAATTAATGTTTAAATTTTGAGGTGTCTTCTTACTTTAAAAAATGGATATGTCTCCGACTGATGTTGCCAGAGCCATTAATTTAATCCAGGATGGACGGTCACAGTATTACGTGCCAAGTGTTTTAAACGTCACAAGAAGTAAAGTACAAAGGGCAACATCAGTCGGAGACATTTTTAAAAGTAAGAAGACGCCACATTAATTTACAAAAAACAATTTGATACCTTTTGAAAGCTGTATATGACATGTCCAAGTATGGGATGATTCAACAAAACTGTCACTGTCGTCCTCCATAGGCTATGGATGGACCATAGCAACCTTAGTTCTTCATACAGGAAAAATATTGGAAATTGCAATGTTTTTTATAAAAATTCATATTTTCCACAAAAATAACTATATCGAGGTGAACCAAAAACAAAACTGTTAAGAATAGATGTGACTTGATAAATAAAACTTAATTTAGAACAATATACGGTTTTGCCACTCTACAGAGTGTCTTAAACTTATGGTAAAAAAACATATTTTTGTTTAAATCTGTATATTATAAACGTACGTGTATTATTTAGTAATTTTTAAAATGTGAGCGATTCTCCATTAATGTATCTACAATATTCTTTAATATTTGTTTAAATCCGAAATCAAATAAAAAAGTTATTTGCTATTGAAATTCATCGAAAATTTGTGTGGATCGATTGTTTTGCCTGTGAGTGTATAATAATAATACGCTAAAGAAGTATCGGGTTTTCGCAACACGCGCCATCTGATGACATTTTTAAGAAATTAGTAAAAAATAATTTTTGCACAAACATAACCTTAAAATCAACAATTTTTATGTTTGAGTTGTCTAAAAAACGCCGACAACTGCATTTAAACAACAAAATATACCTACGAATTCATGGCAACATAATATTATATATAATACATAATATAATGGTATTTTACCGTTGAGTGGAGACTTTCTTAATCAACGCTTTTAATAATGCTAAATGCTGTTTAAATTTAGACGACTTATTTGTTTGACGATTTTTACTGAATTGAAATTACACTTTTCACGTTAATCACTACTAAAATGTGTATTTATTGTATCTAATAGATACGATTTATATTTACAGGGACTGTATGCAATTTACCGGTAAAACCTCAACCCAGGATTTCCTCTCAAAATGTACCCAACAACACAACTAATCGTGCCACGGTTTTTTTATCGACATTTTTTAACATTTTCCGGCTTTATTCTCAAAAACGCTAGTTTGTAACACACGCGTTTGACAGCTAATTATCAAAAGTTGTACTACCGATACTTCTTTAGCGTATAACGCAAAAATAGCCTCCACCAAACCTTAACATGGCGAGAAATAATTGATTTATTGCTTTTAAATATATTTTTAGTGACTGTGGAACACCCTGTATATTAATGTACATTACCTCCCCATCTAATTCTTCAGTACTTTTTTCTATAAACCTTATATAAGCATTTGGTCTGGCTGGCGCGTCGCATATATTGTAATCCTCCATTATTTTGTAGCTAGCGGTTGGTAAACATGGTATGGGTTCTAAAATGTACATTTTCATTCTATAATACCTACACTGTATACAGAGATTATCAGTGACAGATTTATAAATAAAAAAATAATTTAAATTAAAATTTTTGTTTGTTTTATAGCTTGTATTTGTTCCATTTACTTTGAAGATAGTTGCTATAAGAAGGAAAATTGGTTTGAAAAACAAAAAAACTACATTCCTATAAAAAAGTCTTTAAAAGTGGATACAGCTCCAACTTTACACTTAACAGCTGATATATCAAAAGAGAAATCAAGTACTTTGTAAGAAATGGGGTAGTTAAATTTTTTCTGACCTATACTTTTTATGGTTTTATTTAAGGCGTTTTGTAATTTTAAACATTTCTGTGAAATTGGAATTTCAATTGAGTTTACCGTTTTCGAGATATTTACAAAAAAAAATCTCCTAATTACGTCACTAGGCTATTGACAACGTTGCCAGCTTTTTCTATGGTTGCCAGTGTGTTTAGTTTAAGATTCTTACGATAGATGGCGCCACGTTATAATATTTTAGTTTTAAAACCACTTGATCCATAATTTTTGTTGAGAAGAAGAAGAATTGTTTTTTTGACGTTTCTTTTTTTCGGGTTATGTTTTTTTTAAATTTAGATTATTGAAAATCAATGTTATTGTTATGTTATTTGTAATTGATATTAGATAAGTGATTTATTAATAACGGACTCCAAAGCAGAGGAATCTTGTGGAATGGTTGGTTACATTGAACATTGGAGCTTTTAAACAAATAAAGTACATACCTATAATTATAATCATATTTTGTCGTAAATGCATTTCATTAGTATAATGCCTAGTTCTTTATATTCTTTTAGATATATCTTGGACTCTAAAATATCAAACAGTAATATGATACCTCGTAATAAGGAAGATACTTAATGAATTTGGTGACCATCTTTCACTCAACTGACAGTGACAGTATTTGTACATAACCTCTTCGGGTATTTTCTGAAATAACCGAATGAAATCATTAACAAGACAACTTGACAACAGGGTAATTTTCAACCAATAGAAATCTTAGAATGTTGGTCACATGGCGAGGTTTGTGACGTCATAAAAATTTATATTTTTTGTAAATATCTCGAAAACGGTAAACTCAATTGAAATTCCAATTTTACAGAAATGTTTAAAATTACAAAACGCCTTAAATAAAACCATAAAAAGTATAGGTCAGAAAAAATTTAACTACCCCATTAAAATAAAATTGGAAAAAACAATATAAATCATAGTTCTTTTTACAGTGTACAAGAAATAGGACAAAACCAGGAAGCATATTATGATCTTTGAAGACAGTCCATAACAGAAACTCAAACTCTAAGAAATCAAGTTCTGCAGTGTAAGAAATTAAAATAAAATTTGAAAAACAAAATTAGATCTTTCTTTTTGCCCTGTGCAGGAAATGTGCCAAGATGATCTTCAATTTAGGGTTTTTCACTCTTTATATTTGCTTTAAAACATAATATTTTATTATATTGAAAACATTTCACTTAAATAAGATATTTATTTATTTATTGTCTATGGTTAATTATCAATTCTGATTTTTCAGATATAAAAAATCATGGACTGTTTTCGTTAATTTTATCGGTTTAAAATCCTTTTTAACTTTAAAAAAATAAAAACTTTTTATTATTTAATAATGTTATATTTATATAAACACCAAGTTTTATTGTTTAACCTTTTTAAGAATTGCCTTGTTTTCCATTACAACAAAAAATTAAGAAACTTACCACTTGGTGCTTCAACTTTGACCTCATGATTATCTTCATCAGAAAAATCTTCTCTAGGTACAATTTCAATGCAGTCATTAATATTCCATCTTAGTGGAATATTATTTACCTCAAACTGTACCATTTTCTGTGCCTCATCAAAAGTTAGAGGTTCAGGAACATTTGGTGTAGCCGGTATTTTGGCCGTTGATATTCTTGACCTCCCTATACATTATGTACATTAAAAATGTGTTAAAAGAACACAATTTGTTTTCATTAAAATTATAGTTACTTAACAATTATTCAGTTTCAAAGATAGATTTACATTTGGTTTTAACCTTACTACACAAACTTGGTACGAACCTTTTTTATTTTTTGGTGTGTTAGGTGTTGATGGTGGTAGAGGTGTCGGGTTGTCATGATCGTAACTTTTTAAGTGATATTGCAAACCGCATACTGATTTATAGTTCCTACCACATTTTTCCACAGGGCAGGTGTAGGGCGGCCCGTGATCCGCCCTTGCTTTCCTGCAATGCTCCAAAATATCAAAATCTATCCCCATTTTAATATCCTATAAGAATTTTGAGGTTATGTTTTTTTGTTTTACTTAATTCTTCTGTTTGGGGGTTTATTTTGACTTAAAACCATGTTAAAACGTTGTTCTACAAGTTACTTGGGCTTATCTCACTAGAATTATTCGGTATTTTCGATTATATTGCGGTTTTTTATGGTAAATATCAACAAAACGCGAGAAATTTGACGTTTGTCAACAAACAACAGTGTCGCCAACACAACAAACCTTTAAGGCAGTGTTGTCAACATCCTCTTCGAACGGTACAATTTTCAAAACACCAGCTATATGGCCTGTTTCCAGATGCCTACACGTTAACTATTATATTTTCCAAACAATTTGCACTACAAGGAAACGATCAAATCAAGGGGTTTTCAGTTTTTGCTGAAAAAATTACCAGAAATCGATTATGTCCACTGTATTGGCAACACTGGATAAACGTCAAAATCCCCAGTTTTTAAACTTGATAGCGACAGTTGTGCGGCAAAAAAATGCCTAAATCTCGTTTTTTATACAGAACTGTAAACTCTTTAATGTCGTAAAATGTGCTGTTAGTCTGTGTTGTGTTTGTGTGGAAAAGAAAGAGGTAAGTTTATTATATTATCGATGTTTTCGTTGATGTTTTCAGAACGTGTTTTGTAACGTACTTTTTGACAGTTGAAAGAAATGAAATTTAAATGTCTCTTTGAGGGTTTTTAAACGCGGTTTTTAAGTAAATAATGCTGTTTAATTGGTAAATTAATGCTTTTTAATTTATAAATAAGCACAAATATCAGCGTACAATCACAATATCTGGTTACAACAGTAACTGTTACATCTCACTGCTGTTTAGTAGGCATCACCTCTATAAAAGCCCTCTTCAGCAGGAGGAAGAACTGGAGATGGGGAGGAGAAAAAATAGGCGCCGTAGGATCCCGATCAAGAAGCCCGATGTCGCGGAAATTTCCTCCCAAACCGACGAAATGATGGGGGATGTGATGCGCACTTGTTTTGACGACTCCCTCAAAAGGAGTAGGGGGGAGTTGACGCCGTTCGGGAGGACTTTGACGCCCTTGACCACTCCTCCGCCGCGACTATCGGAGGGTGGGGGTGCGCCGTTGGAGGGGGAGGAGATACAGGGGACGCCGGTTAATCACTACAGGTGAGTTTTGGGGGATTTTTTAAATTTAGACGTTTTTTGTTTTTTTTAGTATTCTCCAAAAACAAACTTTTTTAGCATTTTTAAGACATTTTTCAATAGCTATAACTGTCTTAAGAATTATTTAGCCTACTATTATTATAATTAACTATAATAGTTAAGCTACTTTATTTGTAAAGCTGTAGTCTTACTAGACATTCTTATTAATCCAGTTAACATTCTTAAGACAGTTATACTTAAGTAGCTTAACTTTTTTTTAGGACCTTTATAGCTAGCTTAAGTTGACATTCTTAAGATAGTGGTATATAGCTAAAGTTGATATTTTTAAGACAGTTATATTTATAGCTATAACTGTCATAAAAATGCTTTAGCCTACTATTAAAGTTAAGCTACTATAATTGAATCTGTGAGATTAAGTCAAAAAGTTAAAATGTTGACAAATTATTTCATAAATTTAAATCTAAAAAAAATTAATTTTAAACTTAAATTGATTTTAGAAAATGATTTGTCAAAATGTTGCATATGTACTGTACTGTACTAATTATTATAGTAGGCCAAAGGTGAAGACAGTTATATCTATAGCTATAACTGTCTTAAAAATTATTTAGCCTACTATTATTATAATTAACTATAATAGTTAAGCTACTTTATTTGTAAAGCTGTAGTCTTACTAGACATTCTTATTAATCCAGTTAACATTCTTAAGACAGTTATACTTAAGTAGCTTAACTTTTTTTTAGGACCTTTATAGCTAGCTTAAGTTGACATTCTTAAGATAGTGGTATATAGCTAAAGTTGATATTTTTAAGACAGTTATATTTATAGCTATAACTGTCATAAAAATGCTTTAGCCTACTATTATAGTTAAGCTACTATTATTGAATCTGTGAGATTAAGAACAGTACAAGTCAAAAAGTTAAAATGTTGACAAATTATTTCATAAAATTTAGTTTTATAGTTCAAAATGCATTTTTGTGAGAATATTTCAACTATTTTATAAAATATAATAATTAAATTTTGTAAAAAAAATTAAATCTCAAATAAATGCATTTTAAACTTAAATTGATTTAAAACAATGATTTTTCAAAATAAAAATTTTGCACATGTACTGTCCTGTAGACAGTTAAATCAATCCAGTTTACATTCTTCAGACAGTCAGATCTAGCTTAAATGAACATACTTAAGACAGTTATATCTAGCTTAAGTTGGCATTTTTAAGACAGTTATATCTATAGCTATAACTGTCTTAAAAATGCTTTAGCCTATTATAATTCTATGGCTGTAGTTTTACTAGGCATTCTTAAGACAGTCATATCTAGCTTAAGTTGACATTCGTAAGACAGTTATACCTAGCTTAAGTTGACAGTTATAACTGTATTAAGAATGCTATTATGGTAAGACTATAGCTATACTAAAATAGTAAAGCTATATTTTTACTAGACATTCTTAAGACAGTCATATCTAGCCCAAGTTGAAATTCTTAAGGCGTCATGTAAGGCTATAGTTTTACTAGACATTCTTAAGACAGTTATATCTATCTAAAGTTTACATTCTTAAGACAGTCATATCCAGCTTAAGTTGACATTCGTAAGACAGTTATACCCAGCTTAAGTTGACAGTTATATCTATAGTTATTACTGTATTAAGAATGATATTATGGTAAGGCTGTAGCTATGCTATAATAGTAAAGCTATATTTTTACTAGACATTCTTAGGACAGTCATGTCTAGACCAAGTTGAAATTTTTAAGGCAGTCATATAAGGCCATAGTTTTACTAGATATTCTTAAGACAGTCATATCTAGCTTAAGTTGACATTCTTAAGACAGTCATATCTAGCTTAAGTTTACATTCTTAAGATAGTTATATCTAGCTTAAGTTGACAGTTATATCTATAGTTATAACTGTATAGCTATACTATACTAGTAAAGCTATAATTTTATTAGACATTCTTAGGACAGTCATATCTAGCCCAAGTTGAAATTCTCTTATAAGGCTTAAGTTGACATTCTTAAGACAGTTATATCTAGGTTAGACATTCTTAAGACAGATATCTAGCTAGAAGTTGACACAACCTTTTTGTCGTTGTCAGAAGTCTACAGAGAAGCCAAAAAAAGAACAACAGTTTCAACGTGACCAACCTAAACATACTTTTCGACTCCAACTTTGTCTACAACGACACAAGCCAGTGCGACGGCAAGATCAGCATGAAATCGGGTTCCCGGGGAACCCCGTGTCAACCCTCGAAAAACGAGGCGGCGGTGCAAGCCAACAACGAGCTGGCCGAGACCCCCAAAATGAGCAGGGTCTACTTGATCGACAAGACGTTTGTGAGCCCCGTCGAAAAGTTGATGAAAAAAATCAACAACAAAAACGTCAGCCAGGAGGTGAATTTGAACCCCTACCTGAAGGACAAGTTGTTCAAGGAGACCATCGAGGGTGACTTGTCGTTTTTCAACCCTCAACTTTTCAACTTAAAGTGTTCTTCCACCCCTATAGATAAATTAGGTGCGGTGCGCGAAAAAAAGGAGGACGAGGAGGCTGAGTGCAGCTACAAAGTTCAAGCAAGGTAAGTCTTCGTGCGGAAAAAATAGTGGGAGTATAACGTTTTTTTCACTAAAGGGTGGAACACCTGTCTCCAAAAATACTTCACAAAACGCCACCAAACCATCCAGACTCTACGAAATCCTACAGACTGCATTCGGTGCAGATGAGTCATAGGAAATCGTACAGGAGTCCGAAAGTTGCGCGTGCCATTCACAGGGGGCGCTTGTACGATAGGAGTCACAACTTCGCCTACTCCAGACTTTGCATAAGCAACCGAAGTTGCGCTAGTAGTATAGACGACAACGGGGTTTACAACAAATTAATGGGGAGGTTGAAAAAGTACAGCAAAATGTCCGCCAAGTGGTCTTTGAAGGTGGTAGATGTGTGCTCCCAGCTGGGAGTTACTTTGAAGAATGTAAGTACAGTTGAAGGTGGTGTTATTACCACCCATGGTACAAGAAAACAAGATGTGTTCTTCGGTCTTTTCAACTTTTAACTTCTTTTTTTGTGGTCTTCGAATGCTCATTCCAAGTACTGACTTCAAAGAAGATTCAGCCGTATTTGGCCAGTCGTTGCTTACTAAGCTGAGAAGTTAAAAGGCAGATATGCGCAATTTAATTGGATTAAGTACCGAAAATATTTTGTATTTTTTGTTTTGTTGTTGACAAATTTCCAAATGTCCCAGAAGCTAACTTTCTAGAATTACCAGAATCTTGGATTTTTTATATATTTTTTATTGCGATTTTGCAAAATTTCTTTATTTTAGGAATTTTGGAAAAATAAAGTTTTGAAAAAATTGTCAAATTTTCGAAAATCTTTAAAATTTACAAATTATTGAAAATATTTAAAAATATAAATCTGTATTTGGATATTTTTTTAAATATTCAAAAAATTTCCAAAATTTTTCAACTTTAAACTTCTTTTTTTTGTTGTCTTGGAATGCTCACTCCAAGTACTGACTTCAAAGAAGATTCAGCCGTATTTGGCCAGTCGTTGTTTACTAAGCTGAGTTAAAAGGCAGATATGCGCAAATTATTTTGCTTAAGTACAGAAGTATCGTCGAAATTATTTTGTAATTTTTGTTCTTTTTTGTTGACAAATTTCCAAATGTCCCAGAAGCTAACTTTCTAGAATTACCAGAATCTTGGATTTTTTATATATTTTTTATTGCGATATTGCAAAATTTCTTTATTATAGGAATGTTGGAAAAATAAAGTTTTGAAAAAATTGTCAAATTTTCCAAAATCTTTAAAATTTACAAATTATTGAAAATATTTAAAAATATAAATCTGTATTTGAATATTTTTTTAAATATTCAAAAAATTTCCAAAATTTTTAAACTTTAAACTTCTTTTTTGTGGTCTTTGAATGCTCACTCCAAGTACTGACTTCAAAGAAGATTCAGCCGTATTTGGCCAGTCGTTGCTTACTAAGCTGATCATCTTGGCACATTTCCTGCACAGTGCAAAAACAAAGATTTAATTTTGATTAATTATACTACATACTAAGGAAATGTCACTTACAAAACTTTAAAATAGTGGTGGAAACAGATGCGCAAGAACACACCTTGTTTTCTTGTACCATTTTACCACCCTTAGCTAAAACAACCACTGTTGGGAAAACAAAATGTTCAATATTGTTTTTTTAGAGTTTGTCATCGATATGTAACATTTACAACGAAACCTCGCTCGAAAACAAAAGCATGTGCCGTTGTGAAGAGTACAAATTGGAAATTGCAAGACTGAACGGTAAAATAGCCGAGCTAAAAGACGAATTAAACGCCTATAAGGGCAAAATGAACGACCAAAATCGAAATAGAGACGATTTAGGCGAACTGACGGAATCTTTGCGCAAAGTAAAGGTGGAATTGTGTCAAATAACCGAATTAAGGTCGGAACTGGAGGCGCTGAAGAGTCAGTTTGCTTGTTTCAAGGCCTTACCGCAGGTACCTCACTCAATCTAGCCGCTGCGCAATGGTTGAAAATCCCAAAAACCCGGACATCGATAAAATTTTAGTAAAAAATGTGGATATGAGGGTTTCTCTTGGTTTTTGCGGTCGCTGGTTACCAGGCTGTACTTTTCTGCGCTAACGCTCACTTGTTTAAAAAATTTTTTTTTTTTGGTCGTCTTCAAAATTATCTGTTCTGGAACACTTTTGTGAAAAATCTGTCCGATATCGCTTTGTTCCTTTCAGAAAATCCAAACTTCAAATCAATCACTTTTGTTATCATTTTAAAAGTAAAGGGAATGAGAATTGTTTAAGTATCTTCGAATATTAATAAATGACAGTGTAATCAATGTATTTCACGTGCCACATTAATTTTTCTGATGGTCTGGGACGAAACATTTTTCCCTTTTGGTGGACCACAATTTCACAAAAGGTCTTAATATATCAAAGTTATATATGCACTAGGGTGATTCATTTCCGCAAAGTTTTTGTTTTTTTTCGGTGCTCAAGCAAAATATTAATCTGCATATAGGAAAAAACATTCTCACCAAGTTTGAGCTCTTAATATTAATTTTAAGCACTTACTATTTAAATTTAAAGTTTTACCGTTTAAAATGCATGTATAAAAATATATTTTTTTTCAAATTTCTAATGCTTACCCACCTTTGACAATATTGCAAATCGGTTTAATACACCTTATGGGGAATTTCACGCTCTTTAAAATTGCTTTTGAGTTTTTTTTGTAACTCGCATTGGTTCACCAGTAGGAGTCGTCAAAGGACAGTTTTTGAAAAAAATCGTTTTTTTTTTATTTTTTTCGAGCAAATCGCCAAAAGTAGTGAGAAAAAAGGGCTGATTCATAAAAAAAAAGTTATCCAACCAATATTTAATGAATTTATTGCCATTTTTATTACTGAAAACGTAAGAAATTGATAAATACCAACCCATAATGTTATTTAGATTGATTTTTTCTATTTATTATCATTATATTTCCCTACAATAAGAACTTTTTTAAAATTATTATGATTTCTCACTCATAATGAATATGAAAACAACACATAAATTCATAAAAAAAACAACAAAACTTTAATCGGAATATACATATTTCAAATTTCGCTTCAAAAAATTAAATAATCTTCATTTATATTTTTTTACTATATGACATAAATGTTGAAAAATTGCAAAATCCACGTTACAATTTTCTTATTGTTTTTTTATGAATTTATCTGTTGTTTTCATATTCATTATAAGGGAGAAATCAATAATTTTAAAAAACTTCTTAGTGTAGGGAAATATAATGATAATAAATGGAAAAAATCAATCTAAATAACATTATGAGTTGGTAATTATCAATTTCTTACGTTTTCAGTTATAAAAATGGCTGTAAATTCATTAAATATTGGTTGGATAACTTTTTTTTATGATTCAGCCCCTTTTTTCTCACTACTTTTTGCGGTTTGTTAGAAAAAATTAAAAAAAACGATTTTTTCAAAAACTGTCCTTTGACGACTCCTACTGGTGAACCAATGCGAGTTACAAAAAAAAACTCAAAAGCGTGAAATTCCCCATAAGGTGTATTAAACCGATTTGCAATATTGTCAAGGGTGGCTAAGCATTAGAAATTTGAAAAAAAAAATATATTTTTTACATGCATTTTAAACGGTAAAACTTTAAATTTAAATAGTAAGTACTTAAAATTTATATAAGAGTTTAAACTTGTTGAGAATTTTTTTTTCTATATGCAGATTAATATTTTGCTTGAGCACCGAAGAAAACAAAAACTTTGCGGAAATTAATCACCCGATTGATGCACGTGATCGACTCCATTCTAAACTTGAAATTCTGACTTTCGATTTTTACATATCTGAAGAGTTTTTGGGATTTTTAACCACTGTGTGTGCTACTCCTCCAAAGAAAGCATATATATGAAAGTTACCATTGCAGGTTGTGGTCACCGCTCCTTCTCAGTGCGGTTCCGCGCAAATAGGGGAACCTTCTTCCCTACCACCACCACCTCCTCCCATGATGAAGCTACCTCCTCCCCCTCCTCCTCCTCCACCCCCTCCTCCGCCGCCTCCCATGATGTCCTTGGGCAACGCGTCGCTGAAAATTACGAGGAAATCGAAGAGCGAGGAGTCTAGGAAAAGTGACGAGGGGAGACCGGTTATCTCGTTGGACGATATTTTGAAGGTTAAATTGAAAAAAGCAGGGGTAAGTAAAATATTTTATCCTTTGATTTGTTTTATTACTAAAATTGCATAATATAATTAAAAATTCTTACACATGTGTACATCAAAATTTATCCTTGAAAATAAACTAACAATCGATATAGATGCAGTTTTTCACAGTAAAAGAGGTCAATTTTAAGAAATAAAAATTTCAATTCGAACCATTATTAAAGAAATTAGCAGCAAAAAACAAAAAACGCGATTGTTTTGAAAATTTGGTATCTTTGAACGAGTAATCAAAAAAATATCAAACTTTACCAGAAAGGGAGTACCTACTTAAAAATATCGAAAAATAAAAGAAATCAAAAATCAACATTTTTCAAACTGTCCGACCCGATCAACCCTGCCCCTGCCCTGATAGCAAAATTTGATTTTAAGAATTTTCTAAGAAGATATGACCCGGCATAATGGAATATTCTTAAAACCTTCCCGTATTGCTAAGAATGTTCTTAGGGACTTTTAAAACATTCAATAGATACCATTTTAATGATGCAATTAGATTCTTAAAAGCTTCTTAAAACCTTCCTAAAAAGCATCCTAAGAACATTTTAAGAATACGTTTTTGGAATGTTCTTAGAAGGTTTCTTATGGAGCTTCTGGGAATCTTTTGAGAATATTTACAAATATGTCAGATAGCCACGTTCTAATATGTTGTATTCTACATTCGTAAAATTCTTCAGGAGACGACAAATACGCCTCACTGTCATAATATGACAGTGAAATGTATTTGTCGTCCCCTTAAATTTTGCGACATATTCCGGCCAATTCATTATCATCAGTCGTTAACGTTAGCCACTAGAATTAGTGGTTATCGTTATATTTAATCGCCCTGATTGGTCGGATTGACCGATAACCACTGATTCTAGTGGCTAACGATAACGACTAATGTTAGTGAATTGGCCTGATTAATGTATATTTATTTTAGTTTTATGACATTATTTCATAAAAAGTAAAATTGGAAAATTTTGTGGGATAAGTCAGATTAGATTGAAGTTGAAGATAGTTGGGATTATTATACATAAAAATGTTAATTCAGAAATAAAAAATCGGTATACAAATTAATAAATATTTATTTTTAACATAAAATAAAATACCTATAAGTAGTAAAAGTATTTTTGTTATCGAATATTGTTTTAATTTGACAAATAACTATAAAAAATATTTTGGATTGTGTTTTTTACTTAGTATTTAATACTTATTACTAATTAGGTACTTAAGTATAGGTAAGTATACGTAGTTTATGGTATATTTTACTATTATATAGGTAACTGAACTAAATATGCTTAACAGGAATATTCCTAAATGAACTTTCTATAGCAATTACTTTCTTAACATTCCAAGCATATGTTTAGAGTAGACTTATTTTTACCACTAAAACTTTGCTCCTTCTAAGAACCTGCCTATAGGCCAGTAGGAATATTCTTAGGATCATGCAATATGTCTTTTAAGCATGTTCTTTAGAAAAAATATAGCATGATCCTAAGAATATTCTCACTGGAAGGTTTAAAAAACGTTCTTAGAATAAAGTGTGCTATCATGTATTAGGTGACACCCTGTATGTACAGTAGAAACCACAAATATATGAATGTGACTCATCAGGCACAATCGTACGAAGCAATCTATCGAAGGTCACGGGAAATTGTATTCCAGTGCAGTGCTGTTCTAACGGGGGCATAAGTATTTGTACAAACACTTGAGTGTAATGTTGGTTGCTATACTTCTGATATATTTGATTTTAAAGTTAAATTTTAATAATTAATTAATCTTTGTATTTACCGTTTTAATCCAAAAAACGTGCAATAACAATTGCAATAAAAACCACTGCCACTACAACGTTTAAAACGATTATTAGTCCGTAAACACACACCGTTTATTTAAAGTCCAAAAAACGTACAATAACAATTGCAATAAAGTCCAATAAACGTGCAATAAAAATTGCAATAAAAACCACTAGCACTACAACGTTTAAAACGATTATGAATCTGTAAACACACAGCAGAAACACGATATGCAAAAAACAAAGATCATATGACATATAAAAACAAATGGCCGACGGTAGAGTTGGTTGCCTTACTATGTAATAAAATAAAATAAATTGCCTAAAACACGAACTGTACTGAATTCCAACAAAAATAAGTAACAAGCTAGGACACAAGCGTCATATGTCCATCTTTGTCCAACACTTAGGCAGTTTTACATCACAGATGGCGCATTTTAGACCGGATGCTTAAAAACCTACGTGCGAGTACATTTACCGCTGCATCGAATGTACAAGACAAGTAAAACAATACTGCTAGCATGTCTGAGATATGTACGGCACCCGATGAGTCGCGTTCATATATTGGTGGTCTCTACTGTAATTGGAAAAACACATTTTTCAATATTAAAATCGCGACTGTAAAGTGACGCTTCGCTCTAGGACCGTCCGACGTCGACTCCCCTGCGTCGGAGCAGCCAACCGGTGGTGAGCATGGAGCAGCTGCGGCAGGTGCGCCTGCGCCCCGCGTCGCGCCAATCGGCGCGCCAGACGTCGCTCACCCCCTCCACCACTTCCGGTCACTCGGACGCCGCCGACGGATCGGCGCAGGCGCCCAGCACCTCCCCCCACTCCTCGCTCAGCCGCCTGCTGAACGACAGCTCGCCCGTATGGAAGGTGAAAAGGTTGAAAAGCAACCGTTCGCGCTTCAGCTTGGATTCTGTTCGCAGGCACAGAACGCAGCAGCAGCAGCAGCAGCAACGTCACGTCACCAACCCGACGCCGAGTGCTGCCAGTTTTGACGCATCTTCTATTGGGGAGCTGAAAGAAGAAGACAGCAGCCCTCAACGCGGTTAGAGAACCCATAAAAGGTAGGAAAGTATTTTTTTTCAGTCATCAAAATGTCCCCTTAAATGAAAAATATTGATTTGGTGAGTTAAAAAGCTTAAAAATGCGCCCTACAAGTACAAAATCCCGATTCGTCACGACAAGCTTAAACATTTCACATTTGTTAAAATATTCTTAAAAATGTGAAAAATATTAACTTGGTGAGTTAAAAAGCTTAAAACTGTCCCCTATGTTACGACAAGCTTAAAAGTGTCCCATTTGTCAACACAACCTTAAAATTGTATATTAACCAAAAATGCTTAACTTTCAAGATTTTCTTAAACATTTCAAAAATTTTCATCTGCTGCGACAAGCTTTAAAATGTCCCCTTTATCAAGCTTAAAAATGCGCCCTACGTACAAAATCCCGATTCGTGACAAGCTTAAACACTTCACATTTGTTAAAATATTCCTAAAAATGTGAAAAAATATTAACTTGGTAAGTTAAAAAGCTTAAAATTGTCCCCTTTGTCACGACAAGCTCAAAAGTGTCCCATTTGTCAAGACAACCTTAAAATTGTATATTGGCCAAAAATGCATAATTTTAACATTTCAAAAATTTTCATTTGCTGCGACAAGCTTTAAAATGTCCCCTTTAACAAGCTTAAAAATGCGCCCTAAGCACAAAATCCCGATTCGTCACGACAAGCTTCAACATTTCACGTTTGTTACAATATTCCTAAAAATGTGAAAATATTAACTTGGTAAGTTAAAAAGCATAAAATTGTCCCCTTTGTTACGACAAGCTTAAAAGTGTCCCATTTGTCAAGACAACCTTAAAATTGTATATTGGCCAAAAATGCTTAATTTTTCAAGATTTTCTTAAACATTTATAAAATCTTCATTTGTTGCGACAAGCTTTAAAATGTCCCCTTTAACAAGCTTAAAAATGCGCCCTAAGTACAAAATCCCGATTCGTCACGACAAGCTTAAACATTTCACGTTTGTTAAAATATTCTTAAAAATGTGAAAAATATTAACTTGGTAAGTTAAAAAGCCTAAAATTGTTCCCTTTGTTACGACAAGCTTAAAAGTGCCCCATTTGTCAAGACAACCTTAAAATTGTATATTAACCAAAAGTGCTTAATTTTCAAGATTTTCTTAAACATTCCAAAAATTATCATTTGCTGCGACAAGCTTTAAATGTCCCCTTTAACAAGCTTAAAAATGTGCCCTATGTACAAAATACCGATTCGTCACGACAAGCTTCAACATTTCACGTTTGTTAAAATATTCTTAAAAATGTGAAAAATATTAACCTGGTAAGTTAAGAAGCTTAAAATTGTCCCCTTTGTTGCGACAAGCTTAAAAGTGTCCCATTTGTCAAGACAACCTTAAAATTGTATATTCGTCAAAAATGCTTAATTTTTCAAGATTTTCTTAAACATTTCAAAAATTTTCATTTGCTGCGACAAGCTTTAAAATGTGCCCTATGTACAAAATCCCGATTCGTCACGACAAGCTTAAACATTTCACGTTTGTTAAAATATTCTTAAAAATGTGAAAAATATTAACTTGGTAAATTTAAAAGCTTAAAATTGTCCCCTATGTTACGACAAGCTTAAAAGTGTCCCATTTAACAAGACAAGCTTAAAATTGTATATTGGCCAAAAATGCTTAATTTTTCAAGATTTTCTTTAACATTTCAAAAATTTTCATTTGCTGCGACAAGCTTTAAAATGTCCCTTTAACAAGCTTAAAAATGTGCCCTAAGTACAAAATCCCGATTCATCACGACAAGCTTAAACATTTGACGTTGGTTGAAATATTCTTAAAAATGTGAAAAATATTGATTTGGTAAGTTTAAAAGCTTAAAATTGTCCTTTAACTTTGTTGCGACAAGCTTAAAAGTGTCCCATTTGTCAAGACAAGCTTAAAATTGTTTATTGGCCAAAAATGCTTAATTTTTTAAGATTTTCTTAAACATTTAATAAATTTTCATTTGTTGCGACAAGCTTTAAAATGTCCCCTTTAACAAGCTTAAAAATACGCCCTATGTACAAAATACCGATTTGTCACGACAAGCTTAAACATTTCACGTTTGTTAAAATATTCTTAAAAATGTGAAAAATATTAACTTGGTAAGTTAAAAAGCTTAAAATTGTCCCCTTTGTTACGACAAGCTTAAAAGTGTCCCATTTGTCAAGACAAGCTTAAAATTGTATATTGGTCAAAAATGCTTAATTTTTCCAGATTTTCTTAGACATTTCAAAACTTTTCATTTGTTGCGACAAGCTTTAAAATGTCCCATTTAACAAGCTTAAAAATGCGCCCTAAGCACAAAATCCCGATTCGTCACGACAAGCTTAAACATTTCACGTTTGTTAAAATATTCTTAAAAATGTGAATAATATTAACTTGGTAAGTTAAAAAGCTTAAAATTGTCCGTTTGTTACGACAAGCTTAAAAGTGTCCCATTTGTCAAGACAAGCTTAAAATTGTATATTGGAAAAAATGCTTAATTTTTCAAGATTTTCTTAAACATTTCAAAAAATTTCGTTTGTTGCGATAAGCTTGCAAATGTCCCATTTAACAAGTCTAAAAATGTGCCCTACATACAATCCCGATTCGTCTCGACAAGCTTCAACATTTCACGCTTGTTAAAATATTCTTAAAAATTTGAAAAATATTAACTTGGTAAGTTAAAAAGCTTAAAATTGTCCCCTTTGTTACGACAAGCTTAAAAGTGTCCCATTTGTCAAGACAAGCTTAAAATTGTATATTAACCAAAAATGCTTAATTTTTCAAGATTTTCTTAAACATTTCAAAAATTTTCATTTGCTGTGACAAGCTTTAAAATGTCCCCATTAACAAGCTTAAAAATGCGCCCTAAGTACAAAATCCCGATTCGTCACGACAAGCTTAAACATTTCGCGTTTGTTAAAATATTCTTAAAAATGTGAAAAATATTAACTTGGTTTAGTTTAGTTTACAAGCTTAAAATTGTCCACTTTTTTACAAGCTTAAAAGTGTCCCATTTAACAAGACAAGCTTAAAATTGTATATTGGCAAAAAATGCTTAATTTTTCAAGATTTTCTTAAACATTTCAGAAATTTTCATCTGCTGCGACAAGCTTTAAAATGTCCTCTTTAACAAGCTTAAAAATGTGCCTTAAGTACAAAATCCCGATTTGTCACGACAAGCTTAAACATTTCACGTTTGTTAAAATATTCTTAAAAATGTAAAAAATATTAACTTGGTAAGTTAAAAATGCTTAATTTTTCAAGATTTTCTTAAACATTTCAAAAATTTTCATTTGCTGCGGCAAGCTTTAAAATGTTCCCTTTAACAAGCTTAAAAATGTGCCCTATGTACAAAATCCCCATTCGTCACGACAAACTTCAACATTTCACGTTTGTTAAAATATACTTAAAAATGTAAAAAATATTGATTTGGTAAGTTGGAAAGCTTAAAATTGCCCCCTTTGTTGCGACAAGCTTAAAAGTGTCCCATTTGTCAAGACAAGCTTAAGCTTGTATATTCTTCAAAAATGATTAATTTTTCAAGATTTTCTTAAACATTTCAAAAAATTTCCTTTGCTGCGACAAGCTTTAAAATGTCCCATTTAGCAAGCTTAAAATCGTGCCCTAAGCACAAAATCCCGATTCATCACGACAAGCTTCAACATTTCACGTTTGTTACAATATTCCTAAAAATGTGAAAATATTAACTTGGTAAGTTAAAAAGCATAAAATTGTCCCCTTTGTTACGACAAGCTTAAAAGTGTCCCATTTGTCAAGACAACCTTAAAATTGTATATTAACCAAAAGTGCTTAATTTTCAAGATTTTTTTAAACATTTTAAAAATTTTCATTTGCTGCGACAAGCTTTAAAATGTCCCATTTAACAAGCTTAAAAATGCGCCCTAAGTACAAAATCCCGATTCGTCACGACAAGCTTCAACATTTCACGTTTGTTAAAATATTCTTAAAAATGTGAAAAATAATAACAAAATCCCCATTCGTCACGACAAACTTCAACATTTCACGTTTGTTAAAATATACTTAAAAATGTAAAAAATATTGATTTGGTAAGTTGGAAAGCTTAAAATTGCCCCCTTTGTTGCGACAAGCTTAAAAGTGTCCCATTTGTCAAGACAAGCTTAAGCTTGTATATTCTTCAAAAATGATTAATTTTTCAAGATTTTCTTAAACATTTCAAAAAATTTCCTTTGCTGCGACAAGCTTTAAAATGTCCCATTTAGCAAGCTTAAAATCGTGCCCTAAGCACAAAATCCCGATTCATCACGACAAGCTTCAACATTTCACGTTTGTTACAATATTCCTAAAAATGTGAAAATATTAACTTGGTAAGTTAAAAAGCATAAAATTGTCCCCTTTGTTACGACAAGCTTAAAAGTGTCCCATTTGTCAAGACAACCTTAAAATTGTATATTAACCAAAAGTGCTTAATTTTCAAGATTTTTTTAAACATTTTAAAAATTTTCATTTGCTGCGACAAGCTTTAAAATGTCCCATTTAACAAGCTTAAAAATGCGCCCTAAGTACAAAATCCCGATTCGTCACGACAAGCTTCAACATTTCACGTTTGTTAAAATATTCTTAAAAATGTGAAAAATAATAACTTGGTAAGTTAAAAAGCTTAAAATTGTCCCCTTTATTACAAGCTTAAAAGTGTCCCATTTGTCAAGACAACCTTAAAATTGTATATTAACCAAAAGTGCTTAATTTTTCAAGATTTTCTTAAACATTTCAAAAATTTTCATCTGTTGCGACAAGCTTTAAAATGTCCTCTTTAACAAACTTAAAAATGCGCCCTAAGAACAAAATTCCGATTCGTCACGACAAGCTTCAACATTTCACGTTTGTTAAAATATTCCTAAAAATGTGAAAAATATTAACTTGGTAAGTTAAAAAGCTTAAAATTGTCCCCTTTGTTTCGACAAGTTTAAAATTTAAGTGTCCCATTTGTCAAGACAAGCTTAAAATTGTATATTGCCCAAAAATGCTTAATTTTTTCAAGAATTTTTTAAACATTTCAAAGCTCTATGTCCTATTTGTAAATAACAGCTTTAAAGTTTATTTTATCAAGGCATTTTTTAATTAATAACGTATTTTTCAGAATTTTAAATAGTTTTAAACCTCAGTGAAGTGCAGGGCAACTTCTTGAATAAGAAAAAAATTGACATGAACTTTATTACAACACTTTTTTTACCTGTAAAATATTTGATTGTAACAAAAAAACTACAGCCTCTTTTTAACCGTAAATTTTCATCGAGAAATGGTAAATTTTGCAGTCTGACAAAAAAATAATTTACAAAATAAAAGAGGTCGAGTTTTTCTTGACTTATTGCTATTTATATAGCGAAATTTATATTTATATACAAAATATATATGATTTTATAAGATTTAATTATTAATTTGTTTATATTTATTACTCTGTACACAATAATTGTTATGATTTGTTTTATTAAATTTATAATATGTAGAACCAAGGTTTTATTTTAGGGACAAATAATTTTTGTATTGTTTTTTGTTTGGTTTTTGTGACGTAATGACGGAATGTACCATATAAAATTAAATGATTGTGATAATAAAGTTTTATATTTTAAGTTTTTTTTTTTTAGTCATGACTATTTGCAAATAAAACACAATTTTTAATAATAACATTTAATATTTATTTATACACATATTTTTAAGACCTAAAAAATAACAAAATACCCAGAGCTATAGTAAGATATTTCCAAAAGCTACTGTTATCAGATTGCCGCGGAACTTCTGCAATTTTTGGTTCTGCAGAAGCCGGCAGAACAAATTTTTGATTTGCCAATAATTTCAATTGTTCCTCTTGCCTTCTAAATGCTTGCGCCATATCTAGATCTTTAGTTTGTATATGGCCCCTAAGATCTAATAGTATGTTTTCCACGTATTTTTTTAGCTCCTCTTTTCTTAGCGTGCCGTATATAAATGTTAACAGGGAGGCAACTGTAAAGAAATAAATAAAAATAGACCAATATTTGGCAATAGGACAACACTGTCCATAAACAGTTGATTCAAATTTGCAATGAATATTTAGTCAATAAAATATATTAATATTTTGTACAAAAAAGTTAATATTTTTGAAAAACCTTTTTTTTGATATGTAAAACTAATTTTTACGAATCTGGAATGTTTATATATTTATTTTGTCATAAAATTTTAATAGAAAAAATTATGGTACAAAAGGTGGGAAAATGCAATGGAAATTTTATTTTTTTTAATTTTATGAGTTTTAACATATTTATTAAAAAATTGTACGTATCAACCTGGAAGCTTAGAAATAAAGTGAATACCAGATATCTGCAATATCATAGCTAATGAATATGGCCAAATAAATAAAAAATATGCCAATATTTTACAATCTGGCAACACTGTGCAAGAACAGCAACACTTTCAGCTGATTCAAATTTGCAATGTTTAAAATAAAACTCTTCAATGAATATTTGATCAATAAAAAATAATTATATTTTGTAAAAGTTAATATTTTTGAAAAAAATGATTTTTATCTGTAAAATTAATTTTTACGAATCTGGAATTTTAATAGAAAAATTATTATACAAAAGGTGGGAAAATTTAATGGAAATTTTAATTTTTTAATGAATATTTTTTTAAATTTTATGAGTTTTAACATATTCATTAAAAAATTGTACATATTAACCTTGAAGCTTAGAAATAAAGTGAATACCAGATATCTGCAATATGCTAAGAATATGGCCAAATAAATAAAAAATATGCCAATGTTTTACAATCTGGCAATCTCTGCAATCTGGCAACACTGTGCAAGAACAGCTGATTCAAATTTGCAATGTTTAAAATAAAACTCTTCAATGAATATTTGATTAATAAAAATATAATTATATTTTGTATAAAAGTTAATATTTTTGTCAAAAATGATTTTTATCTGTAAAATTATTTTTTACGAATCTGGAATTTTAATAGAAAAATTATGATACAAAAGGTGGGAAAATTCAATGGAAATTTTAATTTTTTAAATTTAATAAGTTTTTAACATACCTATACATTAAAAAGTTTTTTAAAAAATTGAAATAAAAATCTTTAATAAATATTTAGTCAATAAAAAATAATTATATTTTGTAAAAATGTTAATATTTTTGACAGAAACGATTTTTTGATATGTTAAACCAATTTTTCCTATTTTGGAATGTTTAAATTTTTAGTTTTTGGTAAAATTTTAATGGAAAAAATTATGGAACAAAAGGTTGTAAAATTCAATGGAAATTTTAATTTTCTAATGAATATTGAAAATAGTTTTTTAAAAATTTCACATATTGACCTTGTAGCTTAGAAATAAAGTAACTACCAGATATCTACAATATCATAGCTAATGAATATGGCCAAATAAATAAAAAATAGACCTCTTCAATGAATATTTAGTCAATAAAAAATAATTATATTTTGTAAAAAAGTTTATATTTTTGATAAAAACGAATTTTTACGAATCTTGAATGTTTATATAGTTTTGATAAAATTATAATAGAACAAAAGTGGTGGGAATCCCCAGGAATTTTCCTGTAATCAAATTTCCCTAGGAATTTTTATACTATAGTACAAAAATTCCTATATTCTATATATAGAAAAAAACAATATTTTTAAACTTTAATACACTTACTGATACTCATAACAGGCCCAATATATTTAGTATACTCCATCTGCAATCTTTGCTGCTCATTTGAATCCCTAATAGCACTTGTTAGGGCTGTAAACATCTCTTTTTCTTTTCTATCATAATCTGTGTAGGTCTGAGTTAAAGATTGCATTATTTTAAGGATCTAAAATGTAAATAATCTACAATATTTTCTGAAACATAATAAAGCACTTTAATCAATAAAAAAATTGTTTACCTCTGTTTCCTGGTTTCTAAGATTGATATATTGCTCAAAATTAACGTTTTTGTCGACTTTAACCATTTCATCGTGTATTTTATCACGATTTACCCTGATATCATCCAATTTTTTCTGAAGCTCTCTCCTATTAGTCTGTATTACTATTAAGTCATCCTTAAAACAGCATTTACTTTAAAACACCCTGTAAATTTCACTCACAGTAGTACATACTTGTATCGAATTAACTTTCAATTGAGCCTCTTGCACTTTTTCAATCCCTATCGTTCTTATATACCACTTGTTCACTTGCACTAATTTCAATAGAAACGACTTCTTTTTCTCTTTCTTATATTTGCTTAAAATCTGCGGACCCTCTTTCAAAATCGGATTCCTACCGTTTAATTCATCCAATTTCACCAGCAAAGTTTTTTTACCATCCTCCTTGAACTTATTTAATACTTGGGGAGCGACTGAGAGAACCGACTGTGCTGATTTGATGATTTCCTCGTATTTGGTTAATTTTGTGTGCAGAATACGTGTGAGTTTCATTTTTAAATGCTTGTAATACCTTTAAGTTTGCGCATAATACTATTAGTTAAGTAGTAAGTAAGTGAAACATTGAAATTGAAAGATAACCTTAGATGACCTGTCAAATTAAACCGGGGTACATTGGAACTACCACAAGATTATGTTTTAAAAACATTACGTTTTTTGTTGTAATGTATATTAATTTCTATTAAATTACGTTAAAACCATGGAAAATTAATATTTATTGAGAATATTTGTATGGTTTGGTAAATAAAGCACTTTATAACCATGAAAATTTAGGTTGGTACACGAGGGTTGGTATTGGTAGTTTATTTGCAGTAGTTTAAATGTCTTATTTATAGCGTCGTCTGTCAAAAATCTATCCTGTAATTGAACGTTTTAGAGCGTTCTTAATAGTTTTTAGGACTTTTAAAGGTAAATATCAATAAGTAATACTATAATTTTATCATATATAACATTGATGTTGTTTTAGTGGGCCCTTAAAATGCCTAAATACTATTGCGACTATTGTGACACATATTTAACCCACGATTCCCCTAGCGTGAGGAAAACGCACTGTACAGGGCGCAAACATAAAGACAACGTGAAGTTTTTCTACCAAAAATGGATGGAGGAGCAGGCCCAGCATTTGATCGATGCCACAACGGCTGCTTTTAAAGCTGGTCGTATAGCGAATAACCCCTTTGCTCAGCCCGGCAAAGGGGTGGCGATACCACCGCCGGCGCAGCTGGCCGCCATGGGTCAGAGACCGGGAGGGCCCGGCATGATGCCGCCCAACATGGGTCCTGGTCCCATGCCCCCCATGATGATGGGGCCGCACGGGCCCATGCCGCCCATGATGGGCATGCGGCCCCCAATGATGGGGATGATGCCTATGGGGCATATGGGACCCATGGGGCCTGTGAGACCACCCATGGTGAATCCGCAGCAAATGAAGAATTAGGTGACTCCATAGAATTTTATTTAAGGATTTATTGTGTAATTGTTTAAATGAATAAATTTGTGACAATTTTTTATATATTTTTTTAATTATATTCTCATCTTTTTTATAGCTACAAAAGATATTAATTTATGGTAAATGGGCTTAACATCAAATCTAAATTTGTCAGAACTTGATTTGTTTAAAAAAATAAATTTTGACATGCTTTTTTAACGTTTTTTTAAATTTTAGTAGTCTATAGAACTGGCGAAAATAAGAAGAAAAGTTAATATGAACTTAATTTCAACAATTTGGGTACTCTATTGCTTTTTTATAAGTTAAATATTATTTTTGGAATTAAAAATACAACTTTTTTGACTTCTGTATTTTTTCTTTATCTTGCTTAATTTTGATGATTTTGACTTTGACATTCTACAATGTGTTTTTACCTTACCAATTGAGTTTGAGATCATTTAAAAAGCTTTTGACACTTAAAAATTGTATTATGACCATCTTTGACTTCAATAAATTTAATTTTGTGTACTTAACTTTTTTAAGTATGTTTTTGCATTCTTAAATAGAGTTTAGTAAATTTAACTTTGAAATATTTGCCATCATTAAATATGGTTTTTGCACTCTAAGCAAATCTGACACTCTTCTTAAAAAGCTTGATGATTTTGACTTGTGTTTTTACCTTATTAAGTAAGTTTAAGATCCTTAAAAATGCTTTTGACACTTTACACAAGTTTTTAATTTTTTTAAGTAAGTTTTTTGACATTCAAAACTTGTAAGAACGTATTGGCAATTTTAAATAAGTTAAATATGGTTTGACAGAATTGTTTTGACTTTTACATTCTAAAATGTGTTTTTACATTACTAAGTAAGTTAAAGATCTTTAAATATGCTTTTGACACTTAAAAATTGTATTTTGAAATTTTTTGACTTACTTAAATTTGATTTTGACACTCAAACTTGTACAACACGTGTTGTTAACTTTTTTTGGTATGTTTTGCCATTCATAAGAAAGTTTGACATTCTTAAATGGGGTTTCGAAAATTTTAAGTTTAACATGTTAAGTTTGTTAACATGTTAAGTTAGTGCACTTGTTAAGAAGTTTGATGATTTTGACTTTTACATTCTTAAATGTGTTTTTATCTTATAAAGTAATTTTAAGAACTTTAAATATGCGTTTGACACTTAAAAATGAACTTTTTTGACTTAATTAAATTTGATTTTGACACTCAAAATTGTGTTTTTAAATTTGTAAGTATGTTTTGCCATTCTTAAGTAAGTTTGACAGTCTCACATATGGTTAAGTAAATTTAATGTTGACATTTTTGACATCCTTTATGATTTTGACTTTCAAATTCTAAAACGTGTTTTTACCTTACCAAGAAAGTTTAAGATCCTTAAATATACTTTTGACATGTATTATGACCCTTTTTGACTTCAGTAAATTTGATTTTGACACTCAAACTTGCGTTTTTAACATTTTTAAGTATATATTGGCATTTTAAAGTAAATTTGCCATTCTTAAATGGGGTTTAGAAAATTTGATTTTGACATTTTTGCCATCCTTAACATTCCAAGCAAGTTTGACACTCTTCTTAAGAAATTTGATGATTTTGATTTTTACATTCTAAAATGTGTTTTTACCTTATTAAGTAGGTTTAAGATCTTTAAATATGCTTTTGACACTTAAAAATTGTATTATGACCCTCTTTGACTTCATTAAATTTGATTTTGACACTCAAACTTGTGTTATTAACTTTTTTAAATTTGTATTGACATTCTTAAAAATGGTTTAGTAAATTTAACTATAAAATTTTTGCCATTCTTAATTATGGTTTTAACACTCCAAGCAAGTTTGACTTTTTTTAAAAAGTTTGATGATTTTGACTTTTACATTCATAAATCTGTTTTACCTTATTAAGTAGGTTAAAAATACTTAAAAATGATTTTAATTCTTAAAAATTCCATTATGACCCTGTTTGACTTCATTAAATTTGATTTTGACACTCAAACTTGTGTTTTTAACTTTGTAAGTAGTTTTACCATTCTTAAGTAAGTTTACAGTCTTAAATATGGTTTTAACACTCCAAATAAGTTTAAGACGTTTAATGATTTTGACTTTTATAGTCTAAAATGTGTTTTTACCTTATTAAGTAAGTTTAAGATCCTTAAAAATGATTTTGACTCTTACAAATTGTACCATAACCCTCTTTGACTTCATTAAATTTGATTTTGACACTCAAACTATTTATGTGTTGTCATAATCAAGAAAGTTTGACATTCTTAAATATGGTTTGGTTGGAGATTAGAAATAAAACAATTAAATAATAAATTATAATATGTATTAAAAAATATCAAGTATATACAATTTAAAAATAAAATGAGAACAAACTGCAAGCAATAGTATTAATTTAATAAAGGCAAGTAAACAAAAACAAAATCTAGCAATGGTATTTGTATTCTTAGATCCTAGGACGAGTTACAATTACATTTCCGTCCGACAAAAAGTGACTTTCTTGACTTTATCGGCCTCATCGTCGCTGACATTCCCATCCAGACTCTGCACCATAGAACTCGTGAAACTGAATCGGTCGCTTCCGCTGTTCTCTGCGGATTCGCTTGCAAGCAGACTGTCGTCGTCCGCTTGCAGTAACATTTTTATATCGACGTATTTTATGGCGTTGTTCTGCACGACGTACACGCCCTTTTTATTGCCGCCCAGGTAGCTCATTTTTCCCACATCCAAGCGCGTTATGATTTTGACGGTTTCGTCAGAATGTTCGGGAATGTTAAGGAGTTCCACGCCGTTGAATTGAGAGATGAACAAGTACGGTTTAACGTGGTGGAACGCCAGTGGTAGGAGGGTGGATTTCAAGTCGTAGCTTCGCGAGGACCTACCGTATTCGTCCACAAAGATCGAGAATTCGTTGAAACACAACAAATACTCTCTGGGGTTTTTGTTCGTCTCCACCACTGACAAGGGGAATGAACCCATCTTGTGGCACTTCGCGGCGTGTTTCAGCTTCGCATCGGACACGTCGAGAAACTCCTCAGCTTCATACGTACTGAGGTCGATTTCAAAGAATTTATCCGCCCCCACTATGATGGTATTGTCAGTGAACAGAGCGCAACTTATCGGTTCCGCCGTATCCAAAACCCTCTCAGCTACAAACTCGCCCACCTCAAAATCGTACGTCAAAATCACCAGCTGCTTCACCGTGGCCACCGCGATTTTGTGCTGCTTAGCGTTGCTAGACCCGTTTAAGAACTGAAACCCCGTCAAACCATTAACCTTGACGTTCTGGTGCTTCAACGCAGGTTTGGTGCAGCTAGCGCATTGCGTTAAGTTGATCAAGTGATTTAAATCGCAAGATATGACCACGCTTTTTTGATTTACAATCATCGCCACGCAGTTTGTTCCAGCAGCGGTCGCGATTTGTTGAACGCTTGTCGGTCCGTCTATGTGCAAAAGGGTTTCGTTGTGGTACGAGTAGAGGCCTTTGTCGGTGCCGAGGATTTTTATGTTTTCCGTCAGGTCGGTTATGCAGTTTACCGTTATGCCGTCGGGTAGGGTGAGAATCGTGGTGGGTTTTTGTGCGGCCTGATCGTCTTGGTATGCGTTTTGTAGAGCTGAAAGCGTTTTTGACGTTCAAAACTTTTGTAAGAATGTATTTATTGGCCATTTTGACACTTTTCTTAAGAAGTTTGATGATTTTGACTTTTACATTCTAAAATATGTTTTTACCTTATTAAGTAAGTTTAAGATCCTTAAATATGCTTTTGACACTTAAAAATTGTATTATAACCCTCTTTTGACTGTATTAAATTTGATTATGACACTCAATCTTGTGTTTTTAACTTTTTTAAGTATGCTTTGGCATTCTTAAAAGAGTTTGACATTCTTAAATAGGTTTTAGTAAATTTAACTTCAAAATTTTTGCCATCATTAAGTATGGTTTTAAAACTCCAAGCAAGTTTGAAACTTTTCTCAAAAAGTTTTATGATTTTGACTTTAACATTGGGTCAGAATTTCTCAAACGGGCCACCTGAATTAGGTCAAAATTAGTTTTTGATTGTAGATACATTTTTTCGATAGTATTTTACATCACTAACACAAATCCTAAAGGATTTTGTAAAAAAAAAAATTTTCAATTGACATATTCATGATATTAAAAGTAAAAGTTTTTAGTAATTAAAAAATAAAAAAAAAACATTATGGCTAAACTAATTATCCGATTCCAACGATTTAACTAGCGTTGGAATCTTGTTTTGACATAGATTCTTTGTTATTTTTTTCAATTGTACAATTTTCATTTAGGTCGATTTTTTTTGTTTTTTTTATAACAAATTCGGAAATAATTGGCTTCTGCGCCAGCTATCGACTCGAAAAAAAAAAACACATATACTCCAATCATTTTTCGAAATTATGCTGCTGAGAAAAAAAATGGCCCGCAGGTTCCAGACCACCGTAAGACGTCGCGTCACAAGCGCGTACAGCGTACACGGTTCGGAGCGTGAGCTGACACCGCGCGCGGCCACAAAAGGACGAATAACTTTTTGTCAACCTGCGGGCCATTTTTTTTCTCAGCAGCATAATTTCGAGAAATGATTGGAGTATATGTGTTTTTTTTCTCGAGTCGATAGCTGGCGCAGAAGGCAATTATTTCCGAATTTGGTATAAAAAAATAAAAAAAAATCGACCTAAATGAAAATAGGACAATTGAAAAAAATAACAAAGAATCTATGTCAAAACAAGATTCCAACGCTAGTTATATCGTTGGAATCGGATAATTAGTTCAGACCTAATGAATTTTTTTATTTTTTAATTATTAAAAACTTTGACTTTTAATATCATGAATATGTCAATTGAAAATTTTTTTTTTACAAAATCCTTTAGGATTTGTGTTAGTGATGTAAAATACTATCGAAAAAATGTATCTACAAACAAAAACTAATTTTGACCTAATTCAGGTGGCCCGTTTGAGAAATTCTGACCCCATTCTAAAATATGTTTTTTACCTTATTAAGTAAGTTAAAGATTCTTAAATATGTTTTTGACACATATTTTGGCATTCTTAAGAGAGTTTGACATTCTTAAATATGGTTTAGTAAATTTGAATTCGAAATTTTTGCCATCATTAAGTATGGTTTTAAAACTCCAAGCAAGTTTAATGTTTGATGATTTTGACTTTTAAATTCTAAAATGTGTTTTTACCTTATTAAGTAAGTTTATTATGAACTTTTTTTGACTTAATTCAATTTGATTTTGACACTCAAACTTGTGCTTTAAACTTTTGTATTGACATTCTTAATTAAGTTTGACATTCTTAAAAATAGTTTAGTAAATTTAACTTTAAAATTTTTGCCATCATTAAATATGGTTTTAACCCTCCAAGCAAGTTTGACACTCTTCTTAAGAAGTTTGATGATTTTGACTTTTACATTCTAAAATGTGTTTTTACCTTATTAAGTAAGTTTGAGATTACTTAAAAAGCTTTTGAAGCTTAAAAATTGTATTATGACCCTCTTTGACTTCATTAAATTTGATTTTGACCGTCAAACTTGTGTTTTTAACTTTTTTAAGTATGCTTTGGCATTCTTAAGAGAGTTTGACACTCTTCTTAAGAGGTTTGATGATTTTGACTTTTACGTTCTAAAACGTGTTTTTACCTTACCAAGTAAGTTTAAGATCTTTAAATATGCTTTTAACACTTAAAAATTATATTATGACCCTCTTTGACTTTATTAAATTTGATTTTGACATTCAAACTTGTGTTTTTAACTTTTTTTTAAGTATGTTTTGGTATTCTTAAGAGAGTTTGGCATTCTTAAATATGGTTTAATAAATTTGACTTTAAAATTTTTGTCCTTAAATATGCTAAACAAGTTTGACACTTTTCTTAAGAAGTTTAATGATTTTGACTTTTACATTTTTAAATGTATTTTTACCCTACCAAGTAAGTTTAAAAATCTTAAACATGCTTTTGACACTTAAAAATTGTATTATGACCCTCTTTGACTTAATTAAATTTGATTTTGACACTCAAACTTGTGTTTTTAACTTTTTAAGTATGTTTTTGCATTATAAGTTTGACATTCTTAAGTAGGGTTTAGAAATTTGGATTTTGACATTTTTTCCATCCTTACCATAAATACGGGTTTAACTAAAAGAAAGTTTGACACTCTTTAAATTTGCTTTTGAAACTTAAAAATTGTATAATGACCCAATTTGACTTCATTTAATTTGATTTTGACACTCAAACTTATGTGTTTAACTTTTTTAAGTATGTATTAGCATTTTTAAGTAATATTGACAGCCTTAAATATGATTTGGTAAATTTCAGTTTGACATTTTTACCATCCTTAAATATGATTTTAACACTCCAGCAAGTTTAAAATTTTTCTTAAAAAGTTTGATGATTTTGACTTTTACATTCAAAAATGTGTTTTTATCTTGTAAAGTAAGTTTAAGATTCTTAAAAATGCTTTTAACACTTTACACAAGTTTTTAATTTTTTTAAGTATGTTTTTTGACATTCAAAACTGTTTTAAGAACGTATTGGCAATTAAATAAGTTAAATATGGTTTTACAGAATTTTTATGATTTTGACTTTTAGATTCTAAAATGTGTTTTTACATTACTAAGTAAGTTCAAGATCTTTAAATATGCTTTTGATACTTAAAAATTGACCCTATTTGACTTGATTGAATTTGATTTTGACACTCAAACTTGTGTTTTTAACTTATTTAAGCATGTATTGGCATTCTTAAGTAAGTTTGGCAGTCTTAAATATGCTTTAGTAAATATAATGTTGAAAATTTTGACATCCTTAAATACGGTTTTAACACTCCAAGCAAGTTTGACACTCTTTTTAAGAAGTTTGATGATTTTGACTTTTACATTCTAAATGTGTTTTTACCCTACCAAGTAAGTTTAAGATTCTTAAATATGCTTTTGACACTTTAAAAATTGTATCATAATCCTCTTTGACTTCATTAAATTTGATTTTGACACACAAACTTATGTTTTAAACTTATTTATTGGCATTCTTAAGAAGTTTGATGATTTTGACTTTTACATTTAAGATAGTTAAATATGCTTTTGACACTTAAAAAATTGTATTATAACCCTCTTTGACTTCAGGGTTTTCACCTTACCAAGTAACTTTAAGATCCTTAAATATGCTTTTGAAACTTAAAAATTGTATTATGACTTCAATAAATTTGATTTTAATACTCAAACTTGTGTTTTTAACTTTTTTAAGAATGTTTTGGCATTCTTAAGAAAGTTTGACATTCTTAAATACGGTTTTGTAAATTTGACTCTTCTTAAGAAATTTTATGATTTTGACTTTACATTCTAAAATGTGTTTTTACCTTACCAAGTCGGTTTAAGATGCGGAAATATGCTTTTAACAAATTAAATTTGTAAAAAATGAAAAAAAAATACATAAAATATAACATAAAAATTAAAACTCACCATTATACCACTTATCAGTCTCCTGAGCCGACAAAGTCATCAGCACGAAGTTTTTCGGAGGCCAACAGGTGGTTTTAGGCCCAACTTCCACCTTAATTATGAAAGGCAAGTCGCTGCTAGCGACAGGAACGTCAATTTCGGAGGCGAGAGGTTCCAAAATCACCCTCCCAAAAGTGTCTTCCGGTTTCAGCTCGAACTGTTCCAGCGGCGTGGATGGGCAGGATGGCGAAGGGGGTTCGGAATACACTGTAATGTAGTTTTCCGAAAGGGAGGCGTACCGTTTTTCCCACGTGTTTGATTTGCTATTAATAAAATAAATAAAATGCAATGTTGTTGTTGTTGTTTAGTGACAGATTTCATCGCAACCAATTTGACTTTAACAAAGTTAATTCAAGTCATCCTTAAATATAATTTTCACATAAGTAAGTTTGACATTCTTAAATATGGTTTTAACTGCTCAAATTTGATTTTGACTTTCAACTATTGTGTTTTGACATTTTTAAGGAAGTTTGACCCTTTGATAAAATGTTGACACTTTAGTAAGTTTGACTTTCATAAATATGGTTTTGACTTCTTAAAATTGTGTTTTTACATTTTTTAGAAAGTTTGACCCTTAAATATAATTTTGTCACTCTTTAGTAAGTTTGGCTATCTTAAATATGGTTTTGACTTCATAACTTAAATACGGTTGACTTCATTAATTTAATTTTGACATTAAAAAAATGTTTCCAACATTTTTAAGGTAGTTTTAAATCCTTAAATATAACTTTAAAACTATTAAGTAAGTTTGACATTCTTAAATATGGTTTTGACTTCATTAATTTGATTTTGACATTAAAAAATTGTTTTCCACATTTTTAAGGTAGTTTGAAATCCTTAAATATATTTTTGACACTTTTTAGTAAGTTTGACTTTCTTAAATAGGGTTTTGACTTCACAAAATTTAATTTTGACTCTCAACAATTTTTTTGCATTTTTAAGGAAGTTTGGCCCTTAAATAACATTTTGACACTCTTTAGTAAGTTTGAATTTCTTAAATATGGTCTTGACTTCTTAAAATTTGATTTTGACTATAAAAAATTTTGTTTTTACATTTTAAGGAAATTTGACCCTTTAATATAACTTTGACAATTTTAAGTCTGTTTGACATCTTAAATATGGTTTTGACTTCATAAATTTGATTTTGACATTAAAAAAATGTTTCCAACATTTTTAAGGTAGTTTTAAATCCTTAAATATAACTTTGAAACTTTTAAGTAAGTTTGACATTCTTAAATATGGTTTTGACTTCATTAATTTGATTTTGACATTCAAAAATTGTTTTTCACATTTTAAAGGTAGTTTGACATCCTTAAATATAACTGTGACACTTTTAAGTTTGGCATTCTTAAATTTGATTTTGACATTCAAAAATTGTTTTCCACATTTCAAAGGTAGTTTGACATCCTTAAATATAACTTCGACACTTTTTAGTAAGTTTGACATTCTTAAATATGGCTTTTACATAATTAATTTGACTTTGACATTAAAAAATTGTTTTCCACATTTTTAAGGAAGTTTGAAATCCTTAAATATAATTTTGACACTCTTTAGTAACTTTGACTTTCTTAAATATGGTTTTGACTTCACAAAATTTAATTTTAACTCTCAACAATTGTTTTTGCATTTTTAAGGAAGTTTTGCCCTTAAATAACATTTTGACACTCTCTAGTAAGTTTGACTTTCCTAAATATGGTTTTGACTTCTTAAAATTTGATTTTGACTATAAAAAATTGTGTTTTTACATTTTTAAGGAAATTTGACCCTTTAATATAATTTTGACAGTCTTTAGTAAGTTTGACTTTCTTAAATATGATTTTGACTTTTTAAAATTTGATTTTGACTTTCAAAAATTGTTTTTACTTTTTTAAGAAAATTTGACCCTTTAATATAATTTTGACTCTTTAGTAAGTTTAACTTTCTTAAATATGGTTTTGACTTCTTAAAATTTGTTTTTGACTTTGAAAAGTTGTGTTTTAACATTTTTAAGAAAGTTTGAGATCCTTAAATATAATCTCTACAGTCTTAAATAAGTTTGACAATTTTTTTGACTTCATTAAATTTGATTTTGGCATTACAAGTTTACTTTTAATACTTGACGTTGTCATGTATGTTTTGGTAAAATAAAATATGATTTTGACAGTATTGACGTTCTTACCTTGGTATTTTGATCCACCCCTCGTGTTGTACGGGCCCGCAACCCGCTCTGCTCTCCTCATTTCTACCATTCGCACTCTCCTTCTCCACGCTCAACTTTGTCAAACTCTCCCGAAAGTGTTCGGCAAAAGCGTGCGGCAAACCGCACGTCCTGGGCAGCGCCTGCGCGCACCCTGCGTGCACGTGCACGTGGCACTCGGTGCACGTGCTCACGTGCCTGCCGAGCATCACCTGGTTGCCGCACTGCGCGCACTGCGTCGGTTTCGAGCACATCTTCGATTCGAATCTGCGCAGATGAAGAGGCGATGTGAAATTTGAGAAAAAAGTATCTTTAGTTACAAGATACTTTAAAAAGTTTCCAAGATACTATATGAAAGTATCTAAGATAGTTTTGAGTAACTAAGTAACTTTTAAGTTTGAAGAAAACTATAAAATTATAAAAATTCAACAAGTTGTAGGTTAGGTAATTACTTTGAATCATTCTGGAATTCCCCCAATTTTCTCTAACAAAGTATCTAAGTTACTTTAAAGTACCTAAGTTAATTGTGTTTTTCCATTTTTTAGAAAGTTTGACCTTTAAATATAATTTTGACACTCTTCAGTAAGTTTGACTTTCTTAAATATGGTTTTGACTTCTTAAAATTTTTGTTTGACTCTCAAAAATTGTGTTTTTAAATTTTTTAGAAAGTTTGACTCTTTAATATAATTTTAACACTTTAGTAAGTTTGACTTTCCTAAATATGGTTTTGACTTCTTAAAATTTGATTTTGAATCTCAAAAATCGTGTTTTCACATTTTTAAGAAAGTTTAAACCTTAGATAAGTTTGACATTCTTTAATATGGTTTTGACTTCTTAAAATTTGATTTTGACTCTTAACAATTGTGTTTTTACATTTTTAAGGAATTTTGACACTCTTTAGTAAGTTTGACTTTCTTAAATATGGTTTTGACTTCTTAAAATTTGATTTTGACTATAAAAAAATGTGTTTTTACAATTTTAAGGAAATTTGACCCTTTAATATAATTTTGACAATCTTTAGTAAGTTTGACTTTCTTAAATATGGTTTTGACTTCTTAAAATTTTAGTTAGACTCTCAAAAATTGTGTTTTTACATTTTTTAGAAAGTTTGACCCTTTAATTTAATACTCTTTAGTAAGTTTGACTTTCTTAAATATGGTTTTGACTTCTTAAATTTGATTTTGACTTTCAACAATTGTGTTTTTACATTTTTAAGAAAGTTTAAACCTTAGATACAATTTTGACACACTTTAGTAAGTTTGACTTTCTTAAATATGGTTTTGACTGCTTAAAATTTGATTTTGACTCTTAACAATTGTGTTTTTACATTTTTAAGGAAGTTTGACTTTTTAATATATAATTTTGACACTTTAGTAAGTTTGACTTTCCTAAATTTGGTTTTGACTTCTTAAAATTTGATTTTGACTCAAAATTTTTGTTTTTACATTTTTTAGAAACTTTTAAACTATAAAATTATAAAAATTCAACAAGTTGTATCATTCTGGAATTCCCCCAATTTTCTCTAACAAAGTATCTAAGTTACTTTAAAAAGTATCTTAGTTACTTTAAAGTATCTAAGTTAATTGTGTTTTTCCATTTTTTAGAAAGTTTGACCTTTAAATTAATTTTAACACTCTTTAGTAAGTTTGACATTCTTAAATATGGTTTTGACTTCTTAAAATTTGATTTTGACTCCCAAACATTTTGTTTTTGCATTTTTAAGAAAGTTTAAACCTTAGATACAATTTTGACACACTTTAGTAAGTTTGACTTTCTTAAATATGGTTTTGACTGCTTAAAATTTGATTTTGACTTTCAACAATTGTGTTTTTACAATTTTAAGGAAGTTTGACTTTCTTAAATATGGTTTTGACTTCTTAAAATTTGATTTTAACATTAAAAAATTGTTTTCCACATTTTTAAGGTAGTCCGGCATCCTTAAATATAACTTTGACACTTTTCATAAGTTTGACATTCTTAAATGTGGTTTTGATTTTGAAATTCAAAAATTGTTTTCCACATTTTTAAGGTGGTTTGACATCCTTAAATATAACTTTGACACTTTAAGTAACTTTGACATTCTTAAATTTGATTTTGACGTTCAAAAATTGTTTTTCGCATTTTTAAGATACTTTTGAGTAACTAACTACTTATTTTCAAGATTCTACCTGTGCGGGATGTTGTGATGCATCCTTTTGGAGGAGTTCTGCCTGAGCATCTCCTTCTGATGCCCCGGGGAGTTCACGATCTCCCTCATGGCCTCCCTGATCTTGGAATTGGCCACCTCGGATCTGTGCCTTTCCACTTTCGGGGTGCATCTGTCGGTCGCGTTGCTGGTGGCTTCCGCTTTCAGGCGGAATATTTCCTCCTGGAGCTTGCGGCTGTTGCTGCGCTCTTTGGAGAGCTGTTGCTCGAGATCCTTGTAGTTCATCGCCATTATAGGCGGGTGGTTTTCTTTTTTGGACGAGCCGAACAGGCGGTCGGAGATGGTGCGTTTTTTTTGCGAGTTTTCGTCGATCTACCCGGAGAAAAATATGGTACAACTTCTTAAATATACCTCGACGTTTTTAAGTATGTTTGACATATAAACTTACTACTTAAAAATGGTAAATAAGATTTTGACATTTTAAATTATACTTTGACTCTCCTAAATTATATATCGAATTTAAATTTTTAAAATTTTATATATTTGACTAAAATATGTTTTAATATTCTTCAATGTGTTTTATTTTTATGATTATGACGATTCTAAAATGTTTTTAACATTCTAAAATTTGTTATTAAAATTCCCAAGTAAAATTATGACATCCTAAGATTCTTAAATAAGTACCTACCTAGTTTCTAAAACATGTTTTCAACATTATATAATGGATTTTTAACATTTTTTAATAATTTCAGTTTGACATTGAAAAATTGTTTTCCACATTTTTAAGGTAGTCTGACATTCTTAAATATAACTTCGACACTTTTAAGTAAGTTTGACATTCTTAAATATGGTTTTGACTTCATTAATTTGAAGTTGTATAAGTTGCATTTCGAATTTAATTTCTTAAATTTTTAAAGAAATTTTGTCATTTTTATAGATTTGTCTAAAATGTGTTTTAATATTCTTAAAGGTCTTTTTGGCAATGACGATTTTAAAATGTTTTAAACATACTAAAATTTGTTTTTAAAATTCTTAAGTAAAATTTTCATTTTTAAATATGTTTTTGACATTTTAAGATGTGTTTTAACATTTTTTAAAAAAGTACCTAGTTTTAATATTTTTAAGTTTCTAAAATTATAAAATGTATTTTTAACAATCTTAAGTCAGTCAAAAAATTACTTTTATTTTTTTTTATTAGTTTAAAATATGTTTTTAACATTCTATAATGTGTTTTTGACATTCTTAAGTAATTTTGACATTTCTATGGTTTTGAAGATTCCAAAATGTTTTTAACAAACTGAAATAAGTTTTTAAGATTCCAAAGTAAAATTTTTATTCTCAAATATGTTTTTGACATCCCAAAATGTGTTTTGACATTATATAATGGATTTTTAACAATCTTAAATCAGACATTTCTATGGTTTTGAAGGTTCCAAAATGTTTTTAACAAACTGAAATGAGTTTTTAAGATTCCAAAGTAATTTTTTTTTCTTAAATATGTTTTTGACATCCCAAAATGTGTTATGACATTATATAATGTGTTTTTAACATTCTTAAATCATCCCCACATTATAGAATGGATTTCATCAATCAAAAAAATATTTTTAGTATTTTTTTAATATTTTAAAATATGTTTTTAACATTATAAAATGTGTTTCTGACATTCTCAAGTAATTTTGACATTTCTATGGTTTTGAAGATTACAAAATGTTTTTAACAAACTGAAATGAGTTTTTAAGATTCCAAAGTAAATTTTTTTTTTAAATATGCTTTTGATATCCCAAAATGTGTTTTGACAGTTTAGAATGAATTGATAACAATCTTAAATCCGTCCAAAAATTATTTTTATTATTTTTTTTTATTATATTAAAATATGTTTTTAACATTCTAAAATGTGTTTCTGACAATCTCAAGTAATTTTGACATTTAAATGGTTTTGAAGATGTCAAAATGTTTTTAACAAACTAAAATGAGTTTTTAAGATTCCAAAGTAAAATTTTTATTCTCAAATATGTTTTTGACGTTCTAAAATGTGTTTTGACATTATATAATGTTTTTTAACATTTTTAAATCATCCCCAACATTATAGAATGGATTTTTAACAATCTTAAATCAACATTCTCAAGTTATTTTGACATTTATATGGTATTGAAGATTCCAAAATGTTTCTAACAAACTGAAATGAGTTTTTAAGATGATTTTATTCTCAAATATGTTTTTGACATCCTAAAATGTGTTTTGACTTTATATAATGTGTTTTAAACATTTTTAAATCATTTTAAACATTATAGAGTAATTTTAACATTCTTAAATTTGTTGTTTGAAAGTTTCTGCAGAAAAATGAAAAAATGACAAGAATATCAAGATTAAAAAATAAAAAACTTACCTTGGTCTGCAGATAGTCAATCAGCTTGATCTGCTGACCAATGGTAGCTTCAGCCTTTAATTCCCTCTCCTTGTAGTAATTAATTTTCTCCGCGAAAATTCTCTCCAACTCCTGAAGTTGCTGAGCTAAAACAGACCTGCTCTCCTGCACATCTCTCAACTGATGATTTAACTTGTAGTTGTGCTCTTTGGAGGAGTTAATTTTCGTCAGATGATCCGTCAACTCCTCTTTCAATATGTTGTTCTCGCGATGACAGTCTTTGTTCTGCCTCTCCAGCGTTTTCGCCGTCATCTCCAGATCAGCGATTTTCTCCTCCGCCATCGTAAGCTCTTCAGACAGCTGCGTCGAGTATTTTTTATACTCGACGCACTGTTCCTTGTAGCTCTTGCATTCCCCTTGCAAGCACTGAACGTCTTCGTTGCATCTTTTGACTTTGGTCTCCGCCAGTAATTTTAGAGATTTTTGCTCGTTGGCCAGTTTTTTGGCCTCTTGTATTTCAGTCTTTGCGTTGCACAAGTCTTTGATTAACTTTTCCGTGTTCGAGTTTAGAGACGATTCTTTTTCTTCGAACGATTTTATTATGCGTTCGTATTCTATTACTTGGTTTTCTAAAAGCGTTGAGGCTTCGCGTAGAGCTTCGAGATTCTATAAAAATGTTTTTAATGTTTATTTTTTCAAATAGCTAACATCAAAAATGAGATGTATGAAAAATATCTTGTTATCATAACATCAATTATTTTGAGAATCTATGTATATATACATGTTTTTAACATTCTAAAATGTGGTTTTCTACTTTATAAAATATCGTTTAGACGTTAACATTCTAAAAGGTGTTTTGACATTCTTCAATGTTTTTTAACATTTGTTTTTTTTTTACTTTATAAAATATCGTTTTGACATTCTTAAAATGTGTTCCAGACATTCTCAAGTAATTTGACATTTTTATGGTTTTGAAGATTCTTAAATATATTTTTAACATTCTAAAATGTGTTTTGACATTCTTAAATATTTTTAACATTCTAAAATTTTGGCATTTTTATAGTTTTGGCATTCTATAATATGTTTTTTTACTTTATAAAATATTGTTTTGACATTCTTAAAATGTGTTTTTGACATTCTCAAGTAATTTGACATTTTTTGTTTTGAAGATTCTTAAATCTATTTTTAACATTCTAAAATGGGTTCTGACATTCTTAAATGTTTTTTAACATTCTAAAATTTGCTTTTAGGGTACTTAAGTAATTTTGACATTTTTATAGTTTTGACATTCTAAAATACGTTTTTTACTTGATAAAATATCGTTTTAACATTCTTAAATTGTGTTTCCGACATTCTCAAGTAATTTGACATTTTTTGGTTTTAAAGATTCTTATATATATTTTTAACATTCTAAAATGTGTTCTGACATTCTTAAATGTTTTTTACCATTCTAAAATTTGTTTATAGGGTACTTGGGTAATTTTGACATTTTTATAGTGTTGACATTCTAAAATATGTTTTTTACTTGATAAAATATCGTTTTACGATTCTTAAATCGTGTTTCGGACATTCTCAAGTAATTTAACATTTTTTGGTTTTGAAGATTCTTAAATATTTTTCATTCTAAAATGTGTTGACATTCTTAAATGTTTTTTAACATTCTAAAATTTGTTTTTAAGATTCTTAGGTAATTTTGTCATTTTTAATAGTTTTGACATTCTAAAATATGTTTTTTACTTGATAAAATTCGTTTTGACATTTTTAAAATGTATTTTCCACATTCTCAAGTAATTTGACATTGTTTGATTTTGAAGATTCTTAAATAAATTTTTAACATTCTAAAATGTGTTTTGACATTCTTAAATGATTATTAACATTCTAAAATTTGTTTTTAAGATTTCGTTTTGACATTCTTAAAAAGTGTTTCTAACATTCTCAAGTAATTTAAAATTTTTATGATTTTGAAGATTCTTAAATAATTTTGTAGAATTCTAAAATGTGTTTTTACATTCTTAAGTAATTTTGAAGTTTCAATAGTTTTCACATTCTAAAATATGTATTTTTACTTTATAAAATATTGTTTTGATATTCTTAAAATGTGTTTCTGACATTCTCAAATAATTTGACATTTTTATGGTTTTGAAGATTCTTGAATATATTTTTAACATTCTAAAATGTGTTTTTAACATTCCCAAGTGATTTGGATTTTTTTTTTAAATACGTGTTTTAACAATCTAAAATGTTTTCAACATTCTAAAATGTGTTTTTAAGATTCTAAAGTTATTTTGGCATTTTTATAGTTTTGACATTCTAAAATATGTTTTTTTAATTTATTAAATATAATTTTGACATTCTTAAAATGTGTTTTATATTCCTAAGTAATTTTGGAATTTGTTTATATACGTTTTGAACATTCTTTAATGTTTTTTAACATTCTAAAATGTGTTTTTTAGATTCTTAAGTAATTTAAAATATGTATTTTTATTTTATAAAATATTATTATGACGTTCTTAAAATGCGTTTCTGACATTCTCAAGTAATTTGACATTTTTATGGTTTTGAAGATTCTTGAATATATTTTTAACATTCTAAAATGTGTTTTACATTCCTAAGTAATTTTGGAATTTGTTTATATACGTTTTGAACATTCTTAAATGTTGTATAACATTCTAAAATGTGTTTTTAAGATTCTGGTATTTTTATAGTTTTGCACATCCTAAAATATGTTTTTTGACTTTATAAAATATCATTTTAAAGTCCTTTTGACATTCTCAAGTAATTTGAAATTTTTATGATTTTGAAGATTCTTAAATATATTTTTAACATTCTAAAATGTGTTTTAAACATTTGTGATTTTGGAACTTGTTTATATACGAGTTTAAACATTCTTAAATGTTTTTTAACATTCTAAAATGTGTTTTTAAGATTCTTAGGTAATTTTGACATTTTTATAGTTTTGAAGATTCTTAAATGTGTTTTTAACATTCTAAAATGTGTTTTTACAATGAATCATGAAAAAAATCTCATAAATAAATAAAATGTGAGAATTTAAAAATAAAAAGCACTTACCAACTGAATATTCTTAATTTCCCTATTGGATTTCTCCAAATTGTTGAACAACTCGGATTTCTCCTTCTGCAGATTATCAACCAAATCCAAAAGTCGAGCTTTTTCGCTCTCATTCTTCCTCACGTGGTTTTCCATATTTTTCTTCTCCATCTCCAACGTGGCAATCTCTCTATTCATCGAGGCGATTTTTTCGTTACCATTCTGGCAGATTTTCTTCAACTCCTTAATAATCGTTTCTTCGTCGTCGGATTTTTTACGCTCGTTTTCCAACTTTTCCTGCAAATTCCTGTAGCTATCTTTCATTTTCATCAACTCCAACGAGATGTCCTCGTTTATCCTGCTCATCTCCAAAAGAGCGGTTTCGCTCGATTTTTTCGTTTCCGACACTTTTTCGTCGAACTTCGATATTTTTTCCGTTAGAGTTTTAATTTCCTCCTGCGCTTCCTTCAATTCCCTCTCCACTATTCTTTTATCGATTTTACAGTTGCTGAACTCTTTCTCCATCCTCCACAACTTTGTTCTGAACTCTCTGAGTTCTTGACTCTCAGTTACAGAATTTTCTGATTCCTAAATGTAAAAAATAAACTTCTTCTATTACTCAATACTTTATTATTTAATTTCTTTAAACTAAACGATAACGTGTTTTGGCTTAAGGTACTTTTTTGTTGTTTTAATACTTTTTCTTAGTATTTACATTATCGTTAAAAAATAATGTCGTGACCAGAATTTGTTATTTAATTTTGTTTTGTTTTTGCCGCTTTTGTTATTAATTTAACGTTTCTTTTTTCAACTTTCATAATTATTATTACACTAAACAACAGTTAATAAACATTTTTTTGAAAGCAATAATAAGTAATTTTGTCATTTTTATTTTATGATTTTGATTATGTCTAAAATAGGTTTATATCGTTTTAATTTACAGTTTTCAATTACCCGAAATACCTGTCATTTTGACAAGCCATATCAACATCCTGACAGATATCAACATCTGTCATTTTGAAGCCTGTAATCTTTAAAATCTGTCAAAAATGAGCTATTTTGTTTGTATTAAGCAGTTTTCAATAACCATTATTATATATAATTTTGACATCTGTCATTTTTAACATTTTGACAGACGTCAAAAAATGACAAGAGAAGTCAAAAATGAATTTTGACAGGTGTAAATTATGCCATTGTGTTCAAATTTGTCATTTTTGACTTATGTCAAAAATAGGCTATTTTGTTTGAATTAAAGCAGTTTTCAATAAGCCGAATTATTTGTAATTTTGACATCTGTCATTTTCAACATATTTTTGACAGACGTCAAAAAATGACAGGTGAGGTTTTCAATTTCCAGACACATCTGTCATTTTGACAATTGTCATTTTTACAAATGTAAAAAATGAGCCATTTTATTTGAATTTAAGCAGTTTTTAATAACCCGAATAATATGTTATAATTTTAACATCTGTCATTTTAAAAATCTTTTGAAAGACGTCAAAATATGACAGGTAAAGGCTAAAATGGGCTGACAGATGTAAAAAATATGCCATTTTGACAGACGTCAAAAATGACAAGTGACGTTAAAATGAACAGATGTAAAATATACCATTGTGTTCGAGATTGGGCAGTTTTCAATTACCCAAAATCTGTCATTTTTGACATGTCAAAAATAAGTTATTTTGTTTGAATTTGAGCAGTTTTCAATAACCCGAATTATTTGTAATTTTGACATCTGTCATTTTCAACATATTTTTGACAGACGCCAAAAAATGACAAGTGAAGTCAAAAATGAACTTTGACAGATGTAAAATATGTCGTTGTGTTCAAATTAGGGCAGTTTTTAATTACCCGATAATCTGTCATTTTAACACCTGTCATTTTTTACAAATGTCAAAAATGAGCTATTTTATTTGAAATTGAGTTTTCTTTAAACTGAATAATATGTAATTTTGTTATCTGTCATTTTTAACATCTTTTGACAGACGTAAAAAAATGACAGGTAAGGTCTAAAATGAGCTGACAGATGTAAAAAATGTGCCATTATGTTCGAATTTCAGCAGTTTTCAATTATCCGAAACATCTGCCATTTTGACACCTGTCATTTTTGACATCTTTTTGAGAGATGCTAAAAATAACAGATATCAAAAATAATAGGTAACGTCTAACGTAAACTGAGAAGTGTCAAAAAGATGTCAAAAACAATAAGTAAAGTCCAAAGTAAATTGATATGTCAACAATGAGTTTAAATTTGGGCAGTTTTCAATTACCCAAAACATGTCATTTTGCATTACCTATTTTAGACAAAAGTTAAAAATGACAAATTTAAAAAATGACAGATGTCAAAAATTTGATTAAAGTCTAAAATGGACTTTGACAGATGTCAAAAATGAGCTATGGCAGTAATAGTGTTAATAATAGTTTAATTAAGCAAAATAAAAATAAATCAATTTTTTAAACTTTCAAAAATTTGTCCTTCCATTTTTTATACTTATTATACTATTGTGCGATTTTTTCCCCTTAATTTTTTAAATTTAAAGTACTGTGCAAATTTTGTTAGAAAATTTTATATGGTTGTTTCATCTTTCGTAACGCGTTTTGGTTTACACCGTCCGTAAAAAATGTCTTAAAAATAATAATAATAAATGTAAAGAAAATAATCAGTTATTATTATTTTTAATTGCGCCCTCTATACCCCCCACATGTACTAAAATCTTAATGTGTTCACATACCTTAATTTTTGTTTTCAGTGAAGCATTTTTATCCTGCTCTTCAACCAATTGACTCTCAATTTCCCTGATCTTTTTGTTGAGCTCATTCCTCTGGCTATCACACAATTTGTTCTGCTCCTCCAAATTTTTGTTGTCCATTTTAAGGAGAGTCAACTTGTTTTCGAAGTCCTTGACTATCTTTTGGCCGTTGTCGATGGTATTTTGAAGATCGGTTACACGGTTTTTGTAGGTTTTGATTTGGGTGGTGAGTTTTTCCATTTCTTTAAGTTTCTCCGCGATTTTCGCGACTTGGTTCTCGTTTTCTTTGAGTTTCTCGCCGAGGTTTTTGTTTTCGTCCAGGGAAGTCTCTAGTTTCTTCGTCAAATCCGCATAAGAGTCTTTTAATTTTCTCAGTTCCTTCTCCAAACTCAATTTGGCGAATATTTCCCTGCTCAGTTTACTCTGCAAATCGTGTATGGCGTTCTGAGAGTCGGAAGTGATTCTCTCCAACCTCGACTCCAAACCCACCACACTCCTCCTACTCAAATTATGAACAGTCTCCAAAGACTCTCTATGAGCCCCCTCAGACTGTAGTGCTCTTTTTAATTGATCATTCAGCATCTTATTCGTGGCCGTCAACTCGGCAATTTTAACCTTTTGCTGCTCAATCTCCAACGCCATACCGTCGATTTTAACCTTTTCCGCCCCCTCCCACTTGGTCTTGGCCGACTTGATCAACTCCAAAGCTTTCCTCTCCAACTCCACCCTATCCTTGCGCTCCAGCTCCAAGGTGCGTTTTAGAGCCTAAATACACAAAAATACGCTGTTTTGACGCAACTTCCGGTTAAACCGGAAGCAATGTTAAACCGGAAGTAGTGGTTAAAATGACCACGGCGATGTTATAAAACGTTTGGGGACAACTTCCGGTTAAACCGGAAGTACTGCGAAACCGGAAGTAGTGGTTAAAATGACCACAGCGATGTTATAAAACGTTTGGGGACAACTTCCGGTTAAACCGGAAGGAATGTTAAACCGGAAGTAGTGGTCTAAATGATCACAGCGATGTTATAAGACGTTTGGAGGCAACTTCCGGTTAAACCGGAAGTGCGCGCCAAAAGAACCGGAAGACTTTATCATACTTACGGTGCATTCGGCGATGTTGTTGGCGATGTCCCTCTCCAACTGGTCGCGTAGCGATTCCAACGTCTCCAACTTCCGGCATTTTTCCTGGAACTTGGTCTCCATGGATTTCTTTTGCTGCGCGTTTTCTTCGTTGCGGATCAATTTTTTTTGCAGGCTCGTCACCTCGCTTTTGAGGTTCTTGACGGCCTCGTCTTTTATCATCAGATTGCCGTACGGGTTTTCGAACTCGTCCGGGTCGTGAGTGAACGTGAAACCCACGAAGGGAAGATTTTTTCCGGTGAATTGCGTGCGTTTTTTGAAATTTTCCACGCTGGGCGTTTTTTTCTTGCTCTGAACGTCCGAGAAGTTACTGGTATCGTCGGCAGAGAGAATTTTCGGCACGTAAGGCGGAACTTCGTTCAACAAATTCTCGAAACGCGTGTTTTTGAACAAAACGTGCGACTTTATTTGTTTGGCGTTCAGTCGTTTTTGCTGATCGGTAACTAAACCTTTGATGAAACTAACGTAAGCCTGGCTTAAAGTTACATCCGGCGGGAATTTTAAGTGATTGGAGTGGTTCATTATTTTCCCGTATATGGATGTTGTATTTTGCCCGGCAAAAGGCGTGTTGCCTATTGTTAACTCATAAGCTAGGACCCCTAGTGACCAAAAATCGCAACACACCTAAATTAAAAACAATTTATTTACTTTATAATTTATTTTGTTTAAAAAACTTACCCCATAACCGGCGCCGGCATTTTTCTTGTTGTTCTCCAACGATTGCAGAACTTCAGGGGCTATATAGTCAGGGGTGCCAACTGGAGGGCTTTCAGTGACAAAACCCTGCTCGTTTATTTTTGCAGCCGAACCAAAATCCGCCAGTTTTAAATGACCGCATCGGTCTAAAAGTAAGTTATCCGGTTTTACGTCTCTGTGAACGTATCCCATCGAATGTAAATCTGCCAGAGCTAAAACCTACAGAGAAAACTCCATTGGAAACCAAGCACGTTATTTGTGTTTTACGTTGCAAGGAAAAAATTAAAAAACTTTTTTAGTACTCGATTTTGATTGATTATTCCTTAAATCATTGATTAAGAAACTCAACGCTTAAATGCTTATATAGTTACGTTAGTGTGTGTATTTTATCTAAGGAATCATGGTGAATTATTGTGTTTTTAATTGTAAATAAAATTCAAGAACTAAATCGTTGCATTTTCATGTTTTGCCAAAGGATACAATTTTGTTGGTGCAGAATTAACTAATGATAACTTTACCTAATATAATTTATATTTAAGTTTGGACATTTTTAAGAAATTAGTAAAAAATAATTTTTGCACAAACATAACCTTAAAATCAATAATTTTTATATTTGAGTTCTCTAAAAAACGCCGACAACTGCATTTTAAACAACAAAATATACCTACGAATTCATGGCAACATAATATTATATATAATACATAATGTAATGGTATTTTACCGTTGAGTGGAGACTTTCTTAATCAACGCTTTTAATAATGCTAAATGCTGTTTAAATTTAGACGACTTATTTGTTTGACGATTTTTACTGAATTGAAATGTTTACACTTTTCACGTTAATCATTACTAAAATGTGTATTTATTGTATCTAATAGGTACAATTTATATTTACAGAGACTATGCAATTTATTTCTTCATTCAGATTAACACTGTTTATTGGAAAACTGGTAAAAACTCAACCCAGGATTTTCTCTCGAAATACACCCTATTCTCTTACTGTAAATGTTTTTCATAAATATACAGTCTAATATTAAAAATAAAAATTTTAATTTGAAAAAAAATAATAATAAAATTTTTTTACTTACCAATTCAGCTATGTAAAAAGTAGCTGCACTTTCCGGCAATGTACCCCCTTGTCTGTACAACAGCCCCAGCAAATCCCCCCCGGGGTGATATTCCATAACAAAAAACAAATAAGTTTGATCTTGAAAAGCATATTGCAGCAACGTAAGCCATGGTGAATGCCCAAAAGCCATAATATTCCTTTCTTCCTCGTAAGAACCCTTTACGTCGCTTTTACGTATTGTTTTCATGGCATAAACATCCCCAGTTTGCTTCTCTTTCACCATATGAACTTCCCCAAAATGCCCTCGACCAATAACATTCTTTATTTCAAAATCTGTTATATTCACACGCAACTGTTTTATCTCCTTTAAAGCCTGTTTGTATTTTTCGGCAAATTTTGCGATATTAGCATCGTATTTTTGCAGTTGTTCTATTGTACATTCATCATACAAAACTTGTAATGTATCTAATAACGCCTCACGAGTCAATATACCACTTCTCTCTTTGTTTTTAGCTTTCCCAACTATATTACTGTTAATTCTCGCCACACGAACACTAATCGCATCTTTAGACGCCTCCATTTTCGCTTTATCACAATTATTTGTACCAATAAAACATTTGTTAACACAGGAAAGTAAACACGTTCAAAAAATGACCGTTAATTTCACAACTGACAGATGGTTTTGAATGCTGAGCTCTGATTGGTGGGTTTTAAGTGCTGCGTTCAGAGACAAAGCTACAAAAGTACGTTCAGATACGACAGAGGTAGGCAACTCGGATTACATTTTTTTTGTTGCAATATTTGTTTAAAAAATTAGTTGATTAATTGCAAGGTCAATATTGAATTTCCTCTTAGTTTTTTTTACGTTTGAGTGTTCACGTGAGCAGATACTTAAAATTTGTTGTTAGTTATAAAATAAATTGTCCTGCATTTTATCAGTTTGTTGTAAAATTTTAAACTGTAAATATGAGTGTTTTTACAAATTTTTATTATTTAGGGTATTGTACGGCCCTTTTTATCACACCGGTCGTTTTATACATAGTGTTTCGTAGAAGAAATGAATACAGGAGAAGAGGTAAGATTTTTTATTTTTTTTTAATTATACATGTTGCCTCCATACTCCATCAACATTGTAGAATCTACAGGGAATAATATAAAAAAATCTTTAGTTTTGCGTTATGAATATAATATATAATATAATACCAAAGTTCAAAATTTAATAATATTTAATAATAAATGTATTATATTATCTAACAATCTAATCTTATTTATTTAAATTATACAATAAAGTTTACTACATAATATACAGGGTGTATAGATTTTGACCAAAATAAAAAACTGAGTTTCATTTATAAGTTTTTAATATATTTTAGATTGGTTTTATTACATCAAGTTTCAACATGCCAAAAATACTGTTAGAAAAATGCAGCAAAAAAATAAAAAAGAAATCCAATCCATAGGAGACGATCTTGATTATAAAATATTTATTCCTTCAGATCAGGTAGAACATTCTTTATTTAATATACAGTATGTCTCCGAAAAAGGAACAATTTTTTCTTGTAAAGCTCATAAAAGTTTTTTCTTTTTCGAGCTGCATCAGTGAACGCATTTTCATTAAATAGATTGTTTAATTATTTTTAGCATACTTCCAGTCATTTTATATACGGGGTGGATCAAAAGGGAAATAGCATATCTGTTAGATTTACTTTACATCTACAGAGGATTGCGGAAGTCTTCTTATATCTTCGCCTGAGCAATGGAAAAAGATATATTTTACCGGGTGAGTAAATAAACATTTTCTTATTAACGATTTTCAAAAAAATAATTAATTTTTGGCGCGTTGAGCGCGTTTGTAATTGGACAATTCAAATTTTTTTTATGTTAAAAACTGCTCTTTTACATTTAATTTATTTAAAACCAGGTAATTGAAAACTGCCTAAACTCGAACAAAATTGTTTAATTGAAAACTGTGCTTACATGCATAGATTGAAAAAATTGTAGGACACATCCGCACAGTAGCGTAAATTAAAAAAAATTGCACGGTGGGATAAATTTTAAAATGGTAGGACAAATACGCAGAGAGGCTAAATTTAAAAAATAATATGTACAATTGTACATTTAAAAAAATGGTAGACAAAATTGGCACGGTAGTTCAAAATTTAAAAATTGTGGCAAAATGCACAATGACATCAACTTAAATTCCAATATTTTCAAATTTTTAAATTTTACAAAATTGCAAAGTTTGCACTTAAAAATTTGTGTAAAAAATCGCACTGTAGTTTAAACTTAAAAAATATTGGGAAAAATGCACAGTGGCATCAATTTTAATTTTAATATTTTCAAAATTTAAAAATTTCCAAGATTTTTGAAATTTTTAGTTTCCAAAATATTAATTAATTAAAAATTTAAATATTCTAAATGTCCAATACATATTTTCAAAATTTCTTAAATTTTTAAATCTTCTAAAAAAATTAAATCCAAAATTTTCAAAAATATAATTTTTTTTTAAATATTTTAAATTTTACAAATTTTCACAGTGGGATAAACTTAGAAATTGGTAGGAAAAATTTGCAAGGTAGTTAAAACTAAAAAATATAGTGAAAATGTCAATATTTTCAAAATTTCTTAAATTATTAAGACCTCTAAAACTTAAATTTTTCAATATTTTCAAGTTTTCCAAAATTTTACAAAATTTTCTGAATTTTTGCACAAGTTTAAAATATGTTGGGACAAAAATTTGTACAGTAGGACAAATTCGCACGCTGGTTCAAACTTAAAAAAAAATAGTGGGGAAATGCACATTGGCATTAATTTAAATTTCAATATTTTCAAAATTTCTGAAATTTTCGAAACTTAAAAAATTTACAAATTTTTGAAATTTTTAGAAATATTGAAATCTTCAATAATTTTAAATTTAAAAGATTTTTTAAATGATTTCTATTTTTTTTAAATTTCTTAAATTTTTATTACTTATACAAATTTTAAAATTTACAAAATTTTATAAAATTCAAAAATTTTGGAAATTTTCATAATAATTATTTTGAAACTTTTAATACTTTCAAATTTAAAAAAAAATCTGGATTTTTGAACAAGTTTAAAATGATTTTGTACAGTGGAATAAACTTAAAAATTGGTAGGAAAAATTCGCACGGTAGTTCAATCTTAAAAAATAGTGGGAAACATGCACAGTGGCACTAATTTAATTTTAATATTTTTCAAATTCGCACGCTAGTTCAAACTTTCAAAAAAATGGTGGGAAAATGTACAGTTGCATCATTTTAAATTACAATATTTTCAAAATTTCTTAAATTTTCGAAATTTATGTAATTTACAAAATTTTGAAAATTTTCAGTTTTTCTAAATTTTTAAAAATATTGAAATTATCAATTATTTTAAATTAAAAAAAAAATTACAGATTGTTCTAAATTATTTCTTATATTTTCAAAATTTCTTAAATTTTCATTAGATACTAGAATTTTTTTTTAAATTTACAAAATTTTCAAAATTAATTGTACATTTTTGAAATTTTAAAAATTTTGCAATTTTCAATATTTTCAAATTGTTCTGAATTTTTTCACAAGTTTAAAAAATGTTGAAACATTTGCACAGTAGGATAAATTTAAAAATTGGTAGGAAAAATTTTACAAGGTGGTTCAAACTTAAAACATGGTGGTGCACCAATAATAATATTTTTTTAAATTTCTTAAATTTTCATACTTCTTTAAAATTTTCAGTTTCTAAAATTCTTGAAATTTACAAAAATATTAAAATTTTTAATATTTTTATGTTTAAAAAAAATAATTTATCAACATTTTCTAAATGATTTCTAATAATCGTTTTTAATATCTTCCTGCAAACATTTTATCGTTTTTCGTACGTAATTTTTTAAGTTACCTACGCCAAAGAAGTAAAATTTTTTTTATTAATGTAGTCCCAAATTGTTTAAAAAGTCATCTTTACACTTCCTAATAAACTTCACAATTAATGTTTTAGGAAATGACAAAATCCATTTTTTCACCATACCCAAACTACAATGGAAAGCAAATGGGTTAAACATGGAAATTTTAGAACCTTTCAGAAGACTCCGACTAACTTTCAATGGACTCCTCAAAGAAGTATCCACTGGAATAGGCACGGTAGAGCATGTGCAATTTAATTTTATGTAGGAACAAATCATCGCTAATCATCTCAGGTCTACATTACAAAAAAATATTTTTACAGATGGAATACTGCCTCATCGCCGTTATATTTCCCTGAAGACGTTAGTGAAGGTCTGATAGCTGAAGCTCTAGCCACTGAACATTGGAAGGATGCCGACTGGATGAGCTTTCTGTATGGAAAAATATACTCACAGGCAAAATAATCGATATACACAAATTTTCGATGAATTTCAATCGCAAATAACTTTTTTATTTGATTTCGGATTTAAACAAATATTAAAGAATATTGTGGATACATTAATGGAGAATCGCTCACATTTTAAAAATTACTAAAAAATACACGTATGTTTATAATATACAGGTTTAAACAAAAATATGTTTTTACCATAAGTTTAAGACACTCTGTAGAGTGGCAAAACCGTATATTGTTCTAAATTAAGTTTTATTTATCAAGTCACATCTATTTTTAACAGTTTTGTTTTTGGTTCACCTCGATATATTTATTTTTGTGGAAAATATGGATTTTTTAAAAAAACATTGCAATTTCCAATATTTTTCCTGTATGAAGAACTAAGGTTGCTATGGTCCATCCATAGCCTACAGAGGATGACAGTGACAGTTTTGTTGAATCATCCCATACTTGGACATGTCATATACAGCTTTCAAAAGCTATCAAATTGTTTTTTGTAAATTAAAGTGTTAATTTTGAGGTGTCTTCTTACTTTTAAAAATGTCTCCGACTGATGCTGTCCTTTGTACTTTACTTCTTGTGACGTTTGAAACACTTGCCACGTAATACTGTGACCGTCCATCCTGGATTAAATTAATGACTCTGGCAACATCAGTCGGGGACATATCCATTTTTTAAAGTAAGAAGATCCCTCAAATTTTAAACATTAATTTGCAAAAAACAATTTGATAGCTTTTGAAAGCCGTGTATGACATGTCCAAGTAATAGATGATTCAACAAAACTGTCACTGTCATTCTCCATAGCATATGGATGGACCATAGCAACCTTAGTTCTTCATACAGAAAAATATTGGAAATTGCAATGTTTTTTTAAAAAATCCATATTTTCCACAAAAATAAATATATCGAGGTGAACCAAAAACAAAACTGTTAAAAATAGATGTGACTTGATAAATAAAACTTAATTTAGAACAATATACGGTTTTGCCACTCTACAGAGTGTCTTAAACTTATGGTAAAAAACATGTTTTTGTTCAAACCTGCATATTATAAACGTACGTCTATTTATTAGTATTTTTTTAAAATGTGAGCGATTGTCAATTAATTTATCTACAATATTCTTTAATATTCGTTTAAATCCGAGATCAAATAAAAAAGTTATTTGCGATTGAAATTCATCGAAAATTTGTGTGGATCGATTATTTTGCCTGTGAGTGTATTAACGGAGATTTTATTAATTAATTTGTTGCTTTTTAGACCAGACACAAGTGGTTACGAACAGTTTGGGGCGCTACAAGGATTCGTTAAAACCGAATATTCATCGGAAGAAATAGTGTTGGTATTGCCAAGTTATCGAACTAAAATTGAAGGGGTTAGAAGTACAGAGTTGATGAGTAGAGAAGTAAGAATTTGTCTGGCATCTGAAGATGGAACTTGCATCAATTTGACGTTGGAATGTTTGAATAATGGTTGCTCACAGTAAATTTAACAAAATCTATTAGGAATTAGTATTTATTTGTTTGTTTACAGATTTGCATATGGTTTTGTCATAAAAAGTTGTGGGAAAACTCTGCCAATATCAAAAACAGACATTCTTTTAAAAAGATTAGGTGATAGAGAAAGCTTGCCTGATAGTTTTACAGCTCACATATCAGGTACATACTATAACAGATGTTATGTACTATGCTCCACACCTCAAAGTCCCACCACGTGACCACGTACGGAACGCAGTCTTTTGAAAATTTGGCATTTAAGGCTTTTCAGGTTATGTATCTGTCAAAGTATAGTCAACGAAAGAAATAATATTATGTTTAGGCGTTAAAAATGTACAAATCTTTGTAACATTACAATAAAAATGGATGGTTTAACAATTTAAGAATATAAATACTGCATTTAATGAAATTCTAAAGTTTATGGTGCCAAATAAGTAATATTTTTGTGCATTTGGTCCAAATATCTGGTTTTCTCCATAAAATAATTTTAACTAAACAGCATTTATTTAAAAAAATCTAGCTTCTCTATTATGGAATAAGAATATCGTATTAAAGGTAGGTTAATATATTATAACAAAAATATCATCTAATTTTGTAATTTTAAGGTTAGAAAAATTTATTTTGACCAAAATAAATAAGTATTTTGGATTATTTAAAAGACTGTATAATATGGTATTTAAAATGTGGTAGTTTTTCTTATCCAGCTTAAACTATACCTACATAAAGTTTTGTGAATACAAATAGTTAAAAAGCTTGGACTGAATTTGATCTACCTACATCAAAAAATCATTATAACTTTTAAAAATTTTAATAAATCACATGTCATGGGAGTATTAAATATTTCCACATTGCAAGTTTCTCTAAAAATTGTTTGTTTTCTTATAATCTAACTTAAAGTAAGTATGCCGAGAGGTATGCACAAGTTTTGTCGTTAGAAGTATAAAAGCTTCAATTTAATTTGAACTATATTCAACAATTATTTAGTATACCTATATTTATTTATAACCATATTAACACACTCTTTCAAATAATCCACTTATTTATTTTGGTCAAAATAGATTTTTCTAACCTTAAAATACAAAATTAGATGAAATTTTTTGTTCTTATACATTAACCTACCTTTGATACAGATATTCTTATTTCATAATAGAGAAGTTAGATTTTTTTTTAATAAATGCTGTTTGGTTAAAACTATTTTATGGAGAAATGTAGACCCAATGCAGAAAACTATCACTTATATTGCACCTTACACTTTTGAATTTCATTAAATGCAGTATTTATATGTCTAAATTCTTAAACCAACCATTGTTATTGTGATACTATAAAGATTTATTAACTTTTAATGCTTAAACATAAGCGGTAACACTATAAATATTATTTCTTTTATTGACTATACTTTGACAGATACATAACCTGAAAAGCCTTAAATGCCAAATTTTCAAAAGACTGAGTTCCGTACGTGGTCACGTGGTGGGACTTTGAGGTGTGGACATAGCACGTTCTAATATTAAAAATATGTATCATTTACAGCTGGTAAAAAGGTGTACAGAGCTGCCTTTCATCTAAACCTACCAGAATCCATTAAAGTCACCAACAACGATGAAAATGGTTACGATTTGTACCATGTCCCATGCGAAGTGGATTTGGACTCTAACCAAGCTAAAGGAATGGTGGAATTTTGGTACTCAAAGGAAGGTAAATTAATTTTACAAGCACCCAAAATCACATTTTGTGGCGTAATACAAAAAGACGATACATCTCACCCGTGTTGATGTTGTTAATGTGTATATATAAGTAAGTATAGACGACTTATTTTTAGGGAATGAAAAAATAATTCCCAAGGATATTTTGACGGAAAAAATTGTTCCAAAATTGCCCAATGATTTGGTTTTGAGTATAAGAGACCCAAAATCCCAAATTTTGGACTTGACTGGTGGAAAAGGATGTTCATTGGCTTTGATGTCATCTTTGAAGCAAAATTACGTACGTAAAATGTTACATAGAAAATATTAAATTTTGTAATTAATTTTTTTTCTCAGTTTAACATACCTGGTGGTTTCATAGTAACTACCAATGCTTTCAAGGAACACCTGGATGAAAATTGGAGTATAAAAAATAGCGTTTTAAGTCTTGATGATATATGTTGTGGAAGAAAAAGTGGAAAACTTGAAGATGCTTGTAAAAAGTAAGTCAATTACCAAAACTTTTCTCTGAATTAATTTATGTGTTTTCAGGACTGTGGATAGTTTTATATCTGAAGAAATAACTGAAAAAATAGGCCAATCAATAAGGGACGAACTGAAAAAGCACAGTTTTGATGAAAATGGGCTTCAAAATGGCAGATGGGCTGTACGATCTTCTGGTAATATAAAATTAAAAAAAAAATAAACATTCAATTTTCTTAGTTTCTTTAAGAAACTTTCTTGACCCATCACTGGTACTATTCATAAGAAATAAGAAAAAATTGAACCTACACCTCGCCAAAGATTTTTGTTTTGAATGCGTTCCACCAACTTCAAATACCGACAGACAGCTGTTTCGACCTTTATTGGGTCTCATCAGTGTCGGGCAACTTGGTGTAGTGGAACACAATCAAAACAAATTACTCCCTCAGCTTATATGCTCGGTTGTTAAGTCAACAGAGGCGAGATGTAAGAACATCAGGTGATCCTCACCGTCAAACGACGTGGCCTTTGCTGCAATCGGTACATACTATGCAACCGGGACTGCACACAGCAATTGTATCACAGATACTAATATGGCCTAAAGGAATCTAGAATTAACCCAAACGGGCTAAACATTAAGGTAAACATTCAATTTTCTTAGTTTCTTTAAGAAACTTTCTTGACCCATCACTGGTACTATTCATAAGAAATAAGAAAAAATTGAACCTACACCTCGCCAAAGATTTTTGTTTTGAATGCGTTCCACCAACTTCAAATACCGACAGACAGCTGTTTCGACCTTTATTGGGTCTCATCAGTGTCGGGCAACTTGGTGTAGTGGAACACAATCAAAACAAATTACTCCCTCAGCTTATATGCTCGGTTGTTAAGTCAACAGAGGCGAGATGTAAGAACATCAGGTGATCCTCACCGTCAAACGACGTGGCCTTTGCTGCAATCGGTACATACTATGCAACCGGGACTGCACACAGCAATTGTATCACAGATACTAATATGGCCTAAAGGAATCTAGAATTAACCCAAACGGGCTAAACATTAAGGTAAACATTCAATTTTCTTAGTTTCTTTAAGAAACTTTCTTGACCCATCACTGGTACTATTCATAAGAAATAAGAAAAAATTGAACCTACACCTCGCCAAAGATTTTTGTTTTGAATGCGTTCCACCAACTTCAAATACCGACAGACAGCTGTTTCGACCTTTATTGGGTCTCATCAGTGTCGGGCAACTTGGTGTAGTGGAACACAATCAAAACAAATTACTCCCTCAGCTTATATGCTCGGTTGTTAAGTCAACAGAGGCGAGATGTAAGAACATCAGGTGATCCTCACCGTCAAACGACGTGGCCTTTGCTGCAATCGGTACATACTATGCAACCGGGACTGCACACAGCAATTGTATCACAGATACTAATATGGCCTAAAGGAATCTAGAATTAACCCAAACGGGCTAAACATTAAGGTAAACATTCAATTTTCTTAGTTTCTTTAAGAAACTTTCTTGACCCATCACTGGTACTATTCATAAGAAATAAGAAAAAATTGAACCTACACCTCGCCAAAGATTTTTGTTTTGAATGCGTTCCACCAACTTCAAATACCGACAGACAGCTGTTTCGACCTTTATTGGGTCTCATCAGTGTCGGGCAACTTGGTGTAGTGGAACACAATCAAAACAAATTACTCCCTCAGCTTATATGCTCGGTTGTTAAGTCAACAGAGGCGAGATGTAAGAACATCAGGTGATCCTCACCGTCAAACGACGTGGCCTTTGCTGCAATCGGTACATACTATGCAACCGGGACTGCACACAGCAATTGTATCACAGATACTAATATGGCCTAAAGGAATCTAGAATTAACCCAAACGGGCTAAACATTAAGGTAAACATTCAATTTTCTTAGTTTCTTTAAGAAACTTTCTTGACCCATCACTGGTACTATTCATAAGAAATAAGAAAAAATTGAACCTACACCTCGCCAAAGATTTTTGTTTTGAATGCGTTCCACCAACTTCAAATACCGACAGACAGCTGTTTCGACCTTTATTGGGTCTCATCAGTGTCGGTGAGGATCACCTGATGTTCTTACATCTCGCCTCTGTTGACTTAACAACCGAGCATATAAGCTGAGGGAGTAATTTGTTTTGATTGTGTTCCACTACACCAAGTTGCCCGACACTGATGAGACCCAATAAAGGTCGAAACAGCTGTCTGTCGGTATTTGAAGTTGGTGGAACGCATTCAAAACAAAAATCTTTGGCGAGGTGTAGGTTCAATTTTTTCTTATTTCTTATGAATAGTACCAGTGATGGGTCAAGAAAGTTTCTTAAAGAAACTAAGAAAATTGAATGTTTACCTTAATGTTTAGCCCGTTTGGGTTAATTCTAGATTCCTTTAGGCCATATTAGTATCTGTGATACAATTGCTGTGTGCAGTCCCGGTTGCATAGTATGTACCGATTGCAGCAAAGGCCACGTCGTTTGACGGTGAGGATCACCTGATGTTCTTACATCTCGCCTCTGTTGACTTAACAACCGAGCATATAAGCTGAGGGAGTAATTTGTTTTGATTGTGTTCCACTACACCAAGTTGCCCGACACTGATGAGACCCAATAAAGGTCGAAACAGCTGTCTGTCGGTATTTGAAGTTGGTGGAACGCATTCAAAACAAAAATCTTTCGAGGTGTAGGTTCAATTTTTTCTTATTTCTTATGAATAGTACCAGTGATGGGTCAAGAAAGTTTCTTAAAGAAACTAAGAAAATTGAATGTTTACCTTAATGTTTAGCCCGTTTGGGTTAATTCTAGATTCCTTTAGGCCATATTAGTATCTGTGATACAATTGCTGTGTGCAGTCCCGGTTGCATAGTATGTACCGATTGCAGCAAAGGCCACGTCGTTTGACGGTGAGGATCACCTGATGTTCTTACATCTCGCCTCTGTTGACTTAACAACCGAGCATATAAGCTGAGGGAGTAATTTGTTTTGATTGTGTTCCACTACACCAAGTTGCCCGACACTGATGAGACCCAATAAAGGTCGAAACAGCTGTCTGTCGGTATTTGAAGTTGGTGGAACGCATTCAAAACAAAAATCTTTGGCGAGGTGTAGGTTCAATTTTTTCTTATTTCTTATGAATAGTACCAGTGATGGGTCAAGAAAGTTTCTTAAAGAAACTAAGAAAATTGAATGTTTACCTTAATGTTTAGCCCGTTTGGGTTAATTCTAGATTCCTTTAGGCCATATTAGTATCTGTGATACAATTGCTGTGTGCAGTCCCGGTTGCATAGTATGTACCGATTGCAGCAAAGGCCACGTCGTTTGACGGTGAGGATCACCTGATGTTCTTACATCTCGCCTCTGTTGACTTAACAACCGAGCATATAAGCTGAGGGAGTAATTTGTTTTGATTGTGTTCCACTACACCAAGTTGCCCGACACTGATGAGACCCAATAAAGGTCGAAACAGCTGTCTGTCGGTATTTGAAGTTGGTGGAACGCATTCAAAACAAAAATCTTTGGCGAGGTGTAGGTTCAATTTTTTCTTATTTCTTATGAATAGTACCAGTGATGGGTCAAGAAAGTTTCTTAAAGAAACTAAGAAAATTGAATGTTTACCTTAATGTTTAGCCCGTTTGGGTTAATTCTAGATTCCTTTAGGCCATATTAGTATCTGTGATACAATTGCTGTGTGCAGTCCCGGTTGCATAGTATGTACCGATTGCAGCAAAGGCCACGTCGTTTGACGGTGAGGATCACCTGATGTTCTTACATCTCGCCTCTGTTGACTTAACAACCGAGCATATAAGCTGAGGGAGTAATTTGTTTTGATTGTGTTCCACTACACCAAGTTGCCCGACACTGATGAGACCCAATAAAGGTCGAAACAGCTGTCTGTCGGTATTTGAAGTTGGTGGAACGCATTCAAAACAAAAATCTTTGGCGAGGTGTAGGTTCAATTTTTTCTTATTTCTTATAAAAAAAAAATTTCAAAAATAATGTTTTTTTTCAAGCAATTGGTGAAGATTCCGAAGATCTCTCAGCTGCCGGCCAGAACGAAACTTTTTTGGGCTGCAAAGCTGAAAATGATGTTTTGGATGCCATAAAAAAATGTTGGGCTTCGCTGTTCACCTATCAAAGTGTGCAGTATAGATGGTAAATAGATTTATAAAAAAATCGCAATTCTACACTGTTCAAAATTTCATGACCATTTAACACCAAATTAACACCATACATGGTGTTAAATATGGTTCGTTGGTCCAGTGTAAATATTATGTGTTTTTGGGCAAATTAAATCATACTACACAGACAAAAAAGGAAACAGGAAGTTCCTTGACGCATTACTAGTATATTACCAGGGGTATTATTCCAGAAAATTGAACCTTCAACTCGCTAGAGATAATGTTTTTAGTGCGTTCCACCAATACTTCAAGTATTGACAGCTGTTTCCACCTATTTAAGGTATCTTTAGCATCGAACAACTTGTAGTGTCACACCAAAGCAAAGGACTACCTGAGCTTATATACTCTTCATGTAAGTCGACAGAGGCGAGATTTAAGAACATCACGTGATCCACACCGCCTTTGCCGCGATCGGTACACACTATGCAACCAGGAATGCACGGCAAATTGTTTTAATCGTTTTAACAGAGTGCTTTAGGTTGAAGTAACTCTTATTTTACAAACGACATATTTAGTAAACTGAACCATACAGCGGGTTGGTTTCACTAAAGTTTTCTGGGTTAATTTAACCAATTAAAAAAAATAAAATAACTATCTGGTTTAGTACCGTCAAACTAATCTTTGTTTATATTAACCTTCCCACAGTTGATTTAAATAAATACTTGTGGGTCAACTAAATTAATATAGTTAAATGAACTATTCCTTTTTTTCTGTGTAGGTGCACTTTTCAAATATTTTTAGATTAACACCGTTTTGGTGTTTGCTGTATATAACATCTTCAACCATAATTCATGGTGTTTATATTAACACCACTTGGTGTTGGATTTTGACACCATTTTAAGATGTATGCTTGCCATTTTTAGGCAGCATGGTTTACCCGTACAAACCCAAATGGCCGTGGTGGTACAAAAAATGGTTCCGGCTGAAAGCGCTGGTGTCATGTTTACCTGCCATCCGACCACTTGTAACCCATCCCAGATGGTAATAACGTCCAATTTTGGACTTGGGGAGGTAAATATACTAATATTAAAAATCACATTTTTCATTACTCTTTTTGTTCGTTTTTAGAGTGTGGTGTCAGCCAAAAGTGACCCAGATACCATCATACTGAAAAAAGACCATGACGGTATTGTGAGTGTTCTAGAAAAAAATATTGGTAGAAAAGAAACCTGCATCCACATGAACGAAAAAAATGGGGTTGAAGAAGTTGGTATAAATGGTGATTCAGATACAATGAGCTTGAAGGAAGAACAATCCATAAAACTTGGAAAAGTCGGTGTGTATCTCGAAAAAAAATTTGCAGGTCCACGTGATATAGAATGGGCATTTTACAAGGTAAGGAATTTTACAGTACTTTTAATAAACAATCAATAAATTTTTATTTTAGGATCATCTGTATCTACTACAATCCAGACCGGTAACAACTTTAAACTCTTGGACCGATTTTGAGTTACTACACGAACTCGATGCTCCTATAATGACAGAACAAAACATCTATACGTTAGCCAATGTTGGAGAAGTATATCCAGGTAAAAAAAACTATCAAAACAACATGATTGCATATAGGTACTTATTTATTACTACTTTATTCGTAAGTCTTGACACGCATGCTCTACCGTGCCTATCCCAGTGGATTCTTCTTTAAGGGGTCCATTGAAAGTTAGTCAGAGTCTTCTGAAAGGTTCTGAAATTTCCATGTTTAACCCATTTGCTTTCCATTGTATGGTGAACAATTGATGAATATTTTTTTGTAGGTGCCACAACTGTTTTGTCCCAAACCACTTCCCAGTATTTTACAAGCAAGTCTGTACAAATAGCAATAGATGGGACCTATAACCCCTACACCAAACAATCCGTAACGTCTTTGCAGCACCGTGTTATGCTGAACGTTATAGATGTAAGTACAAAAAAATCCATCAGCTCTAAATCATCGTAGCTTGGTGGCCACCCTTGTGGAAATTTTTCTCCGAGAAAGTCTTACTTTCTCTGAAAAAGTCTGAATAATACTTATTAAGTCGGAAAAAGTCAGAATAAGTCTTATTAAGTCAGACTAATATCAAGATTTGGGAGTCTTCTGGAAGAGTTAATAAGACTTTTTAAGACTTAATAAGACTTTTAGTAGAGAAATGGTAGGTACCTACGGAGATAAAAATAAATATCCGAAATAATTCATAGAGGTTGTATTTGGTTATCGTAAAATAAAACACATAGAAAAGTATTTAATAACATTTGTGCTGTTGTTATAAGCCAAGTTTATTGCATAATTACCTATATAATAACATAGGTAAGATGTAATAATTATAACAAATATAATTTTATACATACGATGCGCTTGACATGCATGCTTTCATTGTTTCCACCATAGAAAAAGGAGTTGCCACTGTTCGTTTTATTTTAATAGTTTCTTTTGATACACGCAAATATTTACCTATCTAAACATTGTTACAAACAAATCTTCTAGACGTAATATCGAGAGACCAGCTCAGCTAGCTGACCAATTAGAGCACAGCTGACCTGTCAGTGGGACACAGTGTTGCCGTTTGCAAGTATTTTACTCGAAAATCGGGTATTTTCGTAATATTTGCGGGTGATTTGCAAATTTCCATCAAAATAATAACAAAAGAAATGTTCAGTAAATAATATTGTATATTTACTAAATATGCACAATTATTTTATTCTATCCTGTTACATTTTTATTATTATTTTAGTATTTTGTAATTTATGGTCAGGAACTTTTATGGCAACACTGTACGTAAACACGAAGATCAACCATGATACAAAGATGAATGAAACACGAAGATCAACCATATTTGTCTTATGAGTCTATCGAAAATATCATGTCTATAGACATCTCCTTTTTCTATGGTGGAAACAATGAAAGCATCTCAAGCGCATCGTATGTATAAAATTATAATTGTTATAATTATTACATCTTACCTATGTTATTATATAGGTAATTATGCAATAAACTTGGCTTATAACAACAGCAAAACTGTTAATAAATACTTTTCTATGTGTTATTTTACGATAACCAAACACAACCTCTATGAATTATTTCGGATATTTATTTTTATCGCCATAGGTACCTACCATTTCTCTACTAAAAGTCTTATTAAGTCTTAAAAAGTCTTATTAACTCTTCCAGAAGACTTCCAAATCTTGCTATTAGTCTGACTTAATAAGACTTATTCAGACTTTTTCCGACTTAATAAGTATTATTCAGACTTTTTCAGAGAAAGTAAGACTCTCCCAGAGAAAAATTTCCACAAGGGTAACAATATTTCTAATTTTAGACGTTTTACAAAATCCCGAAGGAAAAGGACGACGTCTCAATTAAAGTGATGGATTTGGCCATTTTCGGCCATCCTGTAGTCAACGAAAAAATAAAAAAAATCGCGATAGCCAGGTACGGAGCTGCAAGTCGCTTAACGTTGCTCAAGGAGTTGTTCAACTTCATCAAGCAGGCCTGGAACAGCAAGAAATCGCTGGCAAAGATGTTGAGAGAAATGGGGGGGTTGAAAATAGAGTTCCGCAAGGATCAAACCTTGAAGGAGATGCACGACGTCATTGATGACGCGATAGAACGACTTGGTTTTATTTGTACAAGTCATTGTGGAACTACCAACGCCTCCATTTTCTATCAGATCATTGCGATTAATTTACTTCTAGAAAACAATACAGGTGAGGTACATGTGGTTTAAAAATTTGCTCATCTAATGTAAAAACATTTTTGTAGATATATCTTTGGATCATTGCAGCGATTGCGCGTTAATTTTGTCGTCTTGTCACGATGTAGTGTCAGCTGAGGTGCCAGCAGTTTTGGAAGAAATCGCGTTCACAATTCAAGAAGAAAAAATGGATGAAGAGTTTCAGGAGGTGGATCCAGAAGATGGGGTCAAATTTCTGGAAGAAAAATGTCCGAAAGCCCACAAAATACTGACAGACTTTTTGGAAAAACACGGCCATAGAGCTTTAAAAGAAGTAAGAGCAAGAATTTTTTATTCTACATGGTACACAGTAAAAAAAATCTACTCTAAGCAACACTAATTAGAGCTCACACAGGTCCACACTAAATAGTGTTGTTTTATAACACTACAATTAGAGTATTAAAAAGTGTTAATTTACCTAAAATCCTGTACGTCTACACTTCCTGGGTAAAATCCCACTTTTGACAGTGTAAATTAACACTACTTTGGAAAAGTTCTAATTTTAGTGCAAACTTCTAGTGTAAATTAACACCATTATTTGAGTAAAACCTATTGGTGGTAGTGAATAAAACGAAAAGGTAAATAAAGAGAAACATTTATTTGGAACAAAAATCTATGACAATTATCAAAATCGGTGCCTTTTAAAATATAATTTTATATTTGAGTCGTATGGCTGGCTTAAGCAAAATGGTTCCTTAAAACGTAAAAGTTTTAGATCAATGCAATGTTTTACTGGCTGTCAACTTAAGCAATGAATTATCTAGAAAATTCATCAGTAATCCATTTTTCTGTTATAAAAAATGGGTGATCCCATTGGTAGAGAGGCGTCAGGCGGCTGTATATCGGGGATTTACCACACGTGTACAAATTTTCCATAATATTAATAAAAATGTAGGTATAGGTTAATATAACAACCATTACGCTTGAAAATAAAAAGTAAATCAAGTGTGTATTTATTTATATTATTAATTTTACAAGTACCCGACCTACTGCCGTAAATTATTGATATATAATATAGGTCGGGTATGGACATCCTTTTAACATATTGGTATTTATTGAGTATTAACTATGGTTTCGCGTAAAAATCGAACAAATTTTGGACATTTGTTTGCAAGTGATGCCAGAATTGAATATATTTTTGTTACCTTGTTTGTACATCTAAATGGTACTTTTTTTTCAAAAAAAAAATTTCATCCATTGACCCCTGTGGTTTTCAGGCCTTAAGTCACTCTACTGTGTTAAAAATAGATAAATTTCGATATTTTGTAATAACATTTTTATTTAAAAACGTATCGATTTGAAATTAAGATAAAATGTAGACCTTATTAGTGGCAATAAATCCACGTATTATTTTTTTTAGATTTTAATATACAGGGGGCACGGTGGACAATTTAATTTAAAATTTTACCATTTTTTAAGGGTTAAAAAGTCGAAGAAGCAACGTTGTTTTATAATTTTGAATATATCACGTTAAAGTACTGATAATTAACTATTTTTTGATATATAAACTTCTAAATGCAAATTATGTTTCTACGAGAGACACCATTTTTAAGTTAAGCCTTCAAAGAGCGTAATACTAACGTGTTTTACAAATTATAAATTCTAAACTAGTTTTATAAGATAATGTATTATATATTACATACAATATTTTATATATAACATACAATTCTTACATATTTATTTAAAAAAATCGCCATAGATGGAGCTAAAATTAGTTTTATTTATAAATTTTAAATTTTTTTAAGTTTACTAATTTTGATCATAGTAGGCATCACAGACTTATCTCTATGGTAACCTACCATTGGAAGCATGAAAGATAATTTAACAGTTCAGTTTATAAGTTGCAAATGACTGATTGCGTTTCAATTTATAAGTGTACTATAAACTTAAAATATTAATTTATTAAAATGAATACACTAAATAATAATTATAGACAGTATCAGCAAGTTAGAAATTATAACCTACTTTAATTTTATTTTTTGCTCCACAACCAAGCTTCAATTTATGTTTTACTCGATAAACAAGCTTCAATTTTAATTCCTAACTGAGGAAAGTAATATTTACCCAATAAATAAATTAGAATAAAGACTTTTTATGTTGCAATCGGCTATTTAGATATACCTATATTTTTATTCATTTGTTTTTCGATTTTTTGTAATTAGTTATTTTGCATTTTTTTATATTTAATATAATGCTATACAGGGTGTTTCTGGAGAAACGCAAACGGTATGGATTTGAAATTTTAATAGAATATACAATTTGATTTAGACTATACAAAAGGTCAATAGTTTTCAAGATATTAATTTTTTTCGTTAAAATGCACGTTAATCAAAATAGCCTCTAATTTGTTTGTGTTTATGTTTGTTGACATGGGGTTGGAATTTTTGGAATATTAAAAAATTGTTTAGTTTTTTAAAGGTTTTTCAACAAATACCTTGAGAAAAACCACTTGAAATTAGGCAAACTTCAAACAATAACAACGTTTTTATTATAAATGTAAAACCCTGTATGTTTTAACATAATCAAATAGAACATTAAAGAATCTTTCGATTGGTATTATAGTAACTCTTTCCTAAAGTTAAAATTTCAGAGACATTTAACAATTTCTAATATTTTCAATACTATTTTGTATCAACAAACCTCTGAAATTCTACATGTGGTTTAATGTAACAGTATACATGGTTACCACCAAATCTGTCATTGTTTAAAATTATTTAAATATTTGATTGAAAAAATAATAACTCAAAAAATATTGACTTTAGGTATAGGATATGGTATAGCCATTTTACTCAGAATTTTATGTAGAATTAAATAATGTAAAAATATATGAGGTATTCCGGTAAAACAGGAAGTATTATTTTGTTTAAAATAATTTAGGAAAAGAGTCTAAAGTGAATACTTTACGCTTTTAAAATTTTAAATCGATGTCTTTCGTAATTCCCTAGAAACTTCCAACGGACTAAGTACGTGAAACACCCTGTATATTAAACGTCATTTATGTGTTATGCTTTACTTAATTATTAATAAAAGATAAAACAATATTTGTATAAAAATGACAAAATGTACTAGACTAAGCATTTATGAATACGGCTACTGCTAATTCAAAACTGATCCTGGCCACAGAAACATCATTTGCATAAAAAAGTTAATATATCAAATAATAGTCAAATATCAATACTTTCACGTGCTATACTCAAATTTGTAAAACAAAGTTGCTTCTTCGATTATTTACTCTTGAAAAATTGTTAAATTTTAAACTAAATTATCACCAGCGCCCCCTGTACGTTATAATCTAAACAATTTTTTTTCATGGATTAATTGTCATTAGTAAGATCTACATTTTGTCCAAATTTCAAATCGATACGTTTTGAAATAAAAAAGTTATTTAAAAAAAATGAAATTTCTTCATTTTTAACACAGCGAAGAAAAAAATTAAAATAAAAACAAAGTTGTCAATGGACGAGATTTTTTTTTTGAAAAAAGTACTGCATTAAGATGTAGAAATAAGGTAAAAAAGTTTCAATCGATTTCTTGAACCCTTGCAAATCGACCGTTCGATCCTTTCGCGAAACCGTAGTTAAGGCTTAAAGAAAAAGAAAGTATAATACTTACCAAAAAAATGAATGTCCCCTTATGGATTCACCATAATTAAAATCTAAGTGAACAAAAATGCCACATTTCCACAACGCGGTATCTCCGGATATGCCCTGCGTAGGTAGATAGGTACCAACCAAACATTTTAAAACGCATTTCGGTTATTACCAGTTTTTTCAGTCTATTTTGCCACTATTGGTGTAATTTAACTTTAATTGTGATACAATGTGCACTAGTAGTGTAAAGAAAAAAGATCTCTTAGTGACATTAAAACAGACAAAGAAATTGGCATGCACTGTAGTGTACATTTTGTCACTATTTAACACATTAAGGGGTAATAAACACTCGCATTATGTTTTTCTACCCTTTTGATTTATTTTAATAATAAATAGTGTGAATGTACCAATGAATAATGTTCATAATCTTTAAATGTGTTTAATAAAGTTAATAAGCACTAAATGCTACCTAGTGTATTTTGTAGTGTAACTTTTACACTTACAAATCAACTCTAATATTTTTACTCCTACACTAAAAAAATTACACGGGCAAAATTTTTTACTGTGTTGGGGAATATAACTAATATTAGTTTTCCACATGGTATATTTCATGTTCTATTTTTTTTTCCAGTTCGAGCTTCAAACAGTACCATGGGGTACAAAACCATCCACCCTCATAAAAATTTTGCAAATCAGCTGCAAAACGATGATAGTCAAAAAAGACAAAATGGTTAGCACTTCAGTGGGAGACATTGTCTCACAACTTGTGACGCCAAAAAAACCATGGACAAAGTAAAAAATAAATAAAAATAGTTTTGCAATTAAAATACCAATATGTTTTTAAGGATCTTGCTAAAATTTTTTATTTCCAAAATGAGGGTGTCAGTTGGTCTAAGGGAAAAAACGAAATCTGAAGTTATCAGAGGGTGTGACAAAATTAGAGTGGTCTATAGAAAATTGGCTGAAAAAATGGTTATGGAGGGGATAATACCCAACAAAGACCTTATTTTCCATTTAACTCATCATGAAGTAAGACAACTTATAGCAAACAGAAATCCTTCTCTACTAAGCAAGTAAGTATTATTCAAAAATTCCAAATACGGCAATGATTTTCGTTAATGTCCCCGAGAATTATAAAAAACACCGCAATGCAATATCGCAACGGTTTCGATTTCTCTTTACTCCACCAAGTTATAGAAACTGGAGTCTCTCTAATACTGTTCCAGTCAATATTTCTGAGAGCATAAAAAGAGGGTATAATTCAATATTGCAAGAAGTTTTGATCTTTTGATGGATACAAGTATTTTGAATATTCTCATTTCTGCATATGATTTTTTTGAAAACAGTTCCTTTCTTTGGTTCCTTTGTCTGGTTTTATTTACCGTAACAACTCAGGTATGTAAAGCACAGAGGATATGATGTAAAGTATATTTATGTATTACATAAAGTACCCATATTTGTGTTAAAAATTTCAGAGGTTATGTTGAAAAAACGATCGATATGCTATTAAACTTTAATAATTTAGTAATTAGGTCTGTTGGTAGACCCCGCACTATCTCCACTGGTATATGTTAGCACAGCAATATTTAAATTTGGTTGATCAAAAAGTACACACCAGTGCAGGTTATTGTAGCATCTGGGTCGTTTTTAAATAACACCCGCCTTCCGCTGTCCGTAACTTTGAATTCCAATAACTTTGTTAAAAATTATCGGATCTTATTGAATTAAAAACCAAGTGAAAGCCTAACAAGCCCTTAGTAAGAAGAAGAGAGAGAGGGTAAACTCTTTCAGAAAATTTTTGTTTAGTTATTTCAGAATATATTTTTTTTAATTTTGAAACTTGTAAAACACTCATTTTCGCATGTCCCATTATATTAGCGTTTTATAAAACTTACATACATGTTTTTTTTTAAATATTGAGTAACCAGAACTTTGTGTTGCTTTAGTTAATACAGTAAACAATTTATATATAAAATAATTAATTTTAATCTACTTTTTTTAAATTTGACTCATGTCCCAGACATTTTTTCCGTTGCGTTACGTCCGTCGCGTTACCGATAGAATATTAAAAAAAAACATATATATGGCAACTTTTTTGGTACTCACGTGATCAACAAATGATGTTTGGACGTACACATTACCCAGCTGAATTTATTTATTCAATCAGGAAGAAGATATTGGTTGAAACAGGTGCGGGTAACGCGAATGTAATAATTGTTTGTCCGCTAAGTTACTCAAAAAAATAATAAAAATAAGAATAAGAAAAAATACTATTTTTCATGTTTATGTTTATTTTAGGGCACTAAAGCTCATTGAGAGTAATTAATGACTATAATGTCTTATAATTATTTAAAAAAAATGGTTTTACAAAACTTTGTCCACTGCGTTACCGAGTCCACTATGTTACCTTAAGGTAACGAAATGGAATTTAGGGTAACGCAATAGAATTTTTCGACAACAAAGTGAATATTTACCGTCGCTTTTATTAAAAGTAGTTTATGATTAACCAATTCAAAATTATTTGTAATTACAACTCATGATATAGATTACATCCAAGGAAAAATTCCACGCAATATAAAAGTACTAAAAGGGACCTTCACCAGCTTATAGTCAAAGAAAAAGGGTGTCTACAATTTAGAAATCTAAGTTGTTATTCTGCAAGTGAGCACCACTACAAGGGATTTTGTTTATGCATTACTCTAAAATCGTACCACCCTATATAGTTTCTTTTTTACGTTATCTGATTAAGTCCTTTGTGTACCCCAGTCCGTTGTGATACCAATGTCTATTTCGTTACTTTTTTTAGTTTTTGTTAAAAAAAATACTTAAAATGATTTTTATACACTATCACTTGGTAATAGGTACGTGTTTATAAATTAGAGTTTAATTCACTAATACAGTTACTAAAAGAAAATTTTAATGGTATTGTTTTTTAACAAAGAATCGGAATGGTTTCTTTTAAAAAGTAACTTAACGAACATACATATTTAATTTATTTCAAATTAATTTTATAACAACTTTTTTTATTGAATTAAATTTTGGATTTCAAATTGGTAACACAGTGGAGATATACAGGGTGTCCTGAAATTAGTGCACCATACTTTAACAGCAGATTCTACGTGCAAAAATAAGAAAAAAAGTCCCTATAAACATAGGTCAAGAAATGCCTCTTAAGGGAGCTACAGCCCCCAAAAGGAAAGCCCCTGAAGATGGTTTTTATCTAATATCTCCAAAACCGTTAAAGATAGAAAAGTAAAATTTAGGGAATTAAATAAACTTTTTATGACCAATAAGACGTAACAATAACAATTTAAAAAATTTCATGAGGTTTGGGTCAGATTGATAGGAAGTGGGGTTAAAACCACCTTAACTTTTTTGTACGTATCTTGTACCAGAATTTGATATCAGATTATGAAATTTTGGAGTTTTACACATAAAAAAGGTCATATTGTTGAACTTCGTTAACATACATCGTTTTCGCTTAAAATCGATTTGAAAATTATTTTACATGGCATAAAAATTCACAATTAAATCACAACCAAAGAAATGGACTCGCGTGGTCCTTGGAATAAGACTGCCATGTTTAGGAAAAAATAGAATAATTCAAGACAGGTGACAGTTTCATGTAGTAAGTGACAGGGTGTTTCTACTTTTTTATAAATATTAGATAAAAACCATATTCAGGGGCTCCCTTTTCGGGGGCTGTAGCTCCCTTAGGAGGCATTTCTCGATCTATATTTATAGGGACTTTTTTTCTTATTTGTGCACGTGGAATCTGCTGTTAAAGTATGGTGCACTAATTTCTGAACACCCTGTATAAAGCTAGCTAAACACATTTTTCTGAAAAAAACGTAAAAAAAATTAAAAAGTGCACTGCCTGTCTTAAATGTAAGTAAACAAAACTCCAAACATTTATAAAAATCCAACCAAGTCAATTTAAGCAAAAAAATATTTTGATCTTCATTTTTCTGAAAGCGGGTGTTTCTTGAAAATGACCCATCTACGAACAAATGAATTAATGGCCCATTGGCAATTATTCCTTTAGGAAAAATATTCAACACAGCTTAATTAATTAATAAAATGAAAAAAATGACAATCATTACATTTTTAGGGCCATGAGAAGGCAGAGGTTGTACCCCAAGTGGGACTCAATGCGTTTCGAGGAAATTATTTACGGTATTCCGGAAGCGGAAGTCGAATCAGAGTTTGTATACGGAGACGGAGACGTTTGCGTTTCGGGAACGCCAGTATGCGCTGGAGACGTTAAAGCAAGGGCGTGTGTTATAACCAGTTTGAACGATATTGGACAATTGGAAACTGGTAAGTAATAGTAAAATGTTACAAAAAGCGGTATCTTTTTTACGACGTAACAGTATTTTTTGCATTTAACGGCGAAACGGTTTAAGTTACAGGTAAAAAGAAAAAATACTTTAATAGAAAATTCAATTTAATGCAATAAAATGCATATTTTAGAAGATACAGAACATTTTATAAATCAGTACTTTATAAATAGTTGGGAGTAAAATTTATTAAATGCTCTATATCTTTAAAACTATGCATTTTATGGCATTGAAGCATATAACTCTTTTGTAGTAAATTGATTTTTGTATAAAAAATTATTTTACTTTTTACCTTTGACTTTAACCGTTTTGCCGTAAAACAACATAGAAGTAATTAGTTTATCAATATTTGACAGTCCAATTTATTAAATGCTCTATATCTTTTAAACCATGCATTTTATTGCATTAATGCATATGACCTTTTTTGTAGTAAATTGAATTTTGTATAAAAAGTTATTTTGCTTTTTACCTGTAACTTTAACAGTTTTGCTGTAAAACAACATAGGAGTAATTAGTTTATCAATATTTAACAGTCAAATTTATTAAATGCTCTATATCTTTTAAACCATGCATTTTATTGCGTTAATGCATATGACCTTTTTTGTAAGAAATTGAATTTTTTATAAAAAATTATTTAGATTTTTTCCTGTAACTTTAACCGTTTTGACCTAAAACATTAAAGGATTAATGAGTTTATCAATACTTGACAGTACAATTTATTAAATCCTCTATATCTTTTAAACCATGCATTTTATTGCATTAATGCATATGACCTTTTTTGTAGAAAATTGATTTTTCTATGAAAAAATATTTTACTTTTTACCCGTAACTGTAACCGTTTTGTCATAAACAACATAAGACTAATTAGTTTATCAATATTTGAGTCAAATTCATTCATATCTTTTAAACTATGAATTTTATTGCATTAATGCATATGACCTTTTTTGTAGAAAATTGATTTTTTTATAAAAAAAATAATTTTTTTTACTAATTATCCAAAAATTGCACCTATGCATAGGAAATGTATGTATAAGAAAGTTATTTCAATGAAAAATTTAAAATCAAAATAAAAGTCCTTATATTTTTTAATATGATTAAATTCTTTTGTAGGCGACATTCTCATAACTTTTGCTACAGATATCGGATGGTCCCCTTATTTCCCCATGTTATCAGGTGTCGTAACTGAATTGGGGGGGCTGGTGTCCCATGGTATGTAAAAAAAATAAAAAAAAGTCAATTTTTTCCCTAAAATTTTTACAAACAAAAAAATTATTTTTAGGGGCTGTAGTGGCAAGAGAATATGGACTACCCTGTATAGTTGGTGTTAAACATGCAACAAAAATATTTAAAACTGGCGACATAGTACAATTGTCTGGAAAATACGGAAAAATTGAAGCAATAAAAAGCTAAAAACCAAACATTTTAAATATTTTTTAAAACATTTTAATTATATTTATAATTTTATTGACACCCTGTACAATAAAAAAAGTCAATTTCGAGGTTATAATCCGGAAACTGACAAGGTTATTGAGAAAAGTTACAGGAAAATGTTGCAATTAAACGAAAAAGTGTCGTAATTAAACATTTTTATTTTATTGTGCTCTGAAATGTATTTTAAACAAAATAAATAATTAAAATTATCAATATTTACCTTTTTATTTCAAAATAAACTCATCAAGTGCACCTTGTAAAACGCTTATTTGACGTTTACGCGCCATTTGCACTACGGTAGCTCGTTTGTACCGCCTACGAGGGTCGATCAAGTAGTTTGTCATAAGTAAAACGTCATATACGAGGGGAGCTCGTAAAGTAAAACGACGAAATAACAAAATATTGCTAATTTTTTATTTGCTATTACAAATTTGATTTAATATTACTCTGCAACCATGTAAAGTTGTTTGGATCTATGGGTTGTTCCAGAGCTTGTTCTATAAAGTCTATTTCCCAGTTATAGTCCACTAGGATAATGGAGTGTGCCCTTGAACCGTATTGATCCCCTATTTTAACGAAAATTGAACTAAGTTGTTTGTATGCTTCAGGGGCTCGAGTTTGTAGCTCTTCATCAGGTAAGAAGCTGAAAATATACAAGATTTTATAGCAATAAAATTTTCCCTGAAAATGCTTACTTTTCTTCATTCTTTAAGAGTTCTACAAGCCCTTTGACTAGATCTTCTTTTGTTTTGCTATTTTCTATAATGGACTTAAATATACTTTTTCCTTTATTAACTTTACTTAAAGGAACGTTTACTGGGCTATTACCAAAGCCTAAAATATGTTTTCCTATGTACTCAGTTTTTATTTTTGGCGTGTTTGTGATGGAGTGGATATTTGCTTCATCTTTACTGAAATAATAGGTTTTATAGAACGGTTTCATCATTATTGATTTACATTAGTTCACAATCCACACAACAAGGTCTGTTCCATAGAGTTTTTCTATGGTCTGTTCTATCTCATGCTAAAAATACTAAAAATCACTGCAACACTGCACAGAGTTTAACGGGGGCCATTTTTGTTGTTTACAATTCTTGTGCTTTGGGTTTGTGCTATTTAATAATTGTTTTAAACGTTGGGTTTCTTACAGAGGCACTTGTTAGCCTCAAATAAGGCCTTTAAGTGCTAAGGACAACCATTTTACTCCACTTCTATAATAAATATACCTTATTCTATCAGGGCTGTCAAATGACAATTTGTGGGTTATAATTTAACCTTAAAATTGACATTTGACAGTTTTATGACAGCCCTGATAGAATAAAGTTTATTTTTTACAATAGAGGAGTAAAATGGTTGTTCTTAGCACTTTAAGGCCTCTATTAAGGCTTACTATGAAAAACACAACGTTTAAAACGATTATTAATCTGTATAAACAGAGCACAAACCCAAAGCACAAAAATTGTAAACAACAAAAATGGCCGCCGTTAAACTGTGCAGTGTTGCAGTGATTTTTTGTATTTTCAGTACGAGATAGAACAGACCTTGTTGTGTGGATTGTGCATTAGTTTACCTTAATTCTAGAGCTACCAAATTATACCCATTAAATGCCTTTGTTTCATGTTGCAACATGTCTACATACTCGTTACTAGAAAAGTCTTTTTCCAAAAATTCCTTCACCAAAACACCCCTACCACAAGCATTTTCCAACTTTTCCCCTGTTATGTTTAAGAGAGCGGAAAATTTAAATTTACCGCCTTTTTTCGAATTTATTCCTAACCACATACCCCCCTCTCTACCGGGTTCCATATCTCTACCTAAAAAAAAAATTTTTTAATAAAATTAATAAAAATGATTTTTTAACTACCCCCCGTATAATGACGTCCACATAAATTTTTGGACACCCCTGCACAATTGTGGCCTTTTGCAGTCTTGTTGACATTTTTCTAGCTTACCTCCAATGATGCCAGTTTTTTCGCACAAAAAGGCATTTTTAGCTGGTCTTCTGTAATATTCATCCCTATTGGAGGCTATAATAAGCCTGTAACCACCCTCATCGGGGTTAGGGTCGACGTAAATAAACAGAATACACATTTTTCGCCCTAAATTTCCACACAAATTGCACAAAAATAAACGTCCACCATTATTTATAACCTGTATGTTAAATACAAGTTCAACAAGGCATTTTAATAGATTAGTTTTTAATTATGTTGCGATATGAGGTTTATAAATACCTAATTTAAATAAACACAACAAAGACGCTTAAAAGAGAGATAAAAAAATAACTTTAATTTGTTGTTAATATTTGTTTTTGTGTCAGGGCTAACCGCACTGTTGCCAAACCGCAACGAAAAAACATTTATTTACATTTATTATGTACAATACATCAGCAAAATAAAAATTAATAACAACATACATCATAAAAATCGAGTATGCTATGACTTTTGACAGTTAAAACCCATTTAAACACGGTAAAACGTCAAAATACCCTCACTTGTTTCGTAACAAACGATAAAGCTGGCATCGTAGCCTCTACATAACCCTACTATTACAATAATAATGCAAGGTTGTGCGTTTTCTTGGTCAAGTTTAATGAATTGGTTAATTTCGCCTTCAGGAATTCGTAACATGTAGTTTATTAACACGTTTAGTATTCCATATGTGTCCCCAGCATTTCCACGAGATGTCTACTGCAAATATATCCGATTTTCCTTATCATGGTGAGTTTAATGTCTTTGTTTATGTTACACTTTAATGTAAATATAGGGATAACGATTAGATTTTGTTTGTTTTGTTGCGATAAACGTCAAAAATCAGCTTGTTTTTTCCTAGGATAGCTTGATTTTACGTAACGTCATTTTGTTGTTGTTTGGTTGTCAAGGGCAACTGTATATTGTTTATTTTGTTAAAATATGTGTTTCTTTGCTTTTTAAGTTTTAACTGTTGAAACAAATGTTAGATTGAGAAAAAGTGAGGTTAAACCAGTCTGACAGATGTCAGATTGGAAAAAGTGAGGTTTTAACCGTTTGCAATTAGTTTTATAAACTTATCAAGATCTGCACGTTTAAAATAATTATAAAATATTAAATGACGTTTATTAAACCAGTTGCATAATATAGCAATATCTACTCCCACATTTAATACAAATTATAAAAAAGTGACGTTAAAATCTTTGAACAGATGTCACATTGAGAAAAGTGAGTCTGACAGATGTCAAATCAAAATCAAAGGCGTCTATGGATTTTTGTACAAGCAACCAATAAAATTGAGTTTTTCTTCACTTTTTGCATTTCTAAATATACAGTGTTGCCAGATGTACAGAGTTTATTGGCCTAACATTGTTTGAATGAAAAAAAATGCTACATAAAAATAGGAGATAATAAATGAATTAAATATTTATCTGGGTGATAAGATTCATAATTTTGTGATAACATACTTTTTATAATACTTACATAGGATAAAAACTTTATGCAGTAAACATACAGTCAATAAACTGGATTTTAAATCATGAGTATAAGAAGAAAACGAAAATTTAAATTACAGCTAAATAAAGGTGAGAAATGCAATATTTAAATATGGCAACACTGTCCACCCTGTATGTCAGGATTTATTTACCCTTATATATTACCTGAAATTATTGGTATTCATTACCTCTAACTTGAAAGCTTAAAAATAACCATTATAAAATGGCTTTGGGCCAATTTATTGATAAAATAACCAAATTTTATTTGTATTTAAAATCTCTTTTAGATCTTCCAGAATCTGTGGAAATAGATTTAAATCATTACCAACAAAAATACAACTGGGATTGCGGGCTCTCCTGTGTACTGATGGTTTTACCCAAAGAAGATAGGGAAGATTTTTTGAGTAATTTTGCTGGCATCTGTAAAGATGAAGGGTTTAACAAAAGGTACGTCTTCATTTTTTTCAGGGACATCCTGTATATTTTAACAATGTTTTTTGCATTTTTAGCACTTGGACTATAGATTTATGTTACCTATTAAAAAGGTACAAAATAAAACACGTGTACTACACAATTACATTTGGGATTCACCCAGAACATGCCACAAATAGTTTTTATGACACTATATTAACAAAGGTAAAACTAATAAAAAAAATAAATAAATAAATAAAAATAGGCACTTTATACATAAATTTATCCTATAGGATGAATCCCGGATAAATAGGAGATTTGACAACGCCGAAAAATGCGGCATAAAAATAAAAACCGCATCGGTTACCATAGAATATATTTTGGACCAGTTAAGGTTTGGTCCTGTAATCGTTTTAACAAACACACAGCTAATTATTTGTGATAGATGTAAATTCAACAAAATGAAGACTGAATTGAGGAAATTAATTCCTTGTGTACCTAAATTTCAAGGGCATTACATTGTACTTTGTGGGTACAGTGCCAACTTGAGAAAGATATTCTACAGAAACCCTACCATGTACAATCGTAAGTATTTTAAAATCTGGCAACACTGTATAAGATTTATTTGTTTTTGTTTATTTTAGACGTTTGTGTTATGTCTATGGAAGTTTTTGAGCACGCCAGAAAAAGTTCGGGAACCGATGAAGATATAATTTTTGTAAAAACCTTGGAAAATCAAATTTAATTTTACTTATTTAACGCATTTATACTTAAATTCTACGTTTTAATAGATTTTATATAAAAATTATTGTATTTTATTTCTTATACGCTAAAGCAGTTTAGTAGTTATTTTTTACTAATTTCTTAAAAATGTCCAAACTTAAATAGCTATTATATACCTAGGTATAAATTATATTAGGTAAAGTTATCATTAGTTAATTCTACACCAACAAATGTACTTACCGAATTGGATCCTTTGGCAAAACATGAAAATGCAACTATTTAGTTCTTGAATTTTATTTACAATTAAAAACACAATAATTCACCATGATCCCATAGATAAAATACACGCACTAACGTAACTATATAAGCATTTAGGCGTTGAGTTTCTTAATCAATGATATAAGGAATAATCAATCGAAATCGAGTACTAAACCAGTTTTTAGTTTTTTCCTTGCAACGTAAAACACAAATAACGTGCGCGATTTAGCTGTGCAATTGGACAAAATAACATTGTTGACAATTCTTAAATTAACGCAATGCTTTTGAAGTCCACCAGATGGCGCGCGCGTATAAGACAAAGCCAACTAAAAAATAACAAAGCAGAACGTTTGATTGGTTGTTTTAATGTCATAGCCAACTCGAGTGTGGGTTTTGGCGTAAAAATTAAGTTTTAAAGTTAATATCAGGAATTTTAATGACAGTTAAACAAAATACATTACAGGGCACTTTAAATTTAAATAAAACCTTTCAACTAAGACACAGTGTTATGCTTCTTTGCTTGCTTCGATATTTTTGTTGACTTCTGATTTTTCCAGGGCCGGTTTGACGTTGTTCACTAAAAATTGAACGTTTTCTTTAAAGGAATCGGTGCTGTTGAATTTCTGCGCTATTTCCTGTAGACGGTGTATGCCCGTTTTCATTTTATTCACTTGTTCTAGTAATATCTGCAGCTGATCTTTGCCTTTGTCGATGATTTCCCGATTTTTCTTCGCTATTTTTTGGTGTAGTTTTGGGCTTTTCTCTATTAACTCGTTGAGGTTTGTCTTTGATAGTTTTTTTAGGGTTTCATTTGTTTTGGAATCGCCTACGGTGGATTGATTTTCGTTCACAAAGGATGTTTTCGCTTTTTCGTCGATTAAATCACCTTTTTCGTTCAACTGCAACATTTCCATGGAACTTTTCCTAATAAAGTCGTCATTTTTTCCTTTTAACTCCAAATCCATGTTCAAAGTATGCTCAGGACTGTTTTTCATGTATCTCACCACTGTGTTGTTGGACCGTTTCTTAGTGTCCCTAGAAAATTGGGATTCTAAGCTTGAGATTGCCAGGAAATTTTGTAGCAAGGTGATAACACCTCGTAGCATTGTATTCGGCAAAAATTCTTTTTATAAAAACATTTATTTCAGTTAATTTTTAGTGGGTATACAAAACGCATGTCGAAAATATTCAACATGTCACTTTGACAGGTTTTATCAAGGACAGCTTGCTTTTGACTAATATTTATTATACAGGGTGTCCTACCAAATAAAATATGTTTTGTATAAACGGGACAAAATAAATATATTCACATTTCACAAATAATAAAACAACCTATGAAGAATTATTTACTTCGCAAAAAACCATTTCGCAAAAATGACATTTAAAAGTTAGGTTATACCCTCAACATTAAAAACAAACCATCATTGGTCGATTTGATACAAAGCCAACTTGAAATAACAAAGCAGCATTAAATCGGCACTTTTGATTGGTTGTTTTATAGTCATAGCCAACTTTTAAACGTCAAATGTAAAAAAACGCAAAAAAGAAAACTTTGGCTTTAAACCTCTCTTAATAAGGCATTTTCTGGCCCTGTAAGGCATATTAAATAAAACAAAAAATGAAACTATAAATTTTATTAATAAATTTTCTTACAAATATAACTCTGCCTAAATGTAAGTTTTGTTTGGTAACCCAAGGCACAGATACTTTATTAAAAATAAACATTGAATCCACACAAATGAAAAAATCTACCACTATAAAGTAGATAATAGAAAAAGTAACACTAAACACAAAAGTTAAATATTATAAACCAACAACAAATTCTGTTAAAAAAAGTTTTAATAACACAACCTTTTTTTTCGAAACATAATAATAATAAAGTATCAAATTTTTGTAAACTAATACAAAGTTTAAAGGTACCATTAAATATATGAGATATGTAGAAAAATAACAGGTTACTTATATTTAACTTAAATATTAACATCTTTATACATTGGAAAGTTTCCTTTTTTTCTTACCAAATAAAATATTTTTGTATAAACGGGACAAAATAAATATATTCACATTTCACAAATAATAAAACAAGCTATGAAAATTATTTAATTCGCAAAAAACATTTCGCGAAAATGACATTTAAAAGTTAGGTTATACACTCGACATTAAAAACAAACCATCATTGGTCGATTTGATGCAAAGCCAACTTGAAATAACAAAGCAGCATCAGATCAGCACTTCTGATTGGTTGTTTTATAGTCATAGCCAACTTTTAAACGTCAAACGTTAAAAAACGCAAAAAAAGAAAACTTTCGCCTTTTAAACCTCTCTCAGTACATTTTTCAAATCACTCTTCTTTCATATAGTAATATAATCTATAAAAAACTATACAATAAAAAATATCCATCTGTTTGTTTTTTAAATAGTTTTTATAAATTTATAAACAACTTCCCTCTCTTTTCCATTATCTCTCTCTCTTTTTTTGTCTGATTTAGTTGTGTACAACTAAATCAGACGAAAAAAGAGATACTTACGTTTTTTAAGTATTTTATTTAGTTTTTTTTATTAGCTACATGACGTCTTAGAGAGACGGTTCTTTGTCTAATTCGCTTCCTTAAGGTTTTCTTTTTTTTGGTCGTAGTTGGTTTCTCACTTTCTTTTGGCTTTTGGGCGTCGACCTCGGTTACGATGGCCGATTTTTTTTTTGGCGAGGAACTTGGTTTACCACCTGAAAGATAGCCTTAAATAAACCTTAATCTATCGCTGCTGCCATTAAACTGTCAAATGTCAATTTATGGTTATGGTAAATTTGTGGGCAGGGTTGGGTCAGTAGAAAACCTTAGGTAATTTACCTTGGTAGAAAAGGGTAGAAAACTTGTTTTCGACTTGCGTCGAAAACCTATAGGGTTTTCTACCTACGTTAATTACCTTATTCGATCTTCTCCTTCCACTTCTCTATAATTGATAAAAATTTGCCCTCATGCCAAAAATTATGTTGGGGTCTCCCAACCAAACGTGGCCCTTTTTTTCCCACCATAATAATGTTAAAAAACTCCAAATAACTTCAAATTTATGGTAGGTGTCTGATTTTTCACAACATTTAACAAATCATAATAAACAACAAACTTGCATAACCTCACATTTTTTGATATTTGACAGTATTCTACTTTTTTACGTTTTCTACCGTCGAAAACGTCGAAAAAGGTTTTCTACATGTCGAAAACAAAAATGTAGGTAGATACCCAACCCTGTTTGTGGGTTATGGTAAATTAACCTTAAAATTGACATTTTACAGTTTGATCACAGCCCTTGTTTTTTTTTAATGAATTTTGGCCATTTTTTTAATCATTTAAACCCTTACAAAATCGCCGCCACTGAGCCAATTGAGTTGAAATTTGTACAGGATCAAGATTAATCCCACAAAAATGTGGTGTTAAAATTTCATAACGGTATCTTTATTGGTTTTTTTCTAAATGAATTTTGGCCACAATTTTAATCATTTAAACCCTTCTAAAATCGCCGCCACTGAGCCAATTGAGTTAAAATTTGTACAGGATCGAGATTAATGCCACACAAATGTGGTGTTAAAATTTCATAACGGTATCTTTATTGGTTTTTTTCTAAATGAATTTTGGCCACAATTTTAATCATTTAAACCCTTATAAAATCGTCGCCACTGAGCCAATTGAGTTAAAATTTGTACAGGATCGAGAATAATGCCACACAAATGTGGTGTTAAAATTTCATAACGGTATCTTTATTGGTTTTCTTGTAAATGAATTTTGGCCACTTTTTTGTTTCTGCAGTTCACTGTGATTTAAATAAAAATTACTTACATTTTGCATCACTGTGCCCGAGCACTTGCGACGTTGCCTTTTTCTTCACGGTAGAATTCCTCTGCGACCGCCTCTGGAAGTGCTGGCTCAGTTTCCCGGCCACCACGCGAGCCTTAACCGGCTCCTGCACGTGTTTTTTTATCACGACCTGCAACTCCTACGAAAATAAAATTAAAATTTAATTTGTGGAAATTAAAATTTATTCTCACCTTGAATTCTTGTTCCTTTGGTTTTTTATCGACTTTTTCCGCCGCCGCCGGCGCGGGGGCGGCCTTTTTCTGCACCTTAACTCTCACAGTGTCCAGCACCAGTTTTATTTTTTTGGCCCCCGTCATTTTTTTCTTTTTTATGACTTCCTTTTTCTTTAGGGATAATTTTTTGCTCTTCAGTATTTTTTGGGTTATGGTGAGTCTGGGAGGCGGCGTAAAAGGTTGTCGTCGCTGATTGGTCGAAATCAACGTGACGGATTTCCTCCCCATTTCCTCTTTTTTGGTGTCCAGTCGCACACTTTTCCTCGGGGAAATTACCTCCTCGATGACGGGGCATTTTCTTTTTGTTTGCGATTGGTGGCCACCTGTTGCATCCTCAAAGTTGTTGTTGTTATTTACGTTGGCATTACTGCCTTTGTTATCTTTCTTGTTATTTTGGGTGGTTAATTGGTGTTCTTTCGAGAGGGACTGTTTAGTGCTGCTGCGCAGATTGTGTTTAAATTGTTCTGCGCAGTTGCCAGCTGTTGGATCCTCGTCGTTCGAACTGGACGATATTTCGTGGATTTGGATTGTATTATCCAAGTTTTGCGAGTTGGACAACTGATTTTCCTTGTCGATGCTTATATCGGGACTGACCCTGGGATCGAAACTGGTGCTTTCGCGAGGTTTTACGGTAAAATTTCGCTCTTTTAGCGGCAAGTTTGCCGCGTTGTCGCTAGATGTCACGTTTTCGGTGAGACATGCGCAGTCGCTTAAGGGTTCCGCCGAAGTTTTGCTGCCGCCGCAAGATGGCGCTTCGATGGAGTTTTCGATCGCATCGATGTCCGTGTCGCCCTGAGGTTTTTGCGGGTTACGGTGGGGGGAATTTTCCGCGGCGTGTTCTACGGTTGCGTTCATGTTTAAGAGGTGTGTTGAAGGTGGGAGGGTTTCGGTGGCTTCTTTGAAAGAAAAATATCAAAATAACATACATTTTTGGACTTTTTCTATGTCTACAAACTTTTTCTAAAATCATCAAAAGAATGTTAATGTTTTTGGAAAAAGTAAGTTCTGAATGTTATAATTGTTTGAAAAATAAACGGTCATCTTTTTGAAAAATTATGAGGAAATGGGGTAGTTAAATTTTTTCTGACCCATACTTTTTATGGTTTTATTCAAGGCGTTTTGTAATTTTAAACATTTCTGTGAAATCGGAATTTCAATTCAGTTTACCGTTTTCGAGATATTTACAAAAAAAATCTCTTAATTACGTCACTAGGCTATTGACAACGTTGCCAGCTTTTTCTGTGGTTGCCAGTGTGTTTAGTTTAAGATTCTTACGATAGATGGCGCCACGTTATAATATTTTAGTTTTAAAACCACTTGATCTATAATTTTAGTTGAGAAGAAGAAGAAGAATTGATTTTTTGACGCTTCTTTGTTTCGGGTTATGTTTTTTTAAAATTTAGATTATTGAAAATCAATGTTATTGTTATGTTATTTGTAATTGATATTTATTAATAACGGACTCCAAAGCAGAGGAATCTTGTGGAATGGTTGGTTACATTGAACATTGGAGCTTTTAAACAAATAAAGTAAGTACCTATAATTATTATTATGATTATATTTTGTCGTAAATGCATTTCATTAGTATAATGCCTAGTTCTTTATATTCTTTTAGATATATCTTGGACTCTAAAATATCAAACAGTAATATGATACCTCGTAATAAGGAAGATAGGTACTTAATGAATTTGGTGACCATCTTTCACTCAACTGACAGTGACAGTATTTGTACATCACCTCTTCGGGTATTTTCTGACATAACCGAATGAAATCATTAACAAGACAACTTGACAACAGGGTAATTTTCAACCAATAGAAATCTTAGAATGTTGGTCACATGGCGAGGTTTGTGACGTCATACAAATTTATATTTTTTGTAAATATCTCGAAAACGGTAAACTCAATTGAAATTCTGATTTCACAGAAATGTTTAATATTACAAAATGCCTTGAATAAAACCATAAAAAGTATAGGTCAGAAAAAAATTAACTACCCCATTGTTTTCTATATTTTTCTAAAGTAAAAGTAAATTTAAAAACAAAAATTAAAAAAAGCGTATAAGTCAATTTTTGAAACAGTTATAATTGTTTGAAAAATAAACGGCCATCTTTTTGAAAAATTCAAAAATTTATTATGAGGAAATTGAAAGTGGTAATCATCAAAAAAATTTCAATGTTTATCGAAAAAGTAAAAAAAAAACCTAAAGATAGTTCTGAATAGTTTTATAATATTTTTTGAAAATTACATTTAAACTCAAAGAAATGTTTTTTTTTTTTGAAAAAGTAAGTAGTTCTGAATGTTATTTTTTTTTAATAAAAAAAGAAAAACATTACTAAAACTTTCAGAAAACTTGCAGGAAATGTCAGTTTCTCATAAAAAATAACAATCACCGAGAAATTTTTGTTTTTTTTTATAAATTTAAAAAAAAGATCGGTCTAAATAATTATTTTCTATATTTTTCTAAAGTAAAGTCAATTTTTGAAGAAGTTATAGATATTTGAAAAATAAAGAGCAATTTTCTTCTTTTTTCTTACTTTTTTAAAAAAACATTAATATTTTTTTAATGTATACCACTTTTAATTTAATTTTTTTTCAAAGAGATTCTCTTTAATAAGCCGAGATATTTTTTTTTAATTAAAAAAATAGAAATAAGAAATAGCCAATTTTTAAAAAAGTTGTGAATATTTGAAAGACATTTTTTTGGTTGGCTAAAAAGACTTGAAAAAATTCATATTTTTTTTTTGGTGGAGGTGAATAAGATAAAAAAGTTTCAGCCAAACAGAGGTCAAAAGTGGTGGTATATTTATCTTACCTTGGCCAATTTCTTCGACAGATTCGCTATTTGTAAGGCATTCCCTGCAGTCTTCTCTGGTTTCATTCTCGTATCTGGTTACAATTTTTAACCCCCTGTCTGGGTATTCGGGTCCAGCCAGGTTTTGAGCGTTTTTTTGCCTTCTGTCTTTTAGAACCTGTTGCCAAAATTATTATGTGCTTAATAGTGTCTCAAAGAACATTGAAAAATCGTCAGAGTATCTCTAGAAAACGACTTTGTTAAAATATGAGCTCTTAATAATAATATATTTTTTTCTTCTAACTTTGGAATTTTGTAACGTAATAACGAAATATTTCTTAAGTAAGACAAAATTACCCCTTATAGGAAATTTAATGCTCTACAAAAAAGGTCTGATTGACATTTTGCGTAAGTCAAGCCGTTTCAAAGATATCGAGCCTCAAACTTCAGACTGTTTAAAATTATGATTTTTTTTTCTCTCATGTTTCATGTTCTTTGAAAAAAAAATAGTCGGTTTTTTTAGACACTCTAGTCCCAAGCAGCAATTTTGCTTCCAAAAACCATAACCAAAGTGGTGATAACTTTAAATTAGTCAAGTATACTAAACAGCTACTTTAATTTTTACTTAAGAGTAATTCTAACTTTTAAATAGCAATATTTTGTAACAGAAACTTCATTCTTTCCTTAAATCGTTACTATAAAGTAATAAACATTTAAGTAAAACTTTAAAAAAGGTGTTATAAGTAAAAAAAACTTTCAAGTAAATTTAATTTGTAGCAGTTACTTTCGGTTGCTACCTAAAGATTACATTATAATTATTTTTACTTTGTAGTCCCTTTGCAAGTTAAAATCTCGAAACTGGAACATGAGTTAAAAACTACAAAGTTAATAACTTAAAAGTTGTTATTTTAGTATTTGGAACGTTTATGGTACTAACCAAAACTACCGTAAAGTAAATTAAGGTGGAAAAAACTTTAAAGTAGCGAAAACTACTTCAAAGGAAAATGCTTCTTATCGGCCATTTTTTACTGTACAGTACTACGTGGTAATGTAAATAATAAATTATTTTAATTGTTGTTTACTTTTTAACAAATAGTAATTTTGTTGGTAATAGACGGTATTAATTAAATAAAATTAAGATTTTTTAATTTATAAACATTATTAAATAAATAATTTGTTTACACTTAAATATTGATGAAGAGCATTTATTTTACAAAAACTAAGTTCATAAGTTCAACAGTAAAATTTAAAGGGTTTTTATAAATTTACCTGCCTAATTAGGCATTAAATTGTTATTCTGGAAGTTATAACTACCAGTACATATTTAATAAACGACGACATTGAAAAGCCAAGTCCGTAGTGGTTCCATTTGAAAAAGGAGGGATAGTATAATCTAATATAAGTTTGACAAAGACAGTTAATATAGAAGTAAATAAAAGTAATTATAACGCTCTAGCAACGATATTGGAACGTTCTAGTACCGTAGCAGCTACGTTCCAAATAGTAGCAGGGTTTATAGCTAGTGACATATTTGCTACCTTTTTGGAACTCAATAATTGTTCCCCACTTTAGTCGTAACTTAGTAATGAAAGAGTAATATAAAGAAACACTTTAAAGTTTCTTCAATAGTCCCATACGTAACAAATACTTAAATTGTTGCTTGGGGTGCTTACCTGGGCTCTTGGAGGTCCAGGCGGGTCCAGCATCAAAGTAATAACGGAAGTGTTATCGGCTCTCATCTTGGTGGTGTGCCATCTTTGCAGCGCCTTCTCGACTAACAATTTACTGGGGTTCAGCCAGGTCAAGTTAAAATCGGACATGGCCGCCTGCTCGTTGTGTTTCTCGGCCTTCTGGACGATGTGTACCGCCATTTGAGCGCTGAGCATGTTGTAGAGTCCGTCCGTACCGAAAATGAGACACCTGTGGCTGTTGGGGTCGATTTTAATAACGGAGCAGTCAGGATCGGGTGAAACCACGAACTGATTGAGTGCGGAATTGTACGACCACAGATCGCCTAAACTGCGCGCTACCGCTAGAAACGGGATCTCGTCTATGGGCGTGCTCCTGCGCACAGGGCCTTTGTGGCCGATGCGAGGTCGGTTCCACACTACGCGAGGTACTCCCGATTTAGCCACCACTTTGCCGCCGCAGGCGTTTATGCGCGACATTTCTTCGGCGTTTTCCGGTTTATGGTCTCGAGTGAGCTGCCTGGCTTTCCAGTCGGAACTGTCGGGGTCCTGGTAGCCCAGGATTATACCCGAATCTCCCACATGCCCTATGTATATTTTCCCTTTGCGTATGAAAGCCACGCTGGCTGTCGTACCGGCGGTACTCGGTAGTCCAGACGCAGTTTTGGGCCATTTTTCTTGAAAAAATAAAACACTCAAATAGTTATTGGACGATTAACATTAATACTGTAAAAACAAGAGTTCTATATCAAATCATTAGATGACGCTGTATACTAGACTGGGCCAAAAAAAAATGACTATTTTTTTTTTGAAAAATATATCGAGAATGTCATTCAGAATGACAAAAAAAAATTTCGTGAAAATTTGAGCCCTTAATATTAATATTAATTTTTGATTTTTAGTCATAATTTGATGTTTTACGTTAGAACTGTCAAAACATTAAAGTGAAAAAAATTCCTTTTCACTTATTTTTATATAAAATTAAATTCTCTACAAAAAAGGTCAGATTGAAAATTTTCGTCAGACGAGCCGTTTCCGAGTAATTGAGCTTAATAAATCGATGTTTTTTCGATTTGCCCTTTTTACTGAAATTTTGTAACTAATGAATCAATGAATATTTAAAAAAGCTCACGTCGGATTCTTAAAGGAAATTTAATGTTCTACAAAAAAGGTCTCTTAACATTTTTGCCTAAATTTAATTCTTTAAAAGTTATTCACGAAGAAAAAAATTAAAATTTTAAGTGAATAACTTTTGAAGAGTTAAATTAGGCAAAAATGTTAAGAGACCTTTTTTGTAAAACATTAAATTTCCTTTAAGAATCCGACGTGAGCTTTTTTAAATATTCATTGATTCATTAGTTACAAAATTTTAAAGTAAAAAGGGCAAATCGAAAAAACACATCGATTTATTGAGCTCAATTACTCGGAAACGGCTCGTCTGACGAAAATTTTTAATCAGACCTTTTTTGTAGAGAATTTAATTTTATATAAAAATAAGTGAAAATAAATTTTTTTCACTTTAATGTTTTGACAGTTCTAACGTAAAACATCAAATTATGACTAAAAATCAAAAATACCGATGATAGACCTCTTATTAAGGGCTCAAATTTTCACGAAATTTTTTTTGTCATTCTAAATGACATTCTCGATATATTTTTCAAAAAAAAAAATAGTCAATTTTTTTGGCCCAGTCTACTGTATACAATTATAACTATCTCAGTCGGTAATAATATAGAACTACTTTATTTGGGTCCAATATAGGACAAAAAAGTTCGCATGTTACTTTGGTGGTAAGATTTTTGTTTTTTTTTGTTAAGAGCAGGGCTGTGTTTAAATTACAACAAAAAATATTTCTAAAAAGCGTACAGATCAGTGTGTGGTATAAATGTGTTCTTCATGGTTTAAAATTGTCCAATGAATCCGAAAAGACCGTCAAAAGCTATAAAAGTTAGGCAGTTTTTGAGATATAGTCAATTCCATATTATGTGTAAAATTGATTATATTTCAAAAACTGTTCTACTTTTATAACTTTTGACGACATTTTCGGATTCAGCGAATGTTTCATAGGAATTGACTGCTAAATGTCCTGGATACAAATTTTAGGGGCTGCTTTTTCGCTATGACATTTTTGAATAAATCATTTTTAGAGAATAAGTAATATAGTGACTTCTTCATTATTTAAATATAGTGCATGATACAGTACATAAAAAACTAATGGCAACAAAATTAATAAATTCGGAAAATACCTTTAACATACCACACGAAAAAATATTAGATATATATATATTAGGGTGTCCCTTATTTTTATTTTTTTACGCATACCCTCTAATTATATTTATTACTTGTTTATGTACTCCCAGTAAAAATTTAAGCTCATTCTATAAACAGGAACCCGTGCCGACTTGCATCTAAACTCTCCGTTAGCCAACGTTAGGCGCGCGCGGTATTTTGTAACACGAAACACGAAACACGAAAGAAGATATACTTCATGACTGTATTTTTCTAATGATTTTATTAAATATGATTACTAATTAATATTATTTCTTTTGTTTCTATCATTTGTTTCACTAATTTAGTTAATTTTATCCCTTAAATATATTAATATACTAATTAGTATTGCTAAAATATACTGTTATATGAAATTTCAGCATTTCTTTTCTTGATGTCCTCCCAAAAATATTTCAGACAGTTCAATAAGTTTTCGGTAGTCATCTCTTACAATAGACTCTTTTAGTTATTTAGAGTAAAACCCATTAAGTTTATCAATTTCAGAGTTTACGGCCTATTCACCAGACCCTTCCGGGTAACTAGCCACTCCCTGTGAATATATACATTTTTATCAAAGTATACACATAAATAAAACTATATTTTAACAATTGTCAATAATTTATAATATAAGGGTCACGTAATAACAAACACAAAATTAGAAAAAATAGTAGTTCTGAATGTTCTTTCAATAGAAAAAAACAGACAACAAAAATTCATTGAAAATTTCAGAGAATTTGCAATCTTATTAAAAATTCATAATTTATTTCATAAAAGTTTAATTTTATGAACTTTCAAGGTTATTCAATGAACACTAAATTGTGAGTTACGGGTTTAATCGTTGTATAAACTGTTTCATTGTAAATTATGAAATAAATTAATGATATGAAGTTGTATAAACCCACTATTAGCTTTTTTCTCATACCACTTTGGAGATTTTTGAGGATGTAGAGAGAACCTCAAGTTTGAAAAAACAATAAAATTAAAAGTGATAATAATGTTTTTCATAAAAGTAATAAAAAAATAGAAAATAGTTCTGAATGTTAAATTTCAGAGAATTTGCAAAAAATGTCAGTTTCTAATGAAAAAAAATGACAATCACTGAGAAATTGACTGATCAAATTTTGTAAGTCTTTTAAGGATCATTAGTCATTTATATAAAAAAAAATGGCTACTTGCAATACAGAAAGAATAATGAACACAGAAAATTGACATTTTACCATGCAGAAATAACATACTTATCCAAAATCCATCTTGGAATTTTATTTTATCCCCCTGATTTTTCAACAGATTGACCTCAATTTATTGTTTATTTTTTGTTTGACTTGGTTACATCTGAAAGGTTTTTATCATCTTTAATTAAGGTAATAACTACATTTAAAGACTGATAAATACAAAACAGTAGGCTGTAACGGCAAATTTGGTGGTGCCAATGTAGCAAAAACAAAACGTATTATATTTAACAAAGTACTACTTTATTACAATTTAACATCATTTTTCCTTGTTATGTCTTCTTTTGGTCTTATCAAATGTTTTGTTGATAAGTATTAACTTAACCTAAGTAGGTATAACATTTTTGTTGATATTTAAGCTTTTAAATGACTTATTTAAGACTAAATTACCTTCAAAATAAGTAAAAATTACTCAGAAACGCTTGCATTTTTAGTTTAAGAAGAAACGTCAAACTTTCATTTGTTTTTATCAATTGTTTTGGTTGACAAACGTCAACATAACCTAAATTTGGAATTTTTCTGGTTATTATAACGCTATTAAACGCTTTTTTCTTCGTTATTAAGTACCTTGTTCTCTCCACATAGCGTAATGTGTGGTTACATAGCCCTCTTTGATGGCTCGTAGCACCTCCTCATCATCATCGGACCAAAAGTTCTTGTTACGGATAATGGTTTCCATGAGGTGTTCTTTGGCGAAAATCGCGGCCTCCGCGCCCCCATGGCCATCGTAGATCCCGAAAAAAGCATACTCCAAGTCTTTCTCGTCATCTGTTTGTTGATACGCGACAGTGAAATAGTCCTCCATGTATTTTCGACCTCCCTGTCTGCAGTGCCCCGTGACACGCAAGTTGACGCCAATCGAAGCCGGCATTATAACTAAGCACTAATTAAAACATCCAAAATGTTATTATTTTCAACGACAAGAAGGATTGTTTGTAAAATAACTGTCATTGTCAAGTTTTTAAGTGTGTCAAAGTCTACGACGTACGGAATCTCGCGCCAACGTGCAGATTTCACGAGCTTTCTCCGAACGTGCGTCTTGGATTGATGCGACGGTGGCGCCATCGCTGTTTCATCGCGCGCAACAAGAAATGGCGGGATTTTTGAATTTAAACTCTCTAAATAAATCTAATACGTTAAATTTAACGTTTATTTATGATTTTATTAAGAAAAACAATGAAATTAGTCAAGTAAATAACATTTATTCAATAACATAAGTGACAATAGTGTTATAAATAACAATTTTTAATCAACTTCGAGTTTTTTAAATGTTCCTTCAATACCAAAAATTTCTCCCACATTCTTTGCTTTTCCTGGGCGTTTGGTTTCGTCAACTTTCTGCATTTCTTCTTTTTTGAAGAGTTCCGTGTTGTTGTGAATGGCTTTCTTGATTTTTTCTTTAAAAAACAATTTGTAGCATAAGAATTTAGCTTACACTGAGCGACAAGATTCTAGGATCAAACCACATACACTGATATGCATTAAAATTGCACCATCATTTTAAGGTTGTGTTTTTATAAAAGTAATAAAAAATGTGTTATATTTACCATGTAGAGCTGCGATTGTCTCAGTACCACCAAGTTCTTTTGGTAGACATTCTTTGAATACAACTTTTAATAGTGCGTCGTCTACTTTAGGATGTATACACAACTAAAAAATAAAGAGAGCCTTAAAAATAGTATAGTGTCAAGTTGAGTCAAGTTAAGTTGTCAAAATGATGAGTAATAGTATATTATGTATCAAGTTTGATAAATGCCATTTTATCAGTGTTGTAACGTATCTAGTTACAAGTAACTAGATACAGTATCTAGATTTTTATGTATCTGTTTGTGTAACTAGTTACTTATCCCAATCTAGTAACTATAACTGTAACTAGTTACAAATTCTAAGTAACAAGGTGTGCTAAGATACAAAGATACATTTTTAATTAAACTGCGACTATTATTTATTTAAAAAAAAATATTATAAAAAATAAGTTATTTTAAATTAAATATTATAAAAAAAATAAAAATAATAAACATATATATTTTTGTTGTCACTTTAAAATTCCCTTTTATTTCTATTTTAAATTTTTTAAAGCAAAAAATAATTTGTATGTATCTTAAAGTATCTAGATACTTTTTGAAGGTAACTGCATCTGTAACTAGTTACTGCAATAAAATATGTATCTGTATCTGTATCTAGTTACAAATTTTGGTAAGTAACTATAACTGTAGCTAGATACTGAAAATATTGTAACTGTTACAACACTGCATTTTATACAAGAATTTAATTTAGGCACGAGCAAGCTTGCGAGCGAGTGCTTAAATTAATGAGTGTATAAAAAAGTTTATAAACGAGGTGCATACTTTACTTTTTCTACGACAAATACTTATTATTACCTTAAAATGAATTAAATCAAAAATTTGTATAGAGCGCCATCTATGAAGCAATAGAGGAATCTGTGTGTCACCGTCAAATGTCAAATTTTGATATTTTATAAACACAGATTATAAAGGTTATAAATCGAAATGTATTTCTTGAAAATTGCCAGTTTTTCACAGTGAAAGTAAAGAAAATGTTTTATGAGCACTTTACAGTGGAGTCCGTGCCCGAATTTAAGTTATAGTTTACTGCCGGCGAAATTAAAAGGTCAGTACAATGTTCATATAAACTTTTCAAATATTGGCGTTGAGAAACTATTTAATACTTTTGTATTTTTGTATTGAGATAATAAAATAATTTTCACATTTGGTATTATTTTACAAGAAAGGCAATTTATTTTAACGATTATATGACATTTGACAACCGTCAACTAACTTAAAACTAACTTCAGTCCGTGACTAAAAACCTGTTGCTAACTTCAGCCCGTGACTAAAGCGCCATTAAGCTTGTCAATGTGTATTTTAAAGGTGGGAGTAGAATAAATACTTAATCAAACTGGCTTAAGCTACCAACTTAATAAAAAAACAGTCCAAATAAAAATTACAATTGTCCTTACCAATTCAAAAAGTTCTTTTTTCATGAAAGGTTTTAACATGGCCACGAGCTTATCTACCCAAGACACCACATTAATTAAATGTATGCCCTTTAGTCTAACAGGCATAGCTTCCTAAAACCAATAGAATGTTATACAGGGTGTTAGGGTTATAACTTACAAGAAAGTACCTGTAAGTAGTACATCAGTTTTTTAGCTACAATGATGTTAACTTTTGTTAGATGCCCGACCACAGCACCTTCCATGTCGTTGATGATAACTAGGCCCTTGCATGGGCCCTCCGTACATAAATGATGGGTGGCAACCATGTCCATGTATTTGATATGACTGGAGAGTACAAAATTGTCGGAATTACAGTCCACCAATCTTGTGTACACAACGCAGTAACCTTCAGGAGTTTTTTTGGGCATTGTCGTTACTAATCTATACAAAGACAAAATTAAAACATGTACAATTTTTCCGAATTCTATATTCCACTTACGTGGTGTTTAGAGCTAAGTTCAGGTCCTTGTGATTGGCATCCCTGTTTGCAAAAATGTCCGGACATAGAGTTTTGATGGTGAAACAGTTGTCCAAGGCGATTTTGGCTGCCTCGTTCCTGTAGTAGCAGCATTGCAGGAAAAGTATTATTTGCAAATCTAAAATAAAAAAAAAATTACGAAACTAAAATTATCCTTTTTTGAACACCTGTCAAAAAGATGTCAAAATAAGGGATTTAAAAAATGACAGATTTCAAAAATGACATTTCGGGTAGTTAAAAAATTGGGTAATCAAAAACTGCCCTGACCGGATGCCTAATTGAAAACTCCACATTAAAACAAATGTTTCGGGTGATTGTATCAACAAAATTGCGTTATTGAAAATTTAATTTATTTAAAACCGGGTAATTGATAACTGCACATTAAAATAAATATTTTGGATGATTGTAAATTGATCAATTCGAACTAAATTGGATAATTGAAAACTGCCCTAACATTTAATTTATTTAAACTGCTCATTAAAATTAATGTTTTGGATAATTGAAAATTGCCCTAATGAAAAAAAATGCTCCCCCAATATAACAAGGGCGTATGTTACAAAATCTAAAATGACAGATTTTTGAAATTACAGTTGTTTCGGGTAATTAAAAACTGCCCAAATTCTTAACGAAATTGTATTATTAAGAATTTAATTTATTTAAAACCGGGTAATTGAAAACTGTTACGAAACTAAAATTATCGATTTTTGAACACCTGTCAAAAAGATGTCAAAATAACGGATTTAAAAAATGACAGATTTGAAAAATAACATTTCGGGTAGTTAAAAAATTGGGTAATCAAAAACTGCCCTGACCGGATGCCTAATTGAAAACTGCACATTAAAACAAATGTTTCGGGTGATTGTAAACTGCTCAAATTATCAACAAATTGCGTTATTGAAAATTTAATTTATTTAAAACCGGGTAATTGATAACTGCACATTAAAATAAATATTTTGGATGATTGTAAATTGATCAATTCGAACAAAATTGGATAATTGAAAACTTCCCTATCATTTAACCTATTTAAACTGCTCATTAAAATTTATGTTTTGGATAATTGAAAATTGCCCTAATGAAAAAATGCTCTCCCAATATAACAAGGGCGTATGTTACAAAATCTAAAATGACAGACAATGACAGATGTCAAAAATGGCAGATTTTTAGAAATGACAGTTGTTTCGGGTAATTGAAAACTGCCCAAATTCTCAACGAAATTGTATTATTAAGAATTTAGTTTATTTAAAACCGGGTAATTGAAAACTGTTACGAAACTAAAATTATCGATTTTTGAACACCTGTCAAAAAGATGTCAAAATAACGGATTTCAAAAATGACAGTTTTCAAAAATGACATTTCGGGTAGTTAAAAAATTGGGTATGCAAAAACTGCCCTGACCGGATGCCTAATTGAAAACTGCACATTAAAACAAATGTTTCGGGTGATTGTAAACTGCTCAAATTATCAACAAAATTGCGTTATTGAAAATTTAATTTATTTAAAACCGGGTAATTGATAACTGCACATTAAAATAAATATTTTGGATGATTGTAAATTGATCAATTCGAACAAAATTGGATAATTGAAAACTGCCCTAACATTTAATTTATTTAAACTGCTCATTAAAATTAATGTTTTCGATAATTGAAAATTTCCCTAATGAAAAAAATGCTCCCCCAATATAACAAGGGCGTATGTTACAAAATCTAAAATGACAGATGTCAAAAATGACAGATTTTTAGAAATGACAGTTGTTTCGGGTAATTAAAAACTGCCCAAATTCTTAACGAAATTGTATTATTAAGAATTTAATTTATTTAAAACCGGGTAATTGAAAACTGTTACGAAACTAAAATTATCGATTTTTGAACACCTGTCAAAAAGATGTCAAAATAACGGATTTAAAAATGACAGATTTGAAAAATAAAATTTCGGGTAGTTAAAAAATTGGGTAATTAAAAACTGCCCTGACCGGATGCCTAATTGAAAACTGCACATAAAACAAATGTTTCGGGTGATTGTAAACTGCTCAATTTATCAACAAAATTGTTATTGAAAATTTAATTTATTTAAAACCGGGTAATTGATAACTGCACATTAAAATAAATATTTTGGATGATTGTAAATTGATCAATTCGAACTAAATTGGATAATTGAAAACTGCCCTAACATTTAATTTATTTAAACTGCTCATTAAAATTAATGTTTTGGATAATTAAAAATTGCCCTAATGAAAAAAAATGCTCCCCCAATATGACAAGAGCGTATGTTACAAAGTCTAAAATGACAGATGTCAAAAATTACAGATTTTTAGAAATGACAGTTGTTTCGGGTAATTGAAAACTGCCCAAATTCTCAACGAAATTGTATTATTAAGAATTTAATTTATTTAAAACCGGGTAATTAAAAACTGTTACGAAACTAAAATTATCCATTTTTGAACACCTGTCAAAAAGATGTCAAAATAACGGATTTAAAAAATGACAGATTTGAAAAATAACATTTCGGGTAGTTAAAAAATTGGGTAATCAAAAACTTCCCCCACCGGATGCCTAATTGAAAACTGCACATTAAAACAAATGTTTCGGGTGATTGTAAACTGCTCAATTATCAACAAAATTGCGTTATTGAAAATTTAATTTATTTAAAACCGGGTAATTGATAACTGCACATTAAAATAAATATTTTGGATGATTTTAATTGATCAATTCCAACAAAATGGGATAATTGAAAACTGCCCTACCATATAATTTATTTAAAGCCGGGTAATTGAAAACTGCTCATTAAAATTAATGTTTTTGGATAATTGAAAATTGCCCAAATTCGAAAAAATTAGATAATTGAAAACTAACCCACCATTTAATTTATTTAAAGCGGGGTAATTGAAAACTGCTCATTAGAATTAAGGTTTCGGATAATTGAAAATTACCCTAACTCAAAAAAAATCGCTCCCCCAATATAACAAGGGTAACAAAATCAAAAATGACAGATTTTGTTTTGAGCAATTGAAAACTGAACAAATTCTAAACGAAATTGCGTTATTGAGAATTTAATTTATTTAAATAAGGGTAATTGAAAACTGCACATCAAAATAATAAATGTTTCGGGTGATTGTAAATTGCTCAAATTCGAACAAAATTGGATAATTGCAAACTGCCCTACCATTTAATTTATTTAAAGCCGGGTAATTGAAAACTGCTCATTAAAATGTTACAAAATCGAAGATGACAGATCTTAGACATATTTTAGAATTGACAGATGGTAAAATGGTTTCGAGTTACTGAAAACTGCCTAAATTCTCAACAAAATTGGGTTATTGAGAATTTTATTTATTTAAAACCAGGTAATTGAAAACTGCACATTAAAATAAATACTTCGGGTGATTGTTAACTGCTCCAATACGAACAAAATTGGATAATTGAAAACTGCCCCACCATTTAATTTATTTAAAGCTAGGTAATTGAAAACTGCTCATTAGAATAAATGAAAACTGCTCATTAGAATAAATGTTTCGGGTAATCGAACATTATTCAAATAAAAAAATGATGATGGAGAATCAGAAATCAAAACACGATTATTAATTTCCAACTTTGAAGGCATGTCTTAAATATCTTTTCTGGAAAAGTTCCCTTCATTTTTGATTCTCTATCAATCCCTATATTTAATGACGTTTAACCTGGTCCTTCCTGAATATTGTCTATGTTTTGCGTTTTGTTTTTTTTTTTGAATAAATTTGGTTTTCAAATAAACTATTGCATACAATTTTTGGCTAATTTAATTTAAATATTTAGTATTACGAGTTTATATATATTAGCCTGTAGTGTTTGTGTTATATTAACAGTTGATAGTTACTATTTACCAGGAGGTAAGTTTTTGTTTTCTATTTTCTTAACTTGGGTAGTATCTGCATTTTTTTAAAGCACAGTATCCAAGAAAATAATTTTTAAAGTTATAATCAATTTTTAAGCTATTTTGTTTCTCAAGTTTTGAAATTAATTACAGTACCTATATTTTTTATGGAACTTTTAAAAAAATTGTCATTTTAAAATTTGTGCGGCCAACTATATAAACACAAAAATATTACAATTTTAAACCTTTATTTTGCAATTTTAACAACAAGTTAACAATTTATTTTGTTGATTATTTACTTTTTATGTAACTCTCAGTTTTTTAATGATACTAATTAAGTCCTAATTTGTTAAAAAAAAACATGCAACAATTTATTTCGCTGATTAGGTATTTACTTTTGATGTAGTTTTTTAATCATACATTAATTTGTAATAATTTGGTAATTTGTTAATTAATAATTAAATAATTATTAAAATGCGTTTTATTTTTACTACATTGGCACCGCTTTTAATTATGTCCTAATTTGTTAAAAAAAAACATGCAACAATTTATTTCGTTGATTAGGTATTTACTTTTTATGTAGTTTTTAAATCATACATTAATTTGTAATAATTTGATAATTTAAATTAATTATTAATTATTAATTAACAATTGTTAATTAATAATTAAATAATTATTAAAATACGTTTTATTTTTACTACATTGGCACCGCTTAATTTGCTGTCACGGCCTACCGGTATTTTTTTATCAAACTCTTCAGATACTATTATAAATATATATACAAGGTGTCCCGTATCGTTATGTTCAAATTTTGAGAGCATAAAGTAGACTTATTTTCAGGAAGAAAACCCGCAAAACTTGTATATCAATTTTTATTTTTTTCAAAGTTACAGGCCTTTGAATTACACAGGTCCACAAAAAAAGTGGTCTGTGCTGGGTGTTTGACAAAGATTTTCCGACGTATTTTTTTACAGCTGAACACGAATCTGAAGTCAAAATTGGGGTCAAACTGCAAAAAACGAAGAAAAATTTAAAAAACCGAAAAAATCCATTATCTAATATCGGTTATTTTAATTTTTCTCGGTTTTTTGCATTTTGACCCCCAATTTTGACTTCAGATTCGTGTTCAGCGGTAAAAAATACGTCGGAAAATCTTTGTCGAACACCCAGCACAGACCACTTTTTTTTGTGGACCTGTGTAATTCAAAGGCCTGTAACTTTGACACAAATAAAAATTGATATACAAGTTTTGCGGGATTTCTTCCTGAAAAT